AGAGGCGGATGAGCTCCCTCTATCAGCTCCAGCTCCTCATGCGGGGACATGAGAGAAGCCTCCCACAAGGATGATAAAAACATCAAATCATCCGAGCGTCCCCTGGGCAACGTCCTTGCAGACGGCCAATTCTCTCACACCAGAAGCGACTTGCAGTTTCTCAAGTCGCTCCTGACACGACAAAAAAAACCAAAACAAGACCAGTTGCTCTCATTGAAACGGTGTAGTAATGGTGAAGCCGCAGACCATTTTTTAGTTCTTGCGGACCACTGGTGGTCCACAGACCACAGGTTGGGAACCTCCTTTACAGCCTGACCATGTTTACAGTAACTTACTGCCATTGGTTGATGAGTGCTGTTTTAATTTAGTCTTAAGTTGTTGTTTTATATGCCTGTATGTTTTATTTAATTGTATTTTATACTGTGCTTTATTTTATGTACCTTGTGCTGTGTGTAAGCTGTCCCGAGTCCCTTTGTTGGTAGGATACAAGAAGAAAGTAGTAGTAGTAGTAGTAGTAGTAGTAGTTATTAATAATAATTATTATTATTATTATTATTATTATTTTACAGACACAAAAACACAGTATGACACAGCAAACAAGATATATAGGCTGGATTTTCTATCACAAAATCACAAGTCGAACACTTCCCAAGTGTTTAAGACTGTATTTATTATTATTATTATTATTATTATTATTATTATTATTATTTGAAACACCACAAGATGAGTCCACAGCAGACACTCTGCTGGCTGTTGTATTGGATCACACTTCGGACACTTCCCAAGTGTCTAGGACTGTGTGATGTATCAGCAAATAATGCGTGCAGATCCCAGTAAGGTGGCCTTTTGCAGCTGGCAGATGGTAATTTTGTCAGCGCCAATTGTGTTTAAGTGCAGGCCAAGGTCTTTAGGCACTGCACCCAGTGTGCCGATCACCACTGGGACCACCTTGACTGGCTTGTGCCAGAGTCTTTGCAGTTCGATCTTTAAATCCTCATATCGTGTCAGCTTTTCCAGTTGTTTCTCTTCAATCCTGCTGTCGCCTGGAATTGCAACATTGACAATCCATACTTTTTTAACACGATTGTGAGGTCAGGAGTATTGTGCTCCAAAACTCTGTCTGTCTGAATTTGGAAGTCCCAGAGTAGTTTGACGTGTTCATTTTCTGTAACTTTTTCCGGCTTGTGATCCCACCAGTTCTTTGTCGCAGGCAGTGGTATTTGTGGCACAGGTTCCAATGAATCATCAGAGCAACGGTGTTATGCCTCTGCTTGTTGTCTGTCTGCGCAATCTTCTTGCAGCAGCTGAGGATGTGATCTATTGTTTCATCTGCTTCCTTGCAGAGTCTGCATTAGAGATCTGTTGTTGACTTTTCAGTTCTGGCTTTGATGGCATTTGTTCTAATGGCTTGTTCTTGGGCTGCCAGAATTATTATTATTAGCTCATTCTGATGTTCTAGGTTTCTTGGACATCAGCTCAAAGAATCCTTGATCACTGGCCAAGTCAATTGAGGCTTCTGGGAGTTGGAAGAGTCCAAAACACCTGGAGGATGAGAGTTTGGGAATCATTAATCTATCTGACCTTGCTAGGGTTTTTTAAAGGGTAAACACACACATACACAGATCTCTTTGGATAGGGCCTTCTGCAGATAAAAAAAAATACTGATGCTAAGGGGAATATGTGAATTGGAAATTACTGATCCACAATGAAAGGAAGAACCTGTTCCCAAGAGCAGAGTTGGATATGGCACAAAGGGAACATCCGTCATTCTCCGCACTTCCCAGAGCCCAGCAGAGGGCATTGCAGTGCAGTGTGATTGTGTGCTTGACATGTCTGCATATACATACAAGTAGAGAGAGACATTGCAAGAGCTTTGAGGAAATTGGGGGTGATCGGAGAGCTTTGCTATCACCTTTTCCACTTTGCAATATCAAGCGCATACAGCAGGCGTGGGTAAACTTGCCCATACTTGGTATACAGCAAATTGAAAGAGCTCCAGAATTTATTATATCGATCAAAATCTGCTATTCAAGAAAACCCCAAGGTTTCCCAAGTCTCTGTAAGTCAGATTTTTCCAGAGAACTGTTTCTTCATTTTGGAATTCAGTAAAGTTGCTCTCCTTCAAGAAGCAGAGCCTCTTGGCAGGTTTTTTTTCCATGACTCAACACATACCTCACAATATCTGTTGACAGGTTTCTTAATCCTTATATCAGGATTGGGAATTGTATGACTGCCCTATAATTTGCTCCCAGATTTCCTCACCTTTGTCTATGCTCGTTTAGCATTGCTGGGAGATACAGTCTGACAGCACCTGTAGGACTGCTCCATATTCATCTCTGCCTTACACAAACTGGGAAAATCCAAAGGGCTTTGCAAGCTTTGTACAATCAGGGCATCTTTGCAAAAATAAACAAACCTTGTTTGCGCAAAATAACTTTTTGTGTGTGTTGAAAACAAAAAGCATGTTTCCTTACCAAAAAAAATTGCCCGAAGTGCAAAGAAAAATGCACACCGGCTTTCATAATCTTGCCTTGGTGGAGAGAAAACATTTTGAATCATTCATTTTTTTCCATGCATTCTTGCACTCTGCAATGCGGGGGCAGTGGGTCAGCAACAGGAAGTGCACACAAAGAGCTCCTTGTTCTATCACTTCCAGGGGCTTTGGGGGTCCAGAGAGAACCCACCAATTGTGAATGGTGCCGGATGCTCTTCTTCTTTATGTAGGAATATTTGATGTCTATAGCAGAGTAGAATGCAGCCTAGCCAGTGCTAATATTAGTTTATGGTAAGACACAAGAAAAAAAATACTCGGGAAGCTCTGGTAAGGTTAAAAGAAAGGTAAAAACATACTTTTTGTTGCAAATAATACAACCCAGATAAAAGAGTTGATAGATAAAATAATAATAGTAATAATAATAATAATAATAATAATAATAATAATAATAATACGAAATCCAGCATATAGATCTCATTTGCTGTGACATACTGTGTTTTTGTGTCAGTAAAATAATAATAATAATAATAATAATAATAATAATAATAATAACCAGTAAAGGTGGTCCCAGTGGTGATCGGCACACTGGGTGCAGTGCCTAAAGACCTTGGCCTGCACTTAAACACAATCGGCGCTGACAAAATTACCATCTGCCAGCTGCAAAAGGCCACCTTACTGGGATCTGCACGCATTATTCGCCGATACATCGCACAGCCCTAGACACTTGGGAAGTGTCTGACGTGTGATCCAATACAGCAGCCAGCAGGGTGATCTTGTCTGCTGTGGACTCATCTTGTTGTGTTTCAAATAATAATAATAATAATAATAATAATAATAATAATAATCAGCAAAGAATACATTCAAAGGTCAGACAAATTCTCAAAAGCAAGCTCAATGGAGGCAATACCATCAAGGCCCTAAACACCTGGGCCATACCTGTCATAAGATATACCGCTGGCATCATAAACTGGATTCAGGCAGAACTGGACAATTTGGACAGAAAAACAAGAAAACTCATGACCATTCATAATTCACTATATCCTCTCAGTAACGTTGATCGGCTCTGTCTACCTAGGAAGTGTTCGACTTGTGATTCTGTGATACGAAATCCAGCATATATACAACAACAACAACAACAAAACTTTATTTATATACCGCTCTATCTCCCCAAGGGGACTCAGATCAGTTTCCAAGTAACATAAACAGTACATAGAGGAAAAAAAGGCATAAACATAAAATTTATAGACAATATAAGCATTAAAACCACAATAGCGCATATATTTAAAATAATCATTTTCTCATTTAATCATATATCTCATTTGCTGTGACATACTGTGTTTTTGTGTCAGTAAAATAATAATAATAAGCCAGTAAAGGTGATCCCAGTGGTGATCGGCACACTGGATGCAGTGCCTCAAGACTGGGAAGTGTCCAGTGTGTGACCCAATACAACAGCCAGCAGAGTTACCTTATTTGCTGTGTACTAATCGTTTTGCATTTTGAATAATAATAATAATAACAACGACAACAACAACAACCTCTTTGAGCCCCTCCCCCTCCCCCGGGGTGAGAAAGGCGGTATATAAATACTGTAAATAAATAAAATAAAACCTTTATTTTTAGACCGCTCTCTCACCCCGAAGGGACTCAGGATGGTTTACACAGAAAAAGGCAAGCATTCAATGCCTCAGTTAGGTGCAAACACATCAAAAATAATACATGGTAAAATGACCTAACTTTGGTGGAAGAGTCTGTTATGCTAACTGTCATGTCTCTGTGTTAGCCATCTTAAGTCAGAGAGGTCTCATGGTGCTTCTTTTCAAACAAAGAGAGGGGTTTTTTTTTGTGTCAGGAGCAACTGCAAGTCGCTTCTGGTGTGAGAGAATTGGCTACCTGCAAGGATGTTGCCCAAACAAAGCCTGGGTATTTTGATGTTTTACCATCCTTATGGGAGGCTTCTCTTTTATTATTACCCTTATAAATAATAATAATAATAATAATAATAATAATAATAATAATAATAATAATACACTAAAGATATTTGGAGCCCCCGGTGGTGCAGTGGGTTAAAGCACTGAGCTGCTGAGCTTGTTGATCGAAAGGGTGCAGGTTCGAATCGAGGGAGCGGCGTGAGCTTCCGCTGTCAGCCCTAGCTTCTGCCAACCTAGCAGTTCGAAAACATGCAAATGTGAGTAGATCAATAGGTACCGCTCTGGCGGGAAGGTAACGGCGCTCCATGCAGTCATGCCGGCCACATGACCTTGGAGGTGTCTATGGACAACGCTGGCTCTTCGGCTTAGAAATGGAGATGAGCACCACACCCCAGAGTCAGACATGACTGGACAAAACACCTTGAACTACATAGAAACAGGTGAAAATAAGATACCAGGCACTACAAAGATCCCTCGGTCCTTAATTATGTTATATATAAATGTTGATGCTTCTTCACTTCTTAATACTTTAGAAAAAGCTGCTAATTCTCTCAATTTCTCCTCCTGTCCCACAGCTGATAACCCTCCGCGGGTCCATCCTTGAGGATGCCACTCCCACGGCCACCAAACATGGCACCATCCGTGGGCTCCCTCTCAAGGACGCCCTGGAGTACGTGGTTCCTGAATTGAACATCCATTGTCTGCGTCTGGCCCTGAATGTACCCAAAGTGACCGAACAGCTACGCAAGCTTGATGAGCAGGGGGTAAGCAAATGACATGCAGAATAGCCAGTCTGTGCATGCTAGGAGGTTTTCTCCATGGTGTCTTGGTGCATCTTTTATCATTTATTCCCACTCCTTGGTCTTAAAAGAGCTGGCATTCAGCCTTTCCTTAAAAACTGCTTGCTTTCTCATTTCCCTTCCATGCTATCTGAAATAGCAGCAAGGGTTTAAGAGGAGAAGCTCTGGAAGGGTGTGCAAAAGTGGAAGATGCCCTTCTTTTGTCCCTGCCCTTCTCCTCCTACTGAACCATGCATTTCCTGTAAAGCATACACTTCTATTATTTTCCTTTCTATTCCTTTAATTCTTGGATATTTGCTTAGAGAATGGCATGGAATGAGTTATCCAGGAAAAGAGGGGATAAAAGACGAGGGGCCTTAGAAGAACTGTTATCCAGTGTGTTGCCGAAGGCTTTCATGGCCAGAATCACTGGGCTGCTGTGAGTTTTCCAGGCTGTATGGCTATGTTCCAGAAGCATTCTCTCCTGATGTTTCGCCCACATCTATGGCAGGCATCCTCAGAGGTTGTGAGGTCTGTTGGAAACTAGGCAAGTGAGGTTTATATATCTGTGGAAGGTCCAGGGTGGGAGAAAGAACTCTTGTCTGATTTTCTGTTGTGTTTTGGCATTATATTGTGTTCTCTGTATTGATGGGCGTGGCCTCATGTAAGCTGCCCCGAATCCTCTTGGGGAGATGGAGGTGGGGTATTAAAAAGTATTAGTATTATTATTGTTATTGTTATTGTTATTGTCTGAGGCAAGTGTGAATGTTGCAATTGGCCAGCTCAATCATTTATGTATGTATGTGTGTATTTATTTATGGTATTTCTATCCTGCCCTTCTCACCCCGAAGAGGACTCAGGACGGCTTACGTAATTGACATTATTCCATGCCCAATCATCATCAACAACAAAAGCAATTAAACAACATTAAAACAACCTATGGTCATTCCACAGATATATAAACCCATTTTCCTAGTTCCAACAGACCTCACTACCTCTGAGGATTCTTGTCATAGATGCAGGCGAAACGTCAGGAGAACTGTTCTAGAACATGGCCATATAACCCGAAAAAACCTACAACAACCCAGTGATTCCGTCCATGAAAGCCTTCTACAATACATTGAACATATGTAAACATTAGACTTTAGATTACTATTGTGCATAGATCCAAATTATTAGCATCTCTTCTCTGCTGGAGGCAGGTTTGAATGTGTGAATGGTGCAATTGACCATCTTAATTAGCATGTAATGGCCTTGCAACTTCAAAGCCTGGCTGGTTTCTACCTGGGCGGATCCTTTGTTAGGAGGTGTTACCGCTCCTGTTTGTTTGTTTGTTAAAAAATGCAATACAACTGTTTGGCTTGCTCCTGACACGATAAATAAATAACGCTCAAAAACAGAGGAATTCCAGACAACAATCAATCAGGGCCAGCTAATGCCTCCCAACAAAGGATCGCCCAGGCAACCAGCCAGGCTTTGAAGCTGCAAGGCCATTAAATGCTAATCATTTGGATCTATGCACAGAAGTCGTCAGTTACGTAAGCCGCCCTGAGTCCCCTTCAGGGTGAGAAGGGTGGGATAGAAATGCCATAAATACATACATGATCGAGCTGCCAATTGCAACATTCACACCTGCCTCAAACAGACAAGAGTTCTGGGCTTGTTGTAGGTTTTCCGGGCTATATGGCCATGTTCTAGAGGCATTTTTGCCTCTAGAACATGGCCATATAGCCTGGAAAACCTACAACAACCCAGTGATTCCGGCCATGAAAGCCTTCGATAATACAGACAAGAGTTCTTTCCCCCACCCTGGATATTCCACAGATTATATAAATCTCACTTGCCTGGTTTCCAACAGACCTCACAACCTCTGAGGATGCCTGCCATAGATGCGGGTGAAACGTCAGGAGAGAGTGCTTCTGGAACATGGCCAGACAGACCAGACAACTCACAGCAACCCACTATTATCCAATGGGTGGCAGTTTGGAGAGGTTCATAAAATTAGTATTGGAGAGAAATCCCTTCCCCCAGGAATAATAAAACCCTGGGACAGCCACTCAGACAGGATTGAAGCCCCCTCCCCAGAGAATGTTGTAGTTTGTGGAATGTTGACACCAAATGCCAGTCACAAGCTTTGATGGCTTTAGAAGAGGATTAACCAAGTTAATGGAGGGGAGAGCCTACCCTCTGAGTTAATCCAGGATCAGAGGCTATTTAGGGAGGGGGGCCCGTTGGACAAAAGGAGAGGGCTGCTTTCCGTCTTGCTTTTGGCCTCCTCTGGGAGTTGTAATATTGAGGCCTTCCTTGATCTCTCCCAGCAAAGGGATTCTCCCTGCCTGCTTTATGTTCGCCTGTCAAAAAGCACAGCAGGAGGGCGAAAGGCCTTGTTTTGGTCGCCTGCTGACTTGGCTGGGAGATGTTCTCACGTCCTTTGTTTTCCCTCTCCTGCCTTGACAGCTCTGCCGGAAGCACAAGGTGGGCATCCTCTATTGCAAAGCTAACCAGAGCTCGGAGGAAGAGATGTACAACAACGAGGAGGCCGGGCCTGCTTTCGAGGAGTTCCTGGCGCTGCTGGGGGAGAAGGTCTGCCTGCGGGGATTCTCCAAGTATGCAGCCCAGTTGGATACCAAAAGTACGTGCAATATTCTGGGATGTACAGGGAGAAGAAAGGGAAACAAAGGCATCCCACTTGAAAAGAGACCATGTGGGATGTGGAAACCTGCTGTTCTTCCTTTGCTCTCACACAATGTGCTTGCAATGGAAGGGCATTATGATTGAGAGGTGTCATCTTTTCACTCTTGTTCTTCCTTACAGCTGACTCCACGGGAACTCATTCCCTCTACACCGCTTACCAAGGCTACGAGGTCATGTTCCACGTCTCCACAATGCTTCCTTACACCCCCAACAATAGGCAACAGGTAAATGGGCTTTGTGCAGAATGGGTTGACCGACCCTCATCATCCTAGAACAGTGGTTCTCAACCTGGGATCCTCAGATGTTTTCGGCCTTCAACTCCCATAAATCCCAACAGCTGGTAAACTGGCTGGGATTTCTGGGAGTTGTAGGTCAAAAACATCTGGTGACCCCAGGTTGAGAACCACTGTCCTAGAACAAGTGGCAACCACCATCTTTTCCTGGAATGAGTTGGGGAATTGGACCTGATCAAGTTCTGAGCTCGGATTTCAGCTTTGAACTCACTCATTCACTCTTTCACGTTCAGCACTACTTGCTCTGACTGCAAGGGGGCTGTCTTCTCAAGAGTTCAATGCCAATGGCACCAATTGGCTTCTATCTACCTACAAGGGTTGAATGAAAAGTAATGCCTCCACCTTCGTTACTTGGGTTTGGATGGGAATATTTTAATAAATCAAACGCAAAAATAATCCTTAGAATGTGCTCTTTAACTACCACTATTCATTGAAATCCACAAGCATGTGGACAATTTCAACAGAAAGGAGGAAACCATGAAAATGAACAAAATCTGGCCACCTGTATTAAAAAAAACTCTAAAATTACAACAGCAAAACAACAGAGGGGAAACAATCAGGGACAACTAATCACCTCGCAACAAAAGATTGCCCCAGGCACCAACAAGCCACACCAAACAACTGCCAGGCCATCAAATGCTAATCAAGGTGGTCAGTTGAAACATTCACACCTAGCTCCAGCAGACAAGAGTACTTTGGCCCACCCTGGTCATTCCACAGATATAACTTGGCATACAGAACCTCTATGACCAACAAAAAATATGGGAGGTCTTAGAAGGAATTTATAAGATTCGTAGTTCCCCTACATCCAGACCACACTATGATTCCAAACAATGATGGATCCGGACCAAATTTCGCATGCATGTCCAATATGCCCAAATTCAAATATTGGTGGGTTTTGAGGAGAATTGGCCTGGACATTTTGGAGTTGTAGATACTGGGATTTATAGTTCCCTTGCAATCAATGAGCACTCTGAACTCCACCAAACATGGAATTGAACCAAACTTGTCACACAGAGCCCCCATGAGCAACAAAAAATACTGGAGGTCTTTGGGTAAAATTCACCTTGATTTGGAGGAGTTCTAGTTCACCTACATCCAGAGAACACTGTGAACCCAAACACCGATGGATCTGGACCAAACTAGGCACACATACCTGATATGCAGAAATTTGATTACTGGAGGGGTTTGGAGGAAATTGATCTTCCTTTCTGGGAGTTGTAGTTTACCCACAATCAGAGAAACTGTGGCTTCCACCAATGATGGACCTGGACCAAACTTGGCACACAGAGCCCCCATAACCAACAAAAATACTGGAGGTCTTTGGGTAAAATTCACCTTGATTTGAGGGAGTTGTAGTTCACCTACATCCAGAGAACCCTGTGGACCCAAACACCGATGGATCTGGACCAAACTAGGCATACATACCTGATATGCTGAAATTTGATTACTGGAGGGGTTTGGGGGAAATTGATCTTCCTTTCTGGGAGTTGTAGTTTACCCACAATCAGAGAAACTGTGTCTTCCACCAATGATGGACCTGGACCAAACTTGGAACACAGAACCCCCATGACTAACTCAGCCTACTGGAGGGGTTCAAGGGGACTGACTCACTGTAGTGGGAGTTGTAGTTTACCCTGCAGCTAGAGAGCATACTGAACCCCACCAAGGATGCATATAGAGCAAACTTGCCAAACATCACAAACTTTAAGTATCGATGGAATTTCACATGATGTGATTTGTAGTTCACCCACAACCTTATGCAAATTGACTTTTTCAAATAACCCGGGCAACGCCACGTACCCAAGCTAGTAGGTGATAAGATCAAGCTTTGGATGTAAAGGCGCGCACACATACACCTTGTCGCCATTGTAATTGGTGTTTTTCCATTAACAGAATATACTTGGATATTATGAACTGGCGTAATGAGGTTCAGTTTTTGTTTTGTTTCCAAAGTGAGCTTCCAAACCCTCATTCAAGCATTTCTGTTGGGCTCAACGGTGTGTTCGGCCCTCTTGATCCCTAACCTGATGTTCTCTTTCTCTTTGATGGTCAGTTGCTCAGGAAGAGGCACATTGGGAATGATATCGTCACCATCATCTTCCAGGAGCCCGGGGCTCAGCCTTTCACCCCTCAGAACATCCGTTCCCATTTCCAGCACGTCTTCGTTATTGTCCGGGTCCAGAACCCTTGCACAGAGAATGTTTGCTACAGGTAACATCCCATCTCCACTTTGGGACAAACTTGAGTCCGGAATATCGCTGAGTGACAAAAAGAGTGGCTTTCTGAAAGCCACGGGTTTCATCTCCATCCCAGCTGTGCATCTCCAGTGAATTGTTAAGTTGCTGGATTATTTAAAATGCATATCTGAGAAAATCATATGAATTTCTGCCAAGAGCCCAATGTAAGACAGCTCCCAGGGTGCTATACCACTTTGTGTTTAAGTATGAATTAGGAGACAAAGCCATGTGTGGTTGCCGAAGAGCATGGAAGGTTATGGAAACATGATGGAATAGGTTGAAAGAACTTGATGTGCTCAATAGAGGTATTAATACTTGAAAAATAAGTCAGATAGATATTTTACCTAGGTAAAGGGTAGACAAATAGTCATGGAAGATAAAGATTCCTATTAGCTACTTACCGTATCTATTTGAATATAAGCCGACTCAGATATAAGCAGGGGCATCTAATTTTACCACAAAAAACTGGGAAAACACATTGACTCGAGTATAAGCCGAGGGTGGGAAATGCAGCAGCTACTGGTAAATTTCAAAATAAAAATAGATACTTAATAAAATTGCATTAATTGAGGCATCCATAGGTTAAATGTTTTTGAATATGTACATAAAACTGTAATCTAAGATAAGACTGTCCAACTCTGATTGAACCATTATTCTAACCTTTTTCAATGTAAGTGTGCTTAGGTATCCTTCCAATCATAATAGAGTAAAATAATAAATGTAATAATAATAATAATAATAATAATAGAGTAAAATAATAAATGTAATAAAAATAATAAAATAATGGAATGTAATAATAACAATAATAGAGTAAAATAATAAATGTAATAATAGAGTAAAATAATGTAATAATAACAATAATAAATAGAAAAAATACTAATATAATAATACATTGAGTAAAATCATGTAAATATAATAATAATAGAGTAAAATAATTGGTGTAATAATAATAATAATAATAATAGAGTAAAACAATTGGTATAATAATAATAATAATAATAATAATAATAATAGAGTAAAATAATGGAAATGTAATAATAACAGTAACAGTAGAGTAAAATAATAAATGTAACAATAATAACAACACAATGTATTGTCGAAGGCTTTCATAGCTGGATTCACTGGGTTGCTATATGGCCATGTTCTAGAGGCATTATCTCCTGACATTTCGCCTGCATCTATGGCAAGCATCCTCAGAGGTTGTGAGGTCTGTTGGAACTAGGAAAATTGGGTTTATATATCTGTGGAATGTCCAGGGTGGGACAAAGAACTCTTGTCTGTTGGAGCTAGGTGTGAATGTTTCAACTGGCCACCCAATTTTCCTAGTTCCAACAGACCTCACAACCTCTGAGGATGCTTGCCATAGATGCAGGTGAAACGTCAGGAGAGAATGCCTCTAGAACATGGCCATACAGCCCGAAAAAACCTTCAACAACCCAGTAATAACACAAATAAAGTTCTTTACACTTCCTTCTCTGCTTCCACGCAGGGCTTCTTTCTCATGCAGATAAACAACTTCACTCTCACACCAAAGTTAACAGGAGCTTCACACAGTAGCTTTTTACACACAGCAGCCTTCACACTGAAGCTTCACACATGACGGCCTTCAACCTGGGGCTTCTCTCACAGAAGCTTCTCACACCAGGCCTTCACACACTGAGGCCTACTAATACTAAGGCCTACCTCCTGCTGAGGCCTTTCTCCCACGGAGGCGGTCTCATACTGAAAGCTCTCTCAGACTGACGCCTCTCTTACACTGAAATGAACTAACACTGAGGCCTACTCATATTGAGGACTACTCATACTGAGGCCTACTAACACACTGAGGCCCCTCTTCCACAGAGATCTCTCATAGATTGCAGGCTACTAAGCTACAGGCACACCTGCTTATCTTGAACAACAGTTTTTGCTGTGCCATTGCATCCATTCAATGCTTGACTCACATTTTTGTAATGAAAAATACCTAGATAATTTTTAATATTTCTGACATAATCCACAGTCTTACCTCTTCTAATTCTCTTCCATGTACCAAGTGTGGCAGTGACCCGCTCCAAAGATGTCCCACCTTTTGGGCCAGCAATCCCCAATAGAGCTGTTTTCCGCAAATCTGACGTCTTCCGGGATTTCTTACTGGCCAAGGTGATCAATGCCGAGAACGCAGCCTATAAGTCCGATAAGTTCCACACCATGGCCACTCGCACACGGCAGGAGTACTTAAAAGACCTGGCTGAGAACTCTGTGACCAGCACCCCCATCGACTCCACCGGGAAATTCAACCTGATCTCATTGACCTCCAAGAAGAAGGAGAAGACAAAAGCCCGGATTGGGGCTGAGCAGTATAGCACGGGAGCTATCGCTTGGAGGGTTCTGGCCCAGGACTACAGCCAGGGCATGGAAATTGAAGCTGTCTTGGGCATCTCCAACGAGTTCATTGTGCTCTTGGACCTGAGTGCCGAAGAAGTGGTATTCAACTGTTTTTGTGCGGATGTCATTGGCTGGACCCCAGATAATTACAGCATCAAGATTTTTTATGGGCGAGGGGACCATATCTTTATCCGAGCCATTGATGGCAATTCTGAGGACATCAAGGAGATTGTGCAGCGGCTGAAGGTAAGTAGCTACTACCTTCCTCTGTTTCATTTGGCATTAATGAGCAGTAGCACCATTAGATCTTCATCACTTTGCTTGCTTGAGTGTGAGAGCTGGAGATGGGTGAAAAGAGGTCCCTTCTCATTGTGCAGATGTTCATTCCCTAGGTCATGACTTCTGGCTGTGAGACCATTGAAATGACCCTCAGGAGGAACGGATTGGGGCAGCTAGGCTTCCATGTGAAGTTTGATGGAACAGTGGCAGAAGTGGAAGACTACGGCTTTGCCTGGCAAGCGGGGCTGCGGCAGGGCAGCCGGCTTGTGGAGATCTGCAAGGTGGCCGTGGTCACACTCAGCCATGACCAGATGATCGATTGGCTGCGCACTTCGGTGACAGTGAAGGTAGTCATCATTCCTCCTCATGATGATGGCACTCCTCGCAGGTAAGCCTACTTTCCCCTAATTATGCTCCTAACCATCCACGGTCAAAAAGGGAAGCCTTGTACAAATCGGGCAGGCGTCATGTTTTCTTGGTTCCAAATAATTGTTCCAAGAGGCTCAACCTTCACAAATCAAATCACCCTGCCTTTGTTGGTTTTGCATAATTTGCTACAACCAGGGTGCAGTTGCTGACCGGCTTGTGGTGCATTAAAATTCAAGCCAGCCCGGGTCAGAGTAAGCTCCCGACCATTTATCTAGCTTGCTGTCGACCTTTGCAACCTGAAAGACAGCTACATCTGTCAAGTAGGAAATTTAGATACCGCTTATGCAGGGAGGCTAATTTAACTAATTTACGATACCATAAAACTCTCCAGCAGCATGCAAAAGAATGAGGAAGTACTCCATTGGTGTCACAAGTGTGTGGTGAAATGACAGCTCCCCCGGTGGCCGGAATTCAAAAAGCTTACCCTCATGAAGCTGGAAAGTTAAATAGCCTTTGTGTGTCTGTCTATATATGTTGTGTGTCTATGGCAGGGGTCCTCAAACTTTTTAAACAGAGGGCCAGGTCACAGTCCCTCAAACTGTTGGAGCGCCAGATTATAATTTGAAAAAACATGAATGAATTCCTGTGCACACCGCACATATCTTATTTGTAGTGCAGAAAACACTTCAAAACAATACAATAATTGGGTTGTTGTAGGTTTTTCGGGCTATATGGCCATGGTCTAGAGGCCATATAGCCTGAAAAAAACTATGACAACCCATTGATTCCGGCGATGAAAGCCGTCGACAATACAATACAATAATTAAAATGAAGAACAATTTAAACAAATATAAATTTATTAGTATTTCAATAGGAAGTGTGGGCCTGCTTTTGGCTGATGAGATAGGATTGTTGTTGTTTGCTTTCAAGTCATTTCAAATACCAATAAATATAAAATCAGACAACATTATAAAAACGATTAAAAGCTATCATGGCTGAGCAAATAAAGTGCTGGGTTGGGTTCATAATTACTAAGTGCAATGAATCCTAAGAAGAGCCAGGGAAAGTGCAACAGTGGGAGTTTTGCAGTGTGCCTTGTGCATGCTTTCGATGTGCCAGTGCCATATTATCTGGCAAAGGGCTCTCAAGTAATTACTAGCTGGCTTTTAGAGTAGAGATCCTTCTGAGAGGCAGCCACTGAACCTAGCATAACCATACTGGAACAATTACCATTGCTGCCTCATATTTCTGCACTTCCTAGATTTTAGGGATGTATCTCTGTGGTGCACTAATCCTTTTCCATCCAGCCTGGTCTGATGGTCAGGTATGTCCTGCCACCGAGTCCCGTTCCAAGGGCATACCTCATTGCTCAAGTATGTCAGCACCCAGGGCAGAATCCAGGCCACACCCTGCGCTGGTGAGGAGGACAATGCTTGCTTGCAGCTGCTATATTTCTGGAGAGAAGGTCCTGGGAGGGAGAAGGAGAGAGAGCAATTTTCAGGGGTTGCTTCACGACTGAGATCCACCTCAGATCTCCAAGTCAACTGAGCAGCGAAGAAGAGCTTTTAGAGCCAAACCCACTCATGCCTGAGGTTCACCCGCCCAGGAATCAGCATAGCTCTTGGAGTTTAGGAATCCAAGAAATAATAACCATACTTTTTGCAGAAGATCAAGCATCCCTGCTCTTACTGAATGCTTCCTTCTTGTCACAGTAAGTTGTAATAATTAGTATTTGGACTGGGTAGCTGTGAAAACTGTTGGGATTCAGCCCCACACTACCCAAGTCCTCAATGAGGAACAGTTTATTTAAGTTAGTATAAACTAAGGGTTTCCCGTCATCCATGTCTCCTGAATGACAGTTGGGAATCTATCTTTTTCTTCTCTCTTCTGCTCTCATTCTGATTGGTTGTTTAAAATTAATACTTCTCTACTGCAGGCCTTTTTGAATCTGACTTCTGCCTTCTTACACTTTAGTATGGAGAGTATGTGCTGTGTGCTTTGAGATCTCTCTCTGCTTGTGTGTCAGGAGAGATGCAGTGATTGAGTTTTTCCCTCTCCTGAAACCTTAGAAGAGATGGGTGTTAGAGTAGCTCAGGCCCAGTTCTTGATTTTTAAGAAACACAGTTATTTCTTATTATTGTAAATAAGCCTTTTGCGATTTTTTTAGACTAGCTGTCCCCTGCCATGGGTTGCTGTGGCCCACTCTGTGTATATGTGTTTTGTGTGTGTATATATTTGTGTGTTTGTTTGTATGTGTGTATGTATGTATGTGTGTGTGTGTGGTTTTGCACATGCATTGTAATTATTATTATTATTTTGCTTTTTAAGTCTCTTCTGCTGTGTTTTTATGAGTGATGGTCTACTTGTCGGCCTGATAGATGTATCGTGTCCAAATTTGGTGTCAGTTCGTCCAGTGGTCTTTTAGTCATGTTAATCCCACAAACAAACATTACATTTTTATTTATATAGACTAGCTGTACCCGCCACGCGTTGCTGTGGCCAACCTTCCCTCCATCTTTCTCTTCTTTCTCTCTCTTCTTCCTTCCCTCCGTCCTTCCTTCCTTCCTTCACTTTTTTCTTTCTTTCTCTCCTTCCTTCTCTCCTTCTTCCCTTCCATGCCCCCCCCCACTTTTTCTTTCCCTTCCTCTTTCTCCCCTTTCTTCCTTCTATATCTATTCTTGGACTTCAACTCCCAGCAGTCCCCCTGATCCATCTGTCTACCTACTTATCTATCTCTAATCTATCAGGTGGATTGCTGGGAGTTGCAGTCCAGGAATAGGAAATTGGAAATAAGCACGGATTGGGATGCTCTCAAAGAAATCCAAGGATGAGAAAGCTTGCATCTAGGAAGCAGTGCATTTGGATCATCCACCTCTCCTAAAGGACCTGGTCTAGGGGATGCTGGGAGCTGTAGTCTGGAAGAGAGTGTGGATATGCTATTGTGCATTTTGTTTGCCAGGGGAGTCATTTATGCGCATGCGCTGTGGTGTCGTTTTGCTTTTTTGGCTTTTAACATCCTTTCCGATGTGTATTTCATTGTTTTTATGAGTGATGATCACTCATTGGCCTGATAGGTGTATTGTGTCCAAATTTGGTGCCAATTCGTCCAGTGGTTTTTGAGTTATGTTAATCCCACAAACGAACATTACATTTTTATTTATATAGATAGGACTCTGCATCTTTGCTCTGAATTCTTCACAGCCACATCAGTTGGCACTTCACGCTCAGCTCGCTAATGAGCTGATGCTCAACTTTTGCTCAAAGAGGGAACAGTGAATGAAAGCAGAGTGAAATAGCAAAGATTTGTAATACACACCCCTGTGTCACTGCTGTTTTGACTCCAGTGGAGAGATGTTAAAGTTATAGGTGTTTTAGATGTCAAAAATGCAGTCTAGTAATAAAAGCCCCCGGTGGCGCAGTGGGTTAAACCACTGAGCTGCTAAACTTGTTGACTGAAAGGTCGCAGGTTCGAATTTGGGGAGCGGCATGAGCTTCAGCTGTCAGCCCCAGCTTCTGCCAACCTAGCAGTTCGAAAACATGCAAATGTGAGTGGATCAATAGGTACCACTCTGGCAGGAAGGTAGCAGCGCTCCATGCAGTCATGCTGGCCACATGACCTTGGAGTGTCTATGGACAACGCCGGCTCTTTGGCTCAGAAATTTAGATGAGCATCACCCCTAAAGTCGGACACGACTGGACTTAAAGTCAAGGGGAAAACCTTTACCTTAATAAAATGTGGCCATGTTTAAGCCTTTCCTAAACCTATCTATGCTCCGTTATGGGGCATTTCTCTGCCATGCTTGCCTCCTTCCCTGTCAATCGGTGCACCATGGTTACTCATTTCCTTTACAGGCATAGGTAAAGCCCTGGAGGCCAATTAGCAAGAGGTACTTGGAATCTTTCAAGAGTTAATCAGTATCCCTTACCGTACTTGGCTTTCCCAGCTTCCTGCCTGATTTGACAGGTGTGGTTTAAGGAGCAAGTTGAGGCACTGGTTGGCTTGCTTGCAACTCCATCCTCCCTCCCTTCTTCTCTACCAGCCAACTATACCAAACCTTGAGTGGAACGGTTCTGCTCTGAATGTGTTCCAACGCAATGGCTGGTCTCACGCTTTAACTGCAAATGGTTGTTACTGTTCATGGAGTTGAGACGACGGGGCACTAGATGTGTCCCAACAGAGAAGCAGGTATGATAAGCCTCCGACTTTGGGAGTATTGGTGCAGGCAGGCAAGCGGTAAGGTCACGTCGGGTCCTTGAAGCTGGTTCCGGTGCCAGGAGTTGCCGGAGGGCTGCTTCTTGCAAAGACTTGTACCTAGTATGCACAATGATTTCATACTTCCAGCTGCTGCTTCTGGTTACCCAGCTGCAGAACTGATCAAGGGAGGGAGACTGCAGGGTGTGTGCGCACGCAAACAATCAACTGCTGTATGAGCATTGGAGCAGGGCCACATATGTGGGGTTTGGGCCCTGGAGGTGAAAGCTGGCAGTCAGAGCATAGCGTTCTGCAAATTTATTTGGCTTTGAAGTGGAGAAGCCTCCTTCCCTTTGCAACTGGCCTTTAAGAAAAGGTAAAGGTATCCCCTTGACATTAAGTCTAGTTGCGTCCAACTCTGGGGGGTGGTGCTCATCTCCATTTCTAAGCCAAAGAGTCAGCATTGTCCGTAGACACCTCCAAGATCATGTGGCCAGCATGACTGCATGGAGCGTCATTACCTTCCCACCAAAACGGTACCTATTAATCTACTCACATTTGCAAGTTTTCAAACTGCTAGGATGGCAGAAGCTGGGACTGACAGTGGGAGCTTACCCCACTCCCCGGATTTGTACTGCTGACCTCTTGGTCAGCAAGTTCAGCAGTTTAACCCACTGCAGCACTGGGGGCTCCCCTTTAAGCCAGCCTCTTTTCTTGATCACTTCCAAATTCATTGGTTGTTCTGCTTTGGGTCAGTGGTAGTGAAGGTGCTCTCTCCACCCAGGCAGTACAACAAGGTTGGTCCTGAATTACCAGAAGCCAGGAGTGGCCTCTTGCAGAGCTCACCATGTCACATGCTTTTGCAAGGTAGGAAGGATATCTCGTAGATATGCAACATGCCAGATAGCAGGTGCTTGGGAATTTGCACAAGGCTAGAGTGTGCCTTCCTCTGAGAAAATTTTTCATGAGGGTTGATGTGCAAAAATAAAGTTGACTTGAACTCAGGGTTTGCAAATCTTACTTGCAGATCCTGAATTCTGATGGTTAGTTAGAGTTTGGTGGCAGCCCTGGAGAAGGGAAAGATTGAGGAGACAAGAGTGGGAATGGGGAAAGCAACAATAAGGGCCGGGCTTTAGCACAGCAGGTTAATCACAAGCAGGAATAGATCTTTCCCAACCAAAATATTGGCAGTTCGAGCCCGAATAGGGGTGAGCACCTGACCATCAGCCTATCTTACTGTTGAACAAGGGAGCATAGGCAGCCCCATGCTTCATGGCATGGGCACATCTTCACAAGCTGTTGCACTCCAGGACAGGAAAAGCCCTCTGACTGTAAACACCACACTGTTGATTGAAAAACAATACTTTTATTAAAGATAATTTTTAAAAAGCAAGTAAAAAAGCATTTTAAAGAAATAGGTAAATCCAATTAGGTAAGAAGATAAGCAGGAGCAAAAATAGTTCTGGGTAAAGTTCAGGAAAGTCCACACTTCTCTAAATATAATTCAGAAAAACAAGAAACATTAATCCAAGGCATGAGTAGGCATTCATACAATCGAAGAATCCAAACCATGAAACAAGAAATAATTAGACAAGAATCTTCCAAGCAAGACTTCCATAAAACAAGGACAAGAACTACACTTGATTCCAACGATGCTTCACCTGACTATATTTCCCATACTTGGAACTTTTATCCCCTCGTTAAGGTATTCCATGCACTCAGGAATTGGTTTCGCTTTACTTGAGATCCTCTTATCTTTTTCCGCTAAAGCCCGGCAGAACGCCGAAGGCACTGTTCAGCCTGTCTGTTTTGACTAATTTCTTCTCACCTATCTATTTGCTCATTAAGTTTTGCAGCTGGGCCAGGTGCCCAGTTGTTTTCAAGCCCCAAATCCAGGGAACTCTCTGGTAACAATTCAGGGAGTACACTATCATCCCCACACCCTTCAGGGACATTCTCATGGGAAACTACACTTTCCACAGGGGTCTCCTGGTCCTTCTCTGCATCAGTACTATTGACCAAACGATTGCCATCTTGAAATTCATTGCCATCACTTCCCACATCCAAAGCACTCTGATCCTGAAACACAATCACAGGCTGAACTCCAACACAAGCTTCTTCTCCTCTCTTAGGGGCTGGGCTGAGTCCTTTAAAATGAGTACCATGGAGCCCAAGATGGAGCCCGAGAGCTTGCCAGTTGGCTACCGACCTCCATACCGCAGCAACTCCGCCTGGCAGTGGAGTGGGTCCGCCACTCATGGTTCCTCTCAGTCTTCAAAGTGGGCAGAGCAGCCAGTATCGGGCCAATCTCAGTCTCTCACCAGGACCCCGAAACAGAGCACCATGGCTCCTTACCGAGAGTCACAGCCCTCGCATGGAAAAAGGTAAGGAGGCCTCACAAAGGTGGGTTTGGGGCTGAGCATTGAGCGTGCCAACTGGAAGACAGTCCTTTGCTTCTTTCTTTTCTCCTGGAGCCAACTCTGAGCTTGACTTCTTGCCCCTGGCACCTCAAAGAGCTTCCTACTGCACTAGAATTGAAATTACCTTTGCGGCAGTCATTGTTTTTGTCTGCCTCCCCATGGTTTCATCATCAGAAGGTGATGGACTTGACCTGGGCACTACATGTGTTGGCTTGGTGACAGTTAACATCACCTTGCTCCTTCCCTGACCCCTTGGCTTGTTGCTCTGTGATTTCTTGTCCCTTGAAGGGAGGTTGCATGACAGGTTTGGGTTTCAAGAGTCATCTTAGTGCTGCGGGCAACTGGGAAAGAGAGCCCTGAACGTCTCCCGTTTTTCTGCATTGTCCATTTCTCCTTCTCTCCCTTTCTCTCTTTGTGTGAACTAGGCCAGTGAGCTTCCCAGAAACCCCCCATGCTGCGTCATCTTCCCAGGGCGAACCGGAGAGGATGCAGGCATACCGGCAGCCCTCAAGCAGTTTCTCTGTGCCTGGCTCTTCAGGAGCAGCCTATAGCCGGTTCAAGCCCTCTCCAGAAAGGTAGGATGCTGCAATTGGGGATGCAAAATATCCCAAGTGGGATAAGGGTGGGGAATCCCCTCTTTAGGGGCATGTGGAGTGTTTATAAAGAGCATCCAGACTAGATGTTACTCGTTGTAGTTGTTGTTGTTGTTGTTGTTGTTATCGTTATGTTTATACCCTGCTTTTTCTCTCCACAAGGAGACTCAAAGCGGCTAAATGTAGAACTTGTCGTTGTTGTTGTTGTTGTTTACATATATTTCTCCAAAACTTGGGACTCAAGGTGGCTTAAAAGGTAAAGGTTTCCCCTTGACTTTAAGTCTAGTCGTGTCCAATTCTGGGGGGTTGGTGCTCATCTCCATTTCTAAGCCGAAGAGTTGGCATTGTCCGTAGACACCTCCAAGGTCATGTGGCTGGCATGTCTGCATGAAACACTAATAATGATAATAATAATAATAATAATAATAATAATAATAATAATAATAATAAAACTTTACTTATACCCCGCCACCATCTCCCCAAGAGGATTCGGAGTGGCTTACATGAGGCCAAGCCCGACAACACATCAATAAAACAAAAAGCAATAAGCAAAAATAATACAATTAATATAACTCACATGTAAACAGTGTTAACACTGTTACCTTCCTGATAGAGCGATACCTGTTTGTTTTTTTAAGAATTTTTTATTCTTAAAAAGTAACCTAAAACCATAATACAACACAATACACATACTGAAAATAAAACAGAACCAGAGGGGGATAAAAAAATACAAAAATAGAAATAATAATAATAATAATAATAATAATGAAAAACATTGACTTCCGTTCTTCCTCCTTTCACCCCACTAATAATGAAAAGGTTTCTTCTATAGTCCCAACAAAAAATATAATTTTTCCTCAGTCTTTGTCAAACATCCTCTTAGTTACCCTCCTTATTAATAAAGTCTTCAAAAACCCTCCAATACGTCATTTTTAATTCCCTTTCCGTTGCTTGATTTTAATAGAAATGTCTATCTATGTCTTTAATTTCCATTATTTTGTCTAACAACCATTTGGTATTAGAGGGAATTAACTCCATTTTCCAAAACTTAGCAAAAGTCATTCTTGCCGCAGTCACAAAAAAGTGAACAATTTATCAACATTTAGATCTTTAAATAACTCCAAATCATATATTCCTAAAAGATAATATTTTAGGTACCTATTGATCTGCTTACATTTTGCATGTTTTCAAACTGCTAGGTTGGCAGAAGCTGGGGCTAACAGCGGGAGCTCTCCCCGCTCTCCGGATTTGAACAACCGACCTTTCGGTCAACAAGTTCAGCAGCTCAGTGGTTTGACCCACTGCGCTACCAAGGGCTTCTCAAGGTGGCTTATGATTTCAAAAAGAGCATCGAAACGTGCAAAAAAGTGAACATTAATATGAAATGAAATGAGTCAGGGCATTAAATCAATTTAAAACTGCATTTAAAAAGATAAAAGAGGGCCTCTATTCCTGAATTCCAGTTCGGGGCATTTCTAGGTTTGTACTGTAAACTAACTGAGACCAATTTTAAGAATGCTCTCTCAACAATGAGTAAAATCTAAGTGGAGCATTATCCCCTGTGTGGCTGGCAAGAGTAAAATAAATCATTAAAAAATGAGGAAATGCAAACACGCTCGCATCTGATGTTTGCTTTGCCTGACCTCCTTTTCTGAAGCTGCCTTCTCTCGGGGCCAACCCTGAGTTTATTTTTAAGAGCTGTGGCACGCTGTAATGTCATGAGAAGTGGGGTGGGGGATTTGAAAGGGGGGCGGTGCTTTCTATCTTGTTCCTCTCCTTTTTGGAGACTGAGACACAAATTACGTTTTTGCGCATTGTGGCTACATCAAAAACAGCAGTGTCGAAAACTATACATAGCACAATCCCGCAACCTCTCCTCAAGGGGGAATAACAGAGTTGGGGTGGAGCAGTTTGCTACAGCTAGAGCATTCAACTCTTTTGGTTCTAGACCTTTCTCAGAAGGGAACTTAGCCACGACTGGATGGCCATCAGTCGGGCATGCTTTGAATGTGATTTTCTTGCTTCTTGGCAGGGGGATGGACTAGATGGCTCACGAGAGCTCCTCCAACTCTTATGATTCTATGATCTCACCTTTTCATAGAATCATAGAGTCATAGAGTTGGAAGAGACCTCATGGGCCATCCAGTCCAACCCCCTGCCAAGAAGCAGGAATATTGCATTCAAAGCACCCCTGACAGATGGCCATCCAGCCTCTGTTTAAAAGCTTCCAAAGAAGGAGCCTCCCCCACTCCAGGACAGAGAGTTCCACTGGTGAACGGCTCTCCCAGTCAGGAAGTTCTTCCTCATGTTCAGATGGAATCTCCTTTCTTGTAGTTTGAAGCCATTGTTCTGCGTCCTAGTCCTAGTCTCCAGGGCAGCAGAAAACAAGCTTGCTCCCTCCTCCCTGTGGCTTCCTCTCACATATTTATACATGGCTATCATGTCTCCTCTCAGCCTTCTCTTTTGCAGGCTAAACATGCCCAGCTCCTTAAGCCGCTCCTCATAGGGCTTGTTCTCCAGACCCTTGATCATTTTAGTCGCCCTCCTCTGGACACATTCCAGCTTGTCAATATCTCTCTTGAATTGTGGTGCCCAGAATTGGACACAATATTCCAGGTGTGGTCTAATCAAGGTGGAATAGAGGGGTAGCATTATAATGCTTCCGTGATGGTGTGTAGGAGTTTTCTGCCAGAAGCACCAGCATGGTGGCCTTGGTGAGGCTTATCTCAAAGACCCGCACCCACGTCATTACCTGCTTCCAGGGGTGCCTTTCCATTGTATGCACTCTAATTGGGGATAGTAATTGCTATCTACCTTGGCCCAAGGACCATACCTGCCACCTTGAACAATTTCCAAGCACTCTTAGCTATGGAGTTGCCTTCTGGCCATGTTAGCCTGGTGCTCCAACCCATGGGTGGCATGAAGGAGGAATCACAGTAGCACTTTCTCGCAGAAGAGCCTGAAGTGCTGCATCCCTTAGGCCAGCATTGTACTCTCAATCTCTGTTTGTTTGTTTTTTCTTCCCATGCATCCATTCATTGCTACAGAAGCAGAATTGACTGAGGAGCTGGGCATGTGCATTTGTGCATTCCACTCCGTGTGCTCACCTCCTCCCTCCACGTTGGGTATTTTTAAAACGTGCTAATGAACGGAAGAGGCTGGGTGTTGTCTTTCCCGCTGCATCTCTTTGCCGTCTTGAGCTGATGCGCTCTCTCTCTCTCTCTCTCTCAGCTCTATTCACAGATACGCAGGCCCCCAGCGGTCCTTGATGCCGTTTGAGTCACTCTACGCCCACGAGGTGACCTCCAATGGAGGGGACTCCTCCTCATCTGGACTAGCCAGCCAGGAGAGCACCATGGAGAAGCCCAAGCCTGGTAAGGAGGAAGCATTGGGGTGGCCTAGGACCCGACCGTCCCATCCCTACCTGCCTTTGGTACTCACCAAGAGTTTCAGAGTCAGAGGGAGGCTTTTCTGGATTGATTTAGGCATCTGGTTCTTCAAGGCAATAAGACTGTGGCCTTTGGGTGGGGATGTAAACATATATCTTTGTATCTAAACCAGGGGTCCACAAACTTTTTAAACAGAGGGCCAGGTCACAGTCCCTCAAACTGTTGGCAGGCCAGATTATTAGAAAAAAATACGAATAAATTTGTATGCACACTGCACATATCTTATTTATAGTGCAAAAACATTTAAAACAATACAATAATTAAAATTAAGAATAATTTTAACAAATATAAACTTATTAGTATTTCAGTGGAAAGTTTGGGCCTGCTTTTGGCTGATGAGATAGAATTGTTGTTGATATTGTGTAGTTTCATCATTAGATTGACCCTGAGCGAGGGCTGGGTAAATGACCTTGGAGGGCTGCATCTGGCCCCCGAGCCTTAGTTTGAGGACCCCTGTTCTAAACGGTTATCTAAACATATATCTAAACAGGCCCAGCTTACCTGTCCGAACATATCTCTCCCTATGAACCAGCTAGGAACTTAAGATCGTCTGGGGAGGCCCTACTCTTGGTCCCACCTCCTTTGCAGATGCGATTGGCGGGAACGAGACACAGGGCCTTCTCAGCGGTTGCCCCTCGGCTATGGAACACCCTCCCAAGGGATATCAGATCAGCATCCTTCCTTCTAACGTTTTGAAACAGAGTTACAGCCTTGCTCTTTGAGCAAACATTTGCAAATGGAGTGTAACAAACTAATCTAGATCTACGAAACGATTGGATGATGCGACGGGAAAATGATTTTAGATGCTGAGGACTTGTGTTTTATGGTTTTAATAGTTTCTACTGCTTTTATATGGTCTATATTATATGTTAATGTTTTTAATTATATTTTATGTTGTTGGTGGCATTGATTGCCGATTGTAAACCGCCTCGAGTCGGCTTCTGGCTGAGAGAGGCGGTATATAAATATGGTAAATAAATAAATAAAAAAATTCCTTTTACTCATACTTGCTCTGTTACATTGGATCAACAGATCCTGCCTTATTCTAGGCCAGATCCTTGGCCCATCTAGCCCAGAAGTGGGCATATGTCTGATGACCAGGAACCAGTCCCCTTCTCACAATCCCTTCATGGGATTTGAACCCTCCCATTAAGTCCACCCCATGCAATACATTGTTCCTTCCTATCAGTCCTACATCCATTAGAGCAGTGGTTCCCAACCTGTGGGTCCCCAGAGGTTTTGGCCTACAACTCCCAGAAATCGCAGGCAGTTTAGGATTTCTGGGAAATCCTAAACATCTTGGGACGCACAAGTTGAGAACCACTGCATTAGATTGTCATTGAGTCTCTTTCCTTATATAGAGAGTGGATGGTCTCTGTCATCTGTCAAGACTGTTTTGGTTGTGTATTCCTGCCCAGTTTAACAACTGTTAGGACTTCTGGGAGTTGAAGGCCAAAACATCTTGGGACCCACAAGTTGAGAACCACTGCATTAGAGTGTCATTGAGTCTCTTTCCTTATATAGAGAGTGGGTGGTCATCTGTTAAGACTGTTTTAGTTGTTTATTCCTGCACGGCAGGGGGTTGATTAGCATTGAATGGCTTTGCAGCTTCAAACCCTGGCTGGTTGCTGTCTGGGTAGATCCTTTGTTGGGAGGTGTTAGCTGTCCCTGATTGTTTCCTGTCTGGAATTCCCCTATTGTTTTGGGTGTTGCTCTTTATTTATTGTCCTGATTTTAAAGTTTTTTAAAATACTGGTAGCCATATTTTGTTCATTTTCATGGTTTCCTTCTTTCTGGCTAAGTATTTTTAATATACATTTATAACTGTTTTAATGTATATAGTTGTATTTTATGATATGTTTTATACTGAATAGTTGCCTGGTGGAAGCCGCCCTGAGTCCCTCTTCAGAGGTTGAGAAAGACAGGGTATAAATGTTTTAAATACATAAAACCCACAAGAACCTCATAAATAAATAAATTGTCCACATGCTGGTGGATTTCAATGCCTTCTCTGTGTAATCTGACATGGTGGTTGTTAGAGTGGTCCAACATTTCTGTGTTCTCAAATAATATGCTGTGTCTACGTTGGTTCATCAAATGAACAAAATCTTGCTACCAGTGTTTAAAAAACTCTAAAATCAGGACAGTAAGTAAAGAACAGCACATAGAAAACATGGGAATTGCAGACAAGAAACAATCAGGTTGATAATCTTGTGAGTATATTTAAACAAGTTGAAATATATGGTGCTGAATGGATGTATTTACAACAAACATTAATATATATGATAAGTAAATATATATATTTACTACAAATAAATTCATAGAAAACCATGTACATAAACACCTATAAAGATACATATAAGAATTTTAGTCCACCAGAGGAAGGCCTGGAGTGAGGCCGAAACCGGTCGCGGACTACGGATTTAAGTTAAAACTCGACGCAAGAACATACAGCGTTGATACTTTTTTGAGTGACTGTACCAAACACATATAATATAGGGTTGTTGTAGGTTTTTTCGGGCTATATGGCCATGTTCTAGAGGAATTCTCTCCTGACGTTTCGCCTGCATCTATGGCAAGCATCCTCAGAGGTAGTGAGGTCTGTTGGAACTAGGAAAATGGGTTTATATATCTGTGGAATGACCAGGGTGGGACAAAGGACTCTTGTCTGCTGGAGCTAGGTGTGAATTTTTCAACTGACCACCTTGATTAGCATTTGATGGCATATAATGATCTCATAGCACTTTGCCCTCCAAAGCACTTTACATTTCTTTAGGTCTGCTAGTATGCCCTTCACAAACACCTTATCTCCTTTTGTCCAGGTCCCAACATTATTTCCAATTTTAACTTTACATTTGGCCTTCCCACTGTTTTTAATTGTGTGTTGTCTTAGTGATAATGTTGTATATTTTACTGCTTATGCTTTTTTATTTTAACTGCTTGTATTGTTGTTTATTGTCTGTATTGTTGTATTTGGGCTCGGCCTCATGTAAGCCGCACCAAGTCCCTTGGGGAGATGGTAGCGGGGTACAAATAAACTGTTGTTGTTGTTGTTGTTGTTGTTGTTGTTGTTGTTGTTGTTGTTATTATTATATTGTTTTGTGAATGCTATGTTTTGGAACAGTATAATAAGTTTCACCAGTCACATTATTGGCTGAACTGATTTATTTTTCTTTCTGTGTACAAGTGGGCTATTATGTTGTATGAAGAAACAATCAGGGCCAGCTAACACCTCCCAACAAAGGATTCCCCAGGCAGCAACCAGCCAGGCTTGAAAATGCCGGGCTTTGCAATGGCAATCAAGACGGCCAGGAGCAATATTCACACTTGCCTCCACAGACAAGAGTTCTTTCTCCCACCTTGGACCTTCAATAGATATAAAGACCTCCCTTGTCTAGTTTCCAATATACTTCACACAACCTCTGAAGATGCCTGCCATAGATGTGAGCAAAACGTCAGGAGAGAATGCTTCTGGAACATGGCCATACAGCCCGGAAAACTCACAGCAACCCAGTGATTCCAGCCATGAAAGCCTTTGACAACACATCCCAAAATTACTTCCCTTGTCCTGTTGGTGTTTACAGAACCTCTTTGGCATGTTCCAGTTCAGCCCAGGATATCTGCAGCTTCTGGAAGCAAGCGGACAAGCCGACATGAGATGGCAGGCAAGGATTCTCCCAACCGGCATGCCAAGGTGAGTCTGGCCTCTCAGGGGCCACAAAGCTTGCTTGGACAGGCGTAAGGAACAAATGGCCTGTGAGCTTCATGTAGCCCTTGAATCCCACTCTCGCAGCTCCCTGGGTGTCTTGCCAAAACATTGCAAAGTTTCCATCCTCTGTTCCAAAGCTGCTTTAGATTCAACTGTTGCACCCAAGCCAGGATTCACCCTGCACTTAACACCAGCCAGGAATCCAAAAGTAGTCATAAAACAGTTTATTGAGAAAAGGACATATAAAAAGGAAAGGCAATATCCAATAGGTAATAGGAAGAATAGTCAACAAGTAACAAGTCAAACCAAACTTTCAATAGTAAAAAAAAAAAAAACACACACACACACACACACTCCAAAGGTGATAATCCAAACAGTCAAAATCTGTTCCATAAAACAAGGTACAGGAAAACCAGAATCTAAACATGAGCATACATTCAGGAAAACAAGAATAAAAAAATGAATTAGAACAGCATTTCTCAGCCTGGGGGTCGCAACCCCTGGGGGCGGGTTGCAAAGGGGTGTCAGAGGGGTCACCAAAGACCATCAAAACACAGCATTTTCTGTTGGTTATGGGGGTTTTGGTGGGAAATTTGCCCCAATTCTATCGTTGGAGGGGTTCGGAATGCTCTTTGATTGTAGGTGAACTATAAATCCCAAAATTACAACTCCCAAATGTCAAGGTCTATTTTCTCCAAACTCCACCAGTGTTCGCTTTTTGGGCATATTGAGTATTCTTGTTAAGTATGGTCCAGATCTATCATTGTTTGAGTCCACAGTGCTCTCTGGATGTAGGTGAACTACAACTCCAAAACTCAAGGTCAATGCCAAACCCTTCCAGTATTTTCTCTTGATCATGGGGGTTCTGTCATTGTTTGAGTCCGCAGTGCTCGCTCGATGTAGGTGAACTACAACTCCCAAACTCAAGGTCAGTACCCACCAAACCCTTCCAATATTTTCTTTTGGTCATGAAGGTTCTATGTGGGAAGTTTGGACCAATTCTATCATAGGTGGAGTTCAGAATGCCCTTGATTGTAGGTGAACTTTACATCCCAGCAACTACAACTCCCAAATGTCAAGGTCTATTTTCCCCAAACTCCACCAGTGTTCACATTTTGGGCATATTGAGTATCCATGCCAAGTTTGGTCCAGATCCATCATAGTTTGATGTCTGGATGTAGGTGAACTACAACTCCCAAACTCAAGTTCAATGCCAAACCCTTCCAGTATTTTCTGTTGGTCATGGGGGTTCTGTGTGGAAAGTATGTCCCAATTCTCTCTCTGGTGGAGTTCAGAATGCTCTTTGATTGTAGGTGAACTATAAATCCCAGCAACCTTAACTCCCAAATGACAAAAACTACCCCCCCCCCCCCAATCCCACTAGTATTCAGATGTGGGCATATAGGATATTTGTGCCAAATTTCGTCCAGTAAATGAAAATACATTCTGTATATCAGATGTTTACATTACGATTCATTACAGTAGCAAAATTACAGTTATGAAGTAGCAACGAAAATAATGTTATGGTTGGGAGTCACCTCAATATGAGGAACTGTATAAAGGGGTTGCAGCATTAAGATGGTTGCGAACCACTGCTATAGAAACTTCTTAAAACATGAACCCAAACTCCCAAGATTTTAGACTCAAAACATGAACTGGAAACAAGGTTCGAGATCCTCACTGCTTTGCAGCGTTGCCTGGTCTGAATTCTAAAGGGAACAGTTCTCTGATTTGAGGTCCACAAGCCATGAAGTCATGCCTGTGACCTTGCCTGCCTTGCCAGTGAGATTTCTCACACTGTTGTTTCTCACAGAGTCTCTGTGACCTTCTTAACTTGCTTGCTTCTTCCCTAAGATTAAATCTGATATTTCTGCTGACCACAGGTGTATTTTCAGGTGAACTTTCTCACCCATCAAACTCCTTATCTGGGGTTATTATGAGACACCTAGGCAAAAGGCCTTTGCCAGCCAGTGCATCTCCTTTCAAGCCCATTCTCACAGACAGGATCTAAACTCCTCTCATTTCCCTCATTGAAAAGACCACCCACTCTCTCAGGCCCTGGAATAACAATCCCTTCATTGTCATCAGCTGGCTGAACCACAACACCAACATGCAGCCGCCTTCCCTTCTTTCTCCTCCATGACTGACTCTCCCCTCTTCTCCTCCCTCTAACTTTCTGCAGGGTGAAGGGCAATATTCAAGCAGCCACTCCAGCAGCAACACTCTTTCCAGCAATGCCTCCAGTAGCCACAGCGATGAGCGCTGGTTTGACACGCCAGATCCCGTCGAAGCTGATCCAGACCCCCTGGCGAAAGGGGGCTCCAGCGACAGCGGCATTGATGCCACCAGTGCCAAGTCTTCACGGAGGGACAAGCTACCCAAGTCCTCACCCCCCTTTGGATCCACTCACAATGAGGCTGGTGGAAAGAGGAAGGAACCCTCCGGTGGACAGGGCTGGGGCTACCGGACCAAGGGCTTCGCCATGGGGTCTGGCATGCCTGCCCGAGGGGCCAGCAGCAGCATTAATGACCACCTCAAGCAGTCTAGGTGAGTGGATCCATCGTTCCAGTAGAAATTGTCCTTTTAAGAGTTGTTGATCCCACTTCTAAACACAAAGTTGTGGCCTTAGGGCCTGCTTGTTCCCTCCTCCTTTGGTCTCATAGATTTAGGTCAGTGTTTCTCAACTTGGGGGGTCAGGACCCCTGGGGAGGTCGCGAGGAGGTTTCAGAGGGGTCGCCAAAGACCATCAGAAAAAATATATTTCTGATGGTCTTAGGAACCCCTTTGGGTTTCATTTTTGGAAACAGACAGCCAATCCTCCTACCAAAAGCCCTCTTCCGCTGTGATTGGCTGGCCTCCAAGACAAGGGGAGGGCTGTTTCTGAGACTCCAAGTGGGGAGGGGAGAGCAGGCATGCTCGGTGCATGGCAGCATGGTGCGCATGTGGAACAAATGCAGTTTCGTCATTGCTATGAGTGTGATAAAAGGAAGAGGGTCAGTGCTGCTCCCAAATCTCTTTGTTGCCATGTGACTTCTGGCCATGTCTCCTCACCCTAGGAAGCCAGTGGATTGAGTTGGTGATAATAATATTTTTTTCGTATCAGGAGCGACTTGAGAAAGTGCAAGTCGCTTCTGGTGTGAGAGAATTGGCCGTCTGCGTCGCAATTACATTTGGCAGGGACAAGAGACAGAGCCTTCTCAGTGGTGGCCCCTCGGCTATGGAACGCCCTTCCTAGGGACATTAGATCGGTCCCCTCCCTTTTAATGTTCCGGAAAAAGGTTAAGACTTGGTTGTTTGAGCAAGCGTTTGAAAATGCGTTGTAACAAACATAGGAAATTGGGACTACTGGATGACAAGTCTGAACAAAGTTTTTAACTAGGAGGTGTAAATGATTTATGTTTTATTAATTTAGTTATGGTTTTATATTATATGTTAATGTTTTTAAATATTTTTATGGTGTTGTGGGCATTGAATTGCTGCCTCTGTAAACCGTCCTGAGTCGCCTGCGGACTGAGAAGGATGGTATACAAATATAGTAAATAAATAAATAAATAAAATGTCCCTACTTGGGGAGCTGGAGGTGACAGAGGGAGCTCCCCGGATTCCAACCTCTGATCTATCGGTCAGCAGTCCTACCGGCAGAAGGGTTTAATCCATTGTGCCACCGGAGGCTCCATAATAATCATAATCATAATCATAATCATATTGTCGAAGGCTTTTGTGGTCGGATTCACTGGGTTGTTGTAGGTTTTTCGGGCAGTATGGCCATGTTCTGGAAGCATTTTCTCCTGACCTCAGAGAGAACTGACCTCACAATCTCTGAGGATGCCTGCCATAGATGCAGGCGAAACGTCAGGAGAGAATGCTTCTAGAACATGGCCATACAGCCCAAAAAGCCTACAACAACCCAATAATAATAATCATCATCATCATCATCTTTGTTTGTATCCCGCCCCCCTCTCCCCAAAGGGACTTGGGGAGACTTAGCAGAGAAGATGCTCAGCTTCATCCAGACTGGGTTTTCATATTTTTCCTTCTTGTTTTTTCTAGCCACAATAACAGCAACTCCAGGGCAACTTACCCTGCTCACATATACAAAAACTCCATGGCGGAGGCATCCCGGGCCCCACACATGTCACAGTCCAGCTCCTTCCAGCTCTCGGCCTCGGTCCCCAAGTCCTTCTTCTCCAAGCAGAGCAGCAGAAACAAACACCTTCCAGCTGGGTGGAAGAAAAACAACGAAGATACCCCCGCCAGACCGGTCACCTTCACCGACCCAAAGAAGTAAGTGCTGGCTAGGATGAGTGTGTTAGAGAACTGACTCCGAAATCTCTGTCCCCTTTACTTGGTTTTCATGCCATTGGTGTGTTTCTCACAAAGGCTATCGGAAGTATCCACCTATCTTTTCCTTCTACTGGACAATATATGCGTGTAAGACTTATGCAGTCCATTTCCCTGGCAAGTTAAAGCTTTCTGTTGGGAATCAGGAGATGTTAGGCTCAAAAATTATTTATTTATTTATTTACGGCATTTATATGCCGACCTTCTCACCCTGAAGGGGACTCAGAGGGACTTACAAGATACACACACACACACATATCTATATAAATAAAAATGTAATGTTCGTTTGTGGGATTAACACAACTAAAAAACCACTGGATGAATTGACACCAAATTTCGACACAATATGCCAACGAGTGAACATCACTCATAAAAACACTGAAAAACACAATGGAAGAGACTTAAAAAGCCAAAAAAATTTAAAAATATTACAATGCACATATATATATATACATATACACAAATATATACACACATATTCACATATATACACACACAAGATACATATACACAGACTGGGCCGCAGCAACACATGGCAGGGGGCGGCTAGAGTGTGTGTGTATATTATTATTATTATTATTATTATTATTATTATTATTATTATTAGCATAGTACAATATCAGTGTTATCTATTACTATATTGTACTATACAATTACATTGTAATATTAGTAATATTACATGTATATAAATAAAAATGTAATGTTACTTTGTGGGATGAACATAACTCAAAAACCACCAGACGAATTCACACCAAATTTGGACACAATACACCTATCGCGCCAACAAGTGACTGTCACTCATAAAAACATTGAAAAACGCAGCAGAAGACACTTAAAAGCCAAAAAACCCATGTCAACACCCAAGCAGGCCAAATCCAGTTTAGTTTCTGAAATATATGATGCAGAAGACCTTACCAGCCCAAAGACTCCCCTTCCTTGGCTATCTTATCTCATCAATTCACTTTTGATGATTGAAACATAATGATGGACAAAGCCAGATGGGTGCCAGAGGGCTCCCAGTGAGGAAAGATTTCAAGGCAATGAACTGTTGAGTTCCTGGGAGATAGAACCAGCTTCTGTCCTGATGCACAACAACATTAAATGCAAGATGGCTGAATATGTCCTTTCATGGCTTTCCTTGGACATCCTGAGGGCAATGATGGGGAAACTCCTGGGCAACCTATTTTGTTGTGAGCCCTTCCTATGGATCTCACCTCCTGTCCTGGACCCTTGTTCCTTGTTCAGAGGAGCATAGAGACTCTTCGTCACAGGCTCAAAATACTTGGTGTGACTCTCCCACTGAAAATGGGTTCTCAGTCTAATCCTGGCTGAGTTCTAGCTGCTGTTCAGAACATAACAGACACCCCGCACGCCCGACTTCCTCCAGGAAAGTGTGGGAACAAGCGAGACAGACTTTCAGGAGGAAGTTAGCATTCACCACTCACGCAAATGCTGTGCTGTGAATCTGGAAGGAAAGGAGGTGTCGGTGGGCGATGCAGAATAAAAAGGCTGGCTGCTGAGTCAGCACGGAAAGGGCAAAGCATGCTTCTTGCTTGTGGGGGATGACGGCTTCTGAGAAAGGTAGAAATTGTCTCACATCACCCCACAACGTCTTTTATAAATGACGTGGCTTCATCCCATTCTTTTCTTACAAAGTGTGATGCAGTCTGATGTAATGCAGGCAGGGCATTATCACTATCACTTTAACTTGCCTCATCCTAAACTGCAGTTTCTTGTATTCCATAGGACAGAACCATGGCAGTTAAAGTTGGAGTTACATGGCTATAATTGTGTGAATGGACCTCAAATGAACACAGGCTGCTTGTGTAGGCAGTCAGTCCATCAATAAACCATAGTATTGTATTGTCGAAGGCTTTCATGGCTGGAATCACTGGGGTTTTGTAGGGTTTTTGGGCTATATGGCCATGGTCTAGAAGCATTCTCTCCTGACGTTTCGCCTACATCTATGGCAAACATCATCAGAGGTTGTGAGGTCACAACCTCTGAGAATGCTTGCCATAAGTGCAAGCAAAACGTCAGGAGAGAATGCTTCTAGAACATGGCCTTACAGCACGAAAAACCTACAATAACCCAATCTTACTATTATTATTATTATTATTATTATTATTATTATTATTAGATACACAACAAGATTAGTGCACAGCAAACTAGACCAGAAACTGTTATTATTTCAGGCCACTGGTTGTTGCTCGTCGTTTTTATATTGTGTTATATATCTGGTTGTTTTATATTGTTTTATGATGTTGTTATTGAATTTTAATGTGCTATTTTAATTATGTCGGGCTTGTCCCCATGGAAGCCGCCCTGAGTCCCTTCAGGGAGATGGAGCCAGGGTACAAAAATAAAGTTGTTATTATTATTATTATTATTATTATTATTATCACTGTGCTGACTTTTGTATACAATTACACTCCAAAGTGTCTAGAACTGTGTGATGTATTGGCGAATAATACATGCAGATCCAAGTAGGGTGGCTGTTTGCAGCTGACAGATGGTGATTTTATCAGCGCCAATTGTTTTTAAGTACAGGCCAAGGTCTTTAGGCACTGCACCCAGTGTGCCAGTCATCACTAGGACCACCTTTACTGGCTTGTGCCAAAATCTTTGCAGTTGGATCTTTAAATCCTCATATCTTGTAAGTTTTCCATTTTTTATTTGAAACAACAAGATGAGTCCACAGCAGACACTCTGCTGAATTGGATCATACGTCAGACACTTCCCAAGTGTCTAGGACTGTGTGATGTATCAGCGAATAATGTGTGCAGATCCCAGTAAGGTGGCCTTCTGCAGCTGGCAGATGGTAATTTTGTCAGCGCCGATTGTGTTTAAGTGCAGCCAAGGTCTTTAGGCACTGCACCCAGTGTGCCGATCACCACTGGACCACCTTTACTAGTTTGTGCCAGAATCTTTGCAGTTCGATCTTTAAATCCTCATATCATGTCAGCTTTTCCAGTTGTTTCTCTGCAATCCTGTTGTCACCTGGGATTGCAACATCGACAATCCATACTTTTTTTTAACACGATTGTGAGGTCAGGAGTATTATGCTCCAAAACTCTGTCAGTCTGAATCCAGAAGGAGTTTGGCGTGTTCAGTTTCTGTAAATTTTCTGGCTTGTGATCCCACCAGTTCTTTGTTGCAGGCAGATCGTATTTGTGGCGCAAGTTCCAATGAATCATCTGAGCAACGGTGTTATGCCTCTGCTTGTAGTCTGTCTGCGCGATCTTCTTGCAGCAGCTGAGGATGTGATCTCTTGTTTCATCTGCTTCCTTGCAGAGTCCATTATTATTATTATTATTATTATTATTATTATTATTATTATTATTATGTTTAGTTGTACGCCGCTTTTTCTCTCCACAAGGCAACTCAAAGCTTCTATATTACACCTTTTCCTCAAGAGTGGGACTAAATATACTTTTCTTTCTGCTTTGCTATTCATTCATGCTCAGTAAGTGAGCTGATTAGAGGTTTATTAACTGATGTGTGCCTGTGTTAGCTAAATGCATACAAAAAGTTAAGATTCAAAATAAGCTATTAAACTATGTGTAGAATTAAAACCATATGAAATTGGAATTTTAAAATCTGATTTAAAAACAGTGAAGCATTAAATCAGAAAATCCATTATATTAAACAAACAGTTCTGAAACAGCGGCTAGAATACAAAGGAATGCACATGATGAATGGATAGAAAGGAGGAAGCCAGGCCAGCCTCCCTAAGAAGGGAGCTCCAGAATTTAGGAACAAGCTTAGAGAAAGTCTCCCCTTGCATTTCTCCCTAATGCGTCTGTGAAGATCATGAATTTGAGAGAAGTACCTCCTCCAAAGACCTTTGTAGGATCATATTCTGCATCTTGAGAACCCTAACTCTGTTTAGGATTTGGAAAATGGATGAGCTGGGTTTCTTTCAATGCTGTAACCTATTCCTTTTTAAGCTCATTCTTCTTAGTCTCTTCTTTTTTGGAGAATGAACGATTGAGATCCACCAATTTAAACAGAGTGCTATGTGCCATGCATTCCCCTCTTAGACATGCAACCCTGAGGCTTGCCCCAACTGAAATGTGGCCTTCTGGCACTGTGGACATTGTACATTCCTCAACTAAGATATTGTGAAGGCCAGAGAAGCTGGAGGTATAAAACATCTGGAGGAGGAAGGTGACTTCTTGTTCTCCATCTCTTTCCCCAGGCAAGTGGACCTGAGCACCAAGAACGTCTTTGGGCAGCCCCGGCTACGAGCCTCCCTGCGTGACCTTCGCTCCCCCCGCAAGACCTACAAATCCTCCATTGAGGATGACCTGAAGAAGCTGATCATCATGGACAGCAGTGTTGTTGAGCAGGAGAGAGATTTGGTGAGTGAGGGGTAGGGCTAAGACTCAGAAGTATGTCCTGCTTCTCCAGCTTGGTTCTTGGGCAGTTGCCTGTCAACATGCTCCTTTTTTGCTCCTCATCACCATGTTGCTAAGCTATAGAGACAGAGTGGAATTGACTTTGAAGCTTTGTGGTTCTTAAGGACCCTCAGCAGCAGAACTCCCTGGTCCAGTTCTTCTCCTCCTTGTTGGGTCAGACTTCCAGCTGCTTCCTGAGTCATAATTAGCTCACATAAGTGGCTTCATAGTGTGGCGAGTAGCAGAAAGCCTCTGGGTATGCCCTACCTGTGTTCCTGTTGGGCAAGTGGGCTTATTAACAAAAGACCCTCATAAATGTACAGCAGACTAACTTATTGGCAGCAGCGTGACCCAGCACCAATTTCCAAAAGTGATAAAAAGAACTAAAAGCACACAGACTAATGTTGTCTGTTCCATAGGAGGCTTTACTTTATATCAAAATAACATAGTAGCACTATTTACAAGAACAAGGTTTCCATGGCACAAAGTTCTTTACACTTCTTTCTTTGCTTCCACTCTGAGCTTTTTCTCATTCAGATAAACAGCTTCGCTCTCACAGAGCCTCTTCTCACACTGAAGTTGCACAGGAGCTTCACACAGTAGCTTTTTACACACAGCAGCCTTCATACATGATGGCCTTCATCCTGAGACTTCTCTCACTGGAAATTCTCACACACCACTCACACCGAGGCATACTAACACTGAGTCCTGGCCTTCAACCTGGGTCTTCTCTCACCGAAGCTTCTCACACACCACTTACACCGAGGCGTACTAACACTGAGGCCTTTCTCCCAATGAGACCTTCTCACACTGAAGGCTCTCTCAGGCTGATGTCTCTCTCACACTGAGGCGAACTAACACTGAGGCCGGGATTGTGGCGCAGCTGGCTGAGTGTCAGCTGCATTAAGATCATTCTGACCAAAGGGTCATGAGTTCGAAGCCAGCCCAGGTTAGAGTGGGTTTCCAACCAATTGTGTAGCCTGTTGTCGACCTTTGCAACCCGAAAGACAGTTGCATCTGTCAAGTAGGAAAACTGGGTATCACCTTAAAGTGTGGGGAGGCTAAATTAAGTAATTTATGAGGCCATAAAAAAGACTCCAGCAAAGCACTCCCGCAAAAAAGCATGCGGGGAATGCAGAAGTACTTCATCAGTGTCGCAGATGGACGATGAAAAGCGACAGCTCCCCTGGCGGCCAGAAAAGTTAAATAGCCTCTGTGTATGTCTGTATATATTGTATGTCAAAATTGGCATTGAATGTTTGCCAGATATGTGTACACTGTAATCCGCCCTGAGTCCCCTGCGGGGTGAGAAGGGCGGAATATAAATGCTGTAAATAAATAAATAAATAAATTCTCATACTGAGGCCTACTAACACACTGAGGCCTTTCTCCCACTGAGGCCTTCTCACACTGAGGGCTCTCTCAGACTGATATCTCTCTCACACTGAGGCCTTCTCATACTGAGGCCTACTAACACACCGAGGCCTTTCTCCCACAGAGATCTTTCACAGACTGAGGGCTACTAAGCTACAGGCATACCTGCATATGTTGAACTGCAGCTTTTGCCGAGTCATTGCATCCATTTAACCCTTTCAGTGCTTGACTCACATTTTTGTAATTAAAAATACCTAGTTAATATTTAATATTTCTGACATTTCCTTCCTCATTGCTGGTTGGTGAGCTCCTAGTAGCCACCCTCTGAGTATGTGAGAAAGGTCCATCTTCAGCAGAACTTTGCTTCTGCTCACCTGAGCCCATTCTGATGTTCTTGTGTCTTTCTTCCCAGTCCCCACAGAAGACGCTCCAGAGAACCCTCTCAGATGAGAGCTTATGCAGTGGACGCCGAGATGCCACCTACGCCAGCGCCTACTGCTTTGAGCAGCCCCTTGCCAGCGATGTCCTCTTCACCAGCACCTACCCCTCCAGCACCCTCCCTGTGCGGAAGCAGCAGCAACAGCAGCAGCAACACCAGTCACCCAGCAATGGGAACCTCTCTGAGAAGAAGTGTGAGTTCTCACTAGGGGAAAGCGGAGGGAACTCATGGTCCTTTTCGTACCTCATTCTAGGGCAGTTGGAAAATAAAAACCCTAGCCAGCCAGCATTTTCAGTTTGAGTATCTCCCACAATGATGTTGAGGAGAAGCAGCCTTATTTCGCCTCGCTTGGGCCTAAGTCACAGGAAGCATGGTCAGCCTTCCCACACTCCGCTCTCTGACCTCATGCGTTGCGGTGTTTCTTTTCTCTGCAGCAAACATCTCAGCCTCAGAGCTCTCCCTGAGTGATGCACGGGACAAATCTCTGCGACGCATCGATCCTGGACTGATGCCGTTACCGGACACAGCCACCGGCCTGGAGTGGTCAAGCTTGGTCAGTGCTGCAAAAGCCTACGAAGGTAGGAGAGGAAAAGGTGGACTTTGGCATGGCTGAGGCATATACAGGGCATTGGTTGCATTCTCCTCTCTGTCTCTCTCCCATACATCAATTCAGTGGTTCTCAACCTGTGGGTCCCCACGTGTTTTGGCCTACAACTCCCAGAAATCCCAGCCAGTTTACCAGCTGTTAGGATTTCTGGGAGTTGAAGACCAAAACATCTGGGGACCCACAGGTTGAAAACCACTGAGTTAGAGAAAGAGCCACTGACAAAGTAAACGATGAAGTGTGTGGACTGGCACACTGCTTCAACTTCCTGTTGTTGTTGCTCTTGTTGTTTACTATTGCTGCAGTTGCTGTTGTTGGTAGAAGCAACAGCATTGATTTCTATAGTGTCATCATTGTGCATGTTTCTTTACAATTAAAGAAACAAGATAACCAGCCCTACCAAAGGTTTACAATTTAAAACACAAACACACACACACATATACACACACACAACCTGGGAAGGAAAGAGTAATACAAGTATGCAACCACCTGAACCCGTTCAATTCTGATACAATTCTAAAAACAACTATTCAAACAGAAATACAAAAACAACAACAACAATGCAAACTGAAAAATACATGTAACCAAAATTTGCAAGATTGTAAAACTGTATTAAACTTTTCCATAGGGAAAAATAACGGCAACAATAATAATGTTACTGGGTTGTTGTAGGTTTTTTCGGGCTATATGGCCATGTTTTAGAGGCATTTTCTCCTGACGTTTTGCTGCATCTATGGCAAGCATCCTCAGAGGTAGTGAGGGCTATTGGAACTAGGAAAGTGGGTTTATATATCTGTGGAATGACCAGGGTGGGGCAAAGAACTCTTGTCTGTTGGAGCTAGGTGTGAATATTTCAACTGACCACCTTGATTAGCATTTGATGGCCTGTCAGTGCCTGGGGCAATCTTTCGTTGAGAGGTGATTAGATGTGTCTGATGTTTCCCCTCTGTTAATAATAATAATGTTACTGTCTTTGCAACAACTTAGTTTTGTGGAGTGATTTCTTGCGTGTAATATGACCAGCAAATGTTTGGAACTTATATAAGTGTGGGCTGCCCCTTTGTATAGTATTTTCCTTTCCTCTGACCAATTTATTGTCATTCAGTAGAGTTTGAATCTGCACCCTTCCTTGAAAGATTGCAGAAATATGCATGGAAAATTATTCTCACACGCATACCTCATTGGTTGCAACAGATTCTGTTCTCCAGTGGTTTCCCAGTTCCAAACCTGGTCATGAACTTCTCAGGCAGAGCAAGTTCATGGCAGGAACATCTCTATACTTAACCACCACGCTCCAGTCCAGTATAAATCAGCAAAGCGGTTTATTGAAGAATATATATATATATAGCAGAGCAGCAAAATAGTAAGAAACATCTAAGTCCAAAAAATATTCAATAATCCATAAATTCCAAGGTACAGAAGTTGAATCAAAAACCAAGTATGCAAAAGAATCAGGATACAACAAGGCAGCATAAAACCCACAATACAGAACTCAAAAATAATTCTTTAAATTTTAGTTTATGTATAGCTAAAATGTAATAAATATTATTTTAAAAAATAATCCTTTAAACTTGAACAGCTAAAGACATGAAACCAGAAGTCCCTTGAAAAGCTTGGCTAGAGTTCAAATGTTGCTTTAAAATCAAATGTTGAACAGACTGCTGGTCAATGATGGATTTTCATATCTCTAATAAAGCCATGAAATCATTCTGTTTACCCTTGCAAATGGATAGTGGCTTTTTCTCTAACAAGCGTATTGACCTCCAGCAAGTGTGAGAATCAGCTCGAAGTTTACAAAAGCAGTGCTTTCTATCTTTTGGCTCATTAGCCTCTCCACCTGGCAATTCATCTTCTGAACTTGCTTCCCTAGAGAAAGCTGGGACCCTCTCTGGAATGTGGCCTTCACTTACTACAGGAGACACAGAGCACTCAATTTCAGGACTTGCTGGCTCTCAGGCTCAGCAGGCCCAGAAATTCCATGATCCACTTCCACTTCCTCATTGACATTAGGTACAATCATTGGCTGAACTACAACAGAGCCATCCTGTTGTGTTGACTTCTCTGTCATTTATATTCCACCCTTCTCACCCCGCAGGTGACTCAGTGCTGATTACAGTGTACATATACATGGCCAACATTCAATGCCATAGACACACAACATATATAGACAGATACACAGAGGCTATTTAACATTCCAGCTTTTTTCATGAAGGTATTCTGGCCACCAGGGGAGCTGTCACTTCACTGTCCATTTGTGACACTGATGAAGTACTTCCTCATTCTTTGCATGCTTGCTGGAGATTTTTATAGCATTGTAAATTACTCTCCTTGCATAAGCAGTACCTAAATTTCCTGCTTGACAGCTGTCATTTGAGCTGCAAAGGTCTACAGCAGGTCAGAGTGAGCTTCTGACCTATTTGTGTAGCTTGCTGTAGACCAGTGGTTCTCAACCTGGGGTCCCCAGATGTTTTGGCCTACAGCTCTCAGAAATCCCAGCCAGTTTACCAGCTGTTAGGATTTCTGGGAGTTGAAAGCCAAAAACATCTGGGGAACCCAGGTTGAGAACCACTGCTCTACAGCAAGCTACACAAATAGGTCGGAAGCTCACTCTGACCTGGGCTGGCTTTGAACTCATAACCTTTTGCTCAGTAGTGATCTTAATGTAGTTTACTCCCAGCCAGCTGTCCCGGTGCTTATGGGTGCCTTAAATACTTCCCCGCTTTAAAGCGATACCTATTTATCTACTCACATTTGCTTTCGAACTGCTAGGTAGGCGGAAGCTGGGCTGAAGGCCGGGAGCTCATCCTGACCTGGGCTTCAAACTGTCAACCTTTCAATTAGCAAGATGTACTGCTCTACTCATATTTGCTTTCGAACTGCTAGGTAGGCAGAAGCTGGGCTCAAGGCCAGGAGCTCATCCCGACGCGGGCTTCGAACGGTCAACCTTTTGATTGGCAAGATGTACTGTAGCTGGTGGTTAACCCGCTGTGCTAAAGCCTTTTCCCCTTACATTGGAATGGTAGTTGTACTTTTTATTAATAGATCCTTGAAACGGAGAAGCTTCCCCCACCTCCTCCAAGCTTTATATTTTCCAAAAGATTCACCCACCCACCTTTCTTCTGCTTCCAGAAAGAAATAATAGCTGAGCCTAACCAGGTCAGTCTGTCAGGTCTCATTTACTTGCAGAGATTTCCTGGTGAGCCCCCATAGACACCACTCACTGTCTTTTTTTATAGCATGCAAGTTCTTTTTCCATCTCCCTCTAAAGGAGGGCTGAAATGGGGCATGAATGTCTATGCTCCATTTCCTGTAAAGCCAGAAGCGTTGTGGGGTGAGCTTTCTCTCTCTCATTCACTCACTCTCTCTGTGTGCCCAGCTAGCTTAGTGGTCTTAAATGCCGTTTTCTCCCTGGGGCTGCTTCTATGACCTGGTTTTTTCCCAGCCTGGACCTGCCTTGCCTTTCTGCGCCTCATCGCAGCTGGCCTCCCCAGGAGCGAAGGCACTCTGTGCATTTCGGCTCGTCGCTCTTGGGTGCCCCCCGGGAGAGGCCTCCGACTGCTCCTGCCGCTGAAAGTAGGGCAAGCAGGGAGGGAGAGAGGTGAGCGCATGTCGGGGCAAGGCTGGCTCCCGGCAGGGATCTCCCTTGATGCGGATTAACCGCCTCCCTGGCAGCCAGGCAGGCAATGTCGGGCATCTGTTCAGGCCTGCCATCTGCGTCACGCTTTCCCCGCCTTCCCCGTGCAAGCAAGCGCTCACTCCCTGGCTCGCAAGTGGGGAGAGGCTGCCACTCGAGTGCACAAGAAGCCAGAGGACGGTGTGCGCTCAGTGTACTTTGGTGTACTTTGGTGTGCGCTCAGTTCAGACGAGTCTTCCTGATCTGCCCGGGTGCCCAAATTCCTCGACTCGCAACGAGAAGGTAGGCAAAGCCTTATAGTAGGCCATCCTGCTTTGATTATGAGCCTCTGGGACTTACTTACTTACTTACTTAGTCAATCCTTCGTAGATCAAGAGGATGGTCTCCCAGATGTAGTATCTTGGTGGTGGGTCTATACCCTATTCTTGACCCGCATGTTCTCCCGCAGTGAGGACAACGGTTTCCAGATGGAAGGCGGTCCCGGTCAGAGTTGGCTTGACATGCCTTTCTCTTGGCACGTTTCTCCCTTTCGCCCTCCATTCGTGCCTCTTCGAATTCTGCAGCACTGCCAGTCACAGCTGACCTCCAGTTAGAACGCTCAAGGGCCAGGGCTTTCTAGTTTGTAAGGGGAAGAGGGGAGAAAAACAGTATAATAAAAATAACTATAAAGAAATACAATGTGTATAAGCAGGTAAAAGGTGTGTGATAGTTATATGTAGCATTAGTTGTAATGGAAATTTAAAAATAATGATAAGAAATATGATTAAAAGATGTTTTTGATGTTTATTTACTGTTAGATTGTATATAATATGACATACTCTTTTGTCTAAGATACTGTAAAAAGAGAGAAGAACGTATACAATGCTAGGACAGTTTTAAATTGTGTTATTTTAAATGGTGCATTTTAATATTTAGATAAATGTTGTTTAATGTTTATGTATTGTATCCAGGCATTGAATGTTTGCCATGTATGTGTGTGTGTGTGTGTGTGTGTGTGTGTGTGTGTGTGTGTGTATAAATTTTATTGTGCATTTTGATATTTACAAACCGAAACAAAAATATTGCCATGTATATGTTGTGCTCCACTCTGAGTCCCCTTCGGGGTGAGAAGGTCAACATATAAATGCTGTACATAAATAAATAAATAAATGCCGCATTTTATTTATTTGTTTATTTATTTATTTATGTACAGCATTTATATGTCGCCCTTCTCACCCAAAGGGGACTCAGAGTGGCTCACAAAATATATATACATACAATATATTATATTATTAGTATAGTACAATATCAGTATTAAATATTACTATATTGTACTATACCATTATATTGTAATATTACATGTTATTTAAATATATAAGTATAATATCATATTATTAGTAGTAGTAGTAGTAATATTATGTTGTATTACATATAGGTTGGCTTTAAGCCCATCTTTAAATCTCTTTTCCTGTCCACCAACATTCCTTTTTCCGTTCTTGAGTTCGGAGTAGAGCAGTTGCTTTGGGAGACAGTGATCAGGAATGGTCTCCCAGATGTAGTGTCTTGGCGTTGGGTCTGTAGATGGCTATGGAACCCTATTCTTGATCCACATGTTCTCCCTCAGTGAGGACATCGGTTTCTAGATGGAAGGGTCAACTTGGCATGCCTTTCTCTTGGCACGTTTCTCCCTTTCGCCCTCCATTCGTGCCTCTTCAAATTCTGCAGCACTGCCAGTCACAGCTGACCTCCAGTTAGAGCACTCAAGGGCCAGGTCTTAATATATTATACATTTACGACGTTTATATGCCGCCCTTCTCACCCCAAAGGGGACTCAGAGTGGCTTAAAATATATATAAATACAATACATTATATGATTAGCATAGTACAATATCAGTATTAAATATTACTATATTGTACAATACCCTTATATTGTAATATTATTAGTGTTTGTTTGTTTAAAAATGCAATACAACTGTTTGGTTTGCTCCTAATAAATAAATAAAGTAATATTACATGTAATATAAATATATAATTATAATATATTATTAGTAGTAGCATTATATCGTATTGCGTATAGGTTGGCTTTGAGCCCATCTTTAAATCTCTTTTCCTGTCCATCAACGTTCCTTTTTCCGTTCTTGAGTTCGGAGTAGAGCAACTGCTTTGGGAGATGGTTATCAGGCATTCAGACAACATGGCCGGTCCAGCAGAGTTGATGGCGGAGGACTATCGCTTCAATGCTGGTGGTTTTTGCTTCTTCCAGCACGCTGACATTTGTCCGCCTGTCTTCCCAAGAGATTTGCAGAAGAACAGGGGGATACTTCTTGCTGAGACAAACTGGGTGGTGGGGTGGAGAGACAGGACCCCAGCCTCATTGTCTGTGGGTCAGAGCTGTCCTTTCTTTTACCTTTCTTCAGGACGCTTTCCACTTCACTCTTAAAACATACAAGGGTAGCAACTCTGCACCCAGCCCCTTGTGGGTCTTTATGATCCCAGTCTTCTATTTTGTTCACTTCCTTACCCACATAAAAGATGGAAACAGGAAGGGTGCTGAGCTCTTTTTTCCAGAGTTAGTAAATGATGATGTCCATTGCTTTGGACTAAGACTTTGACGAAGGGTTAGAAGGCATGATCATCACGTTTGCAGAAGACACCAAATTGGGAGGGAGAGCCAATACTCGCAAAGACAGGAGCAGAATTCAAAATTATTTTCACAGATTAGAGAGGTGATTGGCCAAAACTTAACAAAATGAAGTGCAACGGAGACAAATGCAAGAGACTCCACTTTGGCAGAAAAAAAATTAAATGCAAAGATTAAGAATGGGGGACAATATCTGGCTCGACAACAGGACGTGTGAAAAAGATCTTGGAGTCCTCCTAGACGACAAGTTTAAACATGAGCCAATGTCATGCAGCAGCTAAACAAGCCAATGGGATTTTGGCCTGCATAAATAGGAATCTAGTGTCTAGATCCAGGAAAGTCATGCTACCCCTCTATTCTGCCTTGGTTAGACCACACCTGGATTCACACTGTGTCCAATTCTGGGCACTGCAATTGAAGGGAGATGTTGACAAGCTGGAATATGTCTAGAGGAGGGAGACTCAAATGATAAAGGGTCTGGACAACAAGCCCTATGAGGAGTGGCTTAAAGAGCTGGGCATGTTTGTCCTTCAGAAGAGAATAATGATAATAATAATAATAATAATAATAATAATAATAATAATAATACACTTTATTTATAGCCCTCCCCAAAGGGGACTCAGTGCGGCTAACATGAGGCCAAGCCCAAAATAATACCACATAATAAACACACAATAACAAAATACATCATAACAAAAAGAAGGCTGAGAGGAGACATGATGAGGGCCAGCTATCAATATGTGAGGGGACGTCATAGGGAGGAGGGAGCAAGCTTATTTTCTGCCTCCCTGGAGACTAGGATGCGGAAAAATAGCTTCAAGCTACAAGAAAGGAGATTCCACTGAACATTAGGAAGAACTTCCTGACTGTGAGAGCTGTTCAGCAGTGGAACTCTCTGCCCTGGAGTGTGGTGAAAGCTCCACCTTTGGAGGCTTTGAAATAGAGGCTGGATGGTCATCTATTGGGCATGCTTTGAATGTGATTGTCCTGCTTCTTTGCAGGGGTTGGACTGGATGGTCCATTAGGTCTTGTCCAACTCTATGATTCTCACACCAGAAGCGACTTGCAGTTTCTCAAGTCACTCCTGACACACACAAAAAAAGGAACCTTGGGAGAAATTCGTAGCTATTTGAACCAAAGCATCAAAGCCATCATGCTCTGTTACTCCTTTTCAATCCTTCCTAGATTTGGTGTGCTCACCCCAACATGCTGGAAACTATAGTTCTGCTTTGTTTGGTTTGTCCTTGCATATTGGTTCCTCTGCCATTTCTCTCTTTGTTTTCATGAGTGGTTTCTTTGCATTAGCCAGTCAAGGAATTGGGGCAGCTCTCTAGAAAAGAGCCTGGTTGTTTCCATCACTATATTTCCTTAAGACGGTGATTCTCTTGCTTCTTTCTTACCACTGTTTGTAGGCAAATGGCCTCTTTTTGGAGCACTGGCATCCCTCCAGGCTGATGTCCTTTCATAGCTTGCCAGGCCTGATGGCTGCCCTCTCGGTGGCAGGGCAGCCCAACCCTCAGCCGCCCAGAGATTGTGACTCACGGCTCAGCTGGCCACGGGCATTTGGGAGGAGCCGGGAGTGACTCACTGTCCGGGCTGTTTTGCCAGCTGTGCCGGTTGGGATCAGAGACAGAGAGAGAGAGAGAGAGAGAGATTAATTGGGGGTTGGTGGTGGGCAGGAGTGGCTCCGTGGCTCTTTGGGGGAAGGAGTCTGCCACTGCAAACACGACCAACCCTCGTGCTGCCTCTTCCTTCCAGTCCAGAGAGCGGTGTCCCTCTTCTCCCTCAATGACGCTGTGCTGAGCCCCGACGTCCCCTCCGCCCACAGCCCCGTCCTCGCGCACTTGAGTCTGGAGAGGCAACCCACGCCACGCACAACACCCACCATGAGGTAAGCAAGGCAATCTGGGGTTCCCTTCCAAAGTTGTATCTGTTTCTTTTGCAGCAAGATAAGCAATTCTGTTGTATAGGGTGAGGCATAAAAATGTTCCACATTTTGGAGGGATGTGAAAAAAAATGGCACAAAGCTATCTAGAGAAAAAAATGTATATTTTTCTGAAAAGTGCACAAAATACCAATTTTATTTATTTATTTATTTATTTATTTGCTGTATTTGTATACCGCCCTTCTCAGCCCTCAGGCGACTCAGTTTAGGTAAAGGTAAAGGTCTTCCCCTGACACTAAGTCCAGTCGTGTCCAACTCTGGGGGTTGGTGTTGATCTCCATTTCTAAGCCGAAGAGCCGCCGTTGTCCGTAGACACCGCCAAGGTCACGTGGCCAGCATGACCGCATGGAGCACCGTTATTTAATTTTTATTTATTTATTTACCCTGTTTATATCCTGCCTTTCTCTACCCCGAAGAGGACTTGAGGTGGCTTTACATATAGACAACTATTCAAGTAACCTAAATAGTTCTGGCCCAGATTACCTATCCGAACGTATCTCCCGCTATGAACCACCGCGGAGTTTAAGATATCTGGAGAAGCCTTGCTCTCAGTCCCACCTCCCTTGCAGGTGCGATTGGCGGAGACAAGAGACAGGGCCTTCTCAGTGGTGGCCCCTCAGCTCTGAGAGCTGTTCGGCAGTGGAACTCTCTGCCCCAGAGTGTGGTGGAGGCTCCTTCTTTGGAGGCTTTTAAACAGAGGCTTGATGGCCATCTGTTGGGAGTGCTTTGAATACAATTTTCCTGCTTCTTGGCAGGAGGTTGGACTGGATGGCCCATGAGCTCTCTTCCAACTCTATGATTCTATGACTTGCTACACCTCAGGCCTGTTTTGGATGGGACACAGATGGGTATCCTCCTGCCCTTGTGTCAGGTCCAAAACCCATCAATGCACAGCAACTGATTATACCCTGGGATTTTGGAGAAGGGGCTGCTGCTTATGGGGCATGAGAGGAGCCAATTTAAGACCTTGATGCTCCATTTGCTCTGGATGAAGGAAAAGATGGAGCATATCCTCATTTCCCCCTCTTCCCAAGCTGAGACCAGGTTCTTCATGCTACAAACAGCCTTTCTTTGCCAACTGTGAAGTGACAGCAGGGTGACCCTCCTGGGGCTTGACATCTATTGAATGGTAGGAGGATGTAGCAATAACTGTCTGGTTTCCCCTCTTTCTGTGCAGTGAGGAACCTTCAGCAGAACTGACTGGCAAAGTCTACCAGCTCGAGGCCATGCTGAAACAGCTCCACACTGACTTGCAAAAGGTAAGGAGCCACAGCTACTATTCCCTTTGCCCAGTGGGTTATCTTGGCCGAGGGGAGTTTTAGCAGGCGTATTTGTTTCCAACATTGGAGAAAACATGAAAAACTTAGGCAGGAAATTAAGAAATGGTTTTGCAAAGGGTGCTTCCTGTTCACTTAGCCAGGGAAAAAAGAAAGATTCTAGTGAGGGATAGAATAGACTCCTGGCTTGAATGCAGAATGCATAAAACACACACAGAAGATTTATTTATTTATTTATTTATTTATTTGCCGTATTCTCACTCCGCAAGGGACTCAGGGCGGATCACAATGCACATATACATGGCAAACATTCAATACCATAGACACACAACATATTTAGACAGACACACAGCGGCTATTTAACTTCCCAGCTTCATGAGAGTATGCTTTGAATTCTAGCAACTGGGGGAGCTGTCGCTTCACTGTCCACTTGTGACACCGACGGAGTACTTCCTCATTCTTTTGCACCCTGCTGGAAAGTTTTATGGTGTCATACATTAGTTAAATTAGCCTCCCCGCATAAGCGGTACCTAAATTTCCTACTTGGCAGATGTAACTGTATTTTGGGATGCAAAGGTCAACAGCAAGCTAGACAAATGGTCGACTGTATTGAAGGTTGTCCACACGACCTATTGTTGAAGCTTGTTCACACGATCTTTTGAAGATCCGACTAATTGTTTAGGAAAACATGGATATTATGTTTGTTACACCATTGTAAATAGTCCCTATGTGTTTGTTTCCTACGCTTGTGTACCAAACGAGTTAGTTTGGTATTTTCCTCATTATTCCAATTGGTATTTGTGCTGAAGTTTATAGCAATAGGACATTTGTGTATTGACATTGTATGTCTATTTATTTATTTATTTACAGCTTTTATATTCCGCCCTTCTCACCCCGCAGGGGACTCAGGGCGGATTACAGTGTACACATATATGGCAAACATTCAATGCCAGTTTTTGACATACTTACATATACAGACATACACAGAGGCTATTTAGCTTTTTCTGGCCACCAGGGGAGCTGTCGCTTTCATCGTCCATTTGCGACGTTGATGAAGCACTTCCGTATTCCCCGCATGCTTCCCCGCTGGAATGCTTTGCTGGAGTCTTCTTTATGGCCTCATAAATTAGTTAATTTAGCCTCCCCACACTTTAAGGTGGTACCTAATTTTCCTACTTGACAGATGCAACTGTCTTTCGGGTTGCAAAGGTCGACAACAGGCTACACGGTTGGTTGGAAACCCACTCCAACCTGGGCTGGTTTTGAACTCACGACCTTTTGGTCAGAATGATCTTGATGCAGCTGACACTCAGCGAGCTGCGCCACAATCCTGGTGTTATAGATATCTGTATAGTTAGAGAAAAAGGAGAAAGACAGAAATCCTGGAGTCTTTGCTTGTTTAGGGCTGTGACTCCAACTCCATCCAAGGTGGGCCTGATTTAAAAAGGTAAAGGTTGTCCCCTGACATTAAGTCCAGTCATGTCTGACTCTGGGGTGTGGTACTCATCTCCATGTCTAAACTGAAGAGCCGGCGTTGTCCCTAGACACCTCCAAGGTCATGTGGCCGGCATGACTGCATGGAGGGCCTGATTTACTACTCTGTAAAAGAGAGCTGGCTTTCCCACTGCCTGTTTCGAATCTGCATTCCGTATGCTTTCTCCTTACATTTCCTTTAAAACCCTCCTACTAGATACATCCTACTTACCTCTGTTCATGCCCAGCATTTATTTTTTAAAATTTTAAACTATTACATCTGGCCTGGCCATAGGTTTTTAAACCCTTGTGTGTTATTGTCTGTATATTGTGTTATATTAATTGTATTGTTTCATTTGCTTATTGCTTGTTGTTTTTATTGTTGTTGGGCTTGGCCTCATGTAAGCGGCTCCGAGTCCCCTTGGGGAGATGGTGGCGGGGTATAAATAAAGTTTTATTATTATATTATTATTATTGTATTGTCGAAGGCTTTCATGGCCGGAATCACTGGGTTGTTGTAGGTTTTTTCGGGCTATATGGCCATGGTCTAGAGGCAGTCTCTCCTGACGTTTCGCCTGCATCTATGGCAAGCATCCTCAGAGGTAGTGAGGTCTGTTGGAACTAGGAAAAAGGATCTGTGGAATGACCAGGGTGAGACAAAGGACTCTTCTCTGCTGGAGCTAGGTGTGAATGTTTCAACTGACCACCTTGATTAGCATACAATGGTCTGACTGTGCCTGGGGCAAACATTTGTTGAGAGGTAATTATTATTATTGTCGAAGGCTTTCATGGCTGGAATCACTAGGTTCTTGTGGGTTTTTTCGGGCTATAGAGCCATGTTCTAGAGGCATTTCTCCTGAGTTTCGCCTGCATCTATGGCAAGCATCCTCAGAGGTAGTGAGGGTTTTCCATTTCCGTGTGTCTTGGAACAGCTTCTCTGGAGAGCAGCTGAGTAATGTATTGTCGAAGGCTTTCATGGCTGGAATCACTAGGTTCTTGTGGGGTTTTTGGGCTATAGGGACCATGTTCTAGAGGCATTTCTCCTGACGTTTTGCCAGCATCTATGGCAAGCATCCTCAGAGGTAGTGAGGTCTGTTAGAATTAGGACAATGGGTTGCCATAGATGCAGGCGAAACGTCAGGAGAAATGCCTCTAGAACATGTCCCTATAGCCTGAAAAAACCCACAAGAACCTAATTATTATATTTATTATTATTATTATTTACTGCAGGAAAAACAGGACAAGGTGGTGCTCCAGGCGGAAGTGGCCAACCTCCGGCAGAACAACCAGCGCCTACAAGAGGAGTCGCAGACGGCCAACGAGCAGCTACGCAAGTTTGCCGAGATCTTCTCCAATGCCGTGGAGAAGAAGGAGCTGTGAGCCGGCCCCTTGGGTGGGGTAGGGTGGGCCGCTGCATCTGGTTTAGGAAAGGACCGCAGTGGCTGATGAGTGTGGACTCTTCCCCGGAGCCAAACGCATCGCTTGCTCTTCCAAAAGAGGCTTTCCTTCCCATACGGCGTGTGGCCTCTCCTTAGACAGCTCCTTTCCTGCTCTCTCTTGCACGGAGAGTTTTATGCCACTCTCTAGTGGATATTGAGGTTGGAGGGGGAGCAAAACTGGTGTTCAGAGTCAAGCACACCTTGCCATCGATGCCTGAACAGTGTTGAGGACATCCAGGTTTCAGGCTGGCTTCTAAATGACACTCAATGTGGCAGCACCGCCGGAAGCAGCGGCACGGACCCAGCCAGCCCGTTTTTGCCACGCTTATCCTTGCAAGTGACCGCCAGGGGGCGCCTTGGCGTTCCGGCAGACCGGATGGATCAATCGGAGCAAAGCGCCAGAGCGCAGCAGCCGAGAGTCTAAAAGAGCACTTTCTCACGACTAAATTATTTTCTAGAGAATGCAAGGTTGGGAGTGGCTCAGGAAGTTAAAAATAATAATAATAATAAAAGTCTAAATGTATATGTTCTTTATAAAACACTATATTTGTATAAATGGTACTGTTTGTAATTTTTTTTTTCTAAGAGATTTCTGTGCATGCACCTGAATTCAGCACACCGGATTTGTCCCCAGCTGCAGCAGAGATGCAAAACCCAGGCTTTGGGGAGGAGAGGCAAGGGCCCTCCTCGAGCTCCCTTGGCGCCAGCAGATAGACGAGGCCATAGACCTTGCTGGGTTCTGCCTTGCCCTACGGGTTTGCCCCAGGAGATCCCACTTGCTTGTTCGTTGGCCTTCAAACTTGCTGCTTTTGGGGAAACGGGCAACATCATTCTCTTTGTAGAGAATGGGGAGGGCATCTCTTTCACCTGGTCTCCAAGAGCGCCCTTCCCGTCATTCATGTTTTATGTGAGCTCTCCCGCTGCACTTCCCTCTTGCATTCAAGCCATGCATTGTTGAAGGCTTTCATGGCCGGAATCACTGGGTCGTTGTGAGCTTTCTGGGCTGTATGGCCATATTCCCGAAGCATTCTCTCCTGACGTTTCGCCTGCATCTATGGCAGGCATCCTCAGAGGTTGTGAGGTCTGTTGGAAACTAGGCAAAGTGAGGTTTATATGTCTTAGGAATGTCCAGGGCGAACTCTAGTCTGAGGCAAGTATGAATACCGTAATTGATCACTTTGATTAGCCTTGCAGCTTCAAGGCTTGGCTGCTTCCTGCCTTGGAGAATCCTTTGTTGGGATGTGTTAGCTGGCCAATGATTTCTTGTCTGGAATCCCCCTGTATTTGAGTGTTCCTCTTTCTTTACTTTACTGATTTTAGAGTTTTTTTAAATAATGGTAGTCAGATTTTGTTCATTTTCATGGTTTCCTCCTTTCTGCTGAAATTGTCCACAGTATTGGAAACAAGGAAAATGGGTTTATTTATCTGTGGAATGTCCATGGTGGGAGAAAGAACTCTTGTCTGTTTGCGTTAGGTGTGGATGTTTCAATTGGCCACCTTGATTAGCATGGAATGGCCCAGCAGTTTCATGATCTGGCTTCTTACTGCCTGGGGGAATCCTTTGTTGGGAGGTTATTATCTTGCCCTGATTTTTTCCTGTCTGGAATTCCCGTTTTTGAGTCTTCCTCTTTATTTACTGTATTTTTTTCCTGGACACATATTTCAATTGGCCACCTTGATTAGCATTGAATGGCCTAGCAGTTTCAAGGTCTGGCTTCTTACTGCCTGGGGGAATCCTTTGTTGGGAGGTGATTATCTGGCCCTGATTTTTTTCTATCTGGAATTCCCCTATTTTTGAGTGTTCCTCTCTATTTACTGTATTTTTTCCTGGGCACATGTTTCAATTGGCCACCTTGATTAGCATTGAATGGCCCAGCAGTTTCAAGGTCTGGCTTCTTACTGCCTGGGGGAATCCTTTGTTGGGAGGTGATTAGCTGTCCCCTATTGTTTCTTGTCTGGAGTGGTTTTTGAGTGGTTAATTGAAACATAAGCAACAGAGATGGGAAACGTAGGAAGGCCAGGAAACTGGGAATTTCAGCTTAGCTCACAGCTCCCTTCATTCCATGTTTAATCCAGACTTGACGTTGAAAAACCAGCGATTGTTTCTTGTCTGGAATTCTCCTGTTTTTGAGTGTTCCTCTTTATTTACTCTATTTTTTCCCATCCTGGACATTCCACAGTTATATAAACCCCATTTTCCTAGTTTCCAACAAACCACTAACATCTGAGGATGCTTCCATAGATACAGGCGAAACGTCAGAAGAGAATGCCTCTGGAACATGGCAACCTCAAAACAATGCATTCAAGCCATGTTTTTCCATCTCTGCTGGGCAGGGACAGATACGCCACCCACCAGGGCATGCCAAGGGCACTCGTATGTCCACGCGCAGCCCTTCTGCAATAAGGCAGCGGCTGCTCCTTCCGGTCTGGTATGTAGTGAATTTGTGGTTTCTGTTTGTTTGGGTTTGTTTCCTGTCGTGTGTTAAAGCATGTTGTTGTTTGTAACTGGCAACACGGTCCTGCTTGGGGACGGGAGGAGTGTGTGCGGCGTATTTAGGGTGTCCTGAGCAACAAAGGCAGCTTTTGTTCCATTCCAGATGCCAAGTCCCTTCTGTTTTCCAGCTCAGGTGCCCTGAAATGCTGTAGACCGATAGAGGAGGAAGCAGCAGAGATGGGAAATGTAGGAAGGCTAGGAAACTAGGAGTTTCAGCTTAGCTCACAGCTCCCCGTCGTTCCATGTTTAATCCAGACTTGACGTTGAAAAACCAGCGTCTGAACTATGCAAAAACCCAGATTCTGGGACCACTTCCTAGTGAGGAGGGCTGTCTTCCTTCTCGACCCTTTTTGGGTCTCCCAGCCATATGAACCGCTGCAAGGAGAGGAGAGGAGGCTACTCCAGTCTTGCCAATATGAACCGGCTTGGAGATTTGCAGACAGCCGCACCATATATGTCTTAACTCGGAAGGGAGCTGCCTGCTTTCTGCTTCCATCATCAGGAAAAACCTTCCCTGTCCTTCTCCAATGCAGTCTTTCTCGCTCAGTGCCTCTATGAATCTCTCCTCTATTTCGGGCTATATGGCCATATTTCAGAAGCATTCTCTTCTGACATTTCACCTGCATCTATTCCAGGCATCTTCAGAGGTTGTGAGGTCTGTTGGAAACTAGGAAAATTGGATTTATATATCTTTGGAAAGTCCAGGGAGGGAAAAAGGACAGTAAATACAGAGGAAATCCCAGATTAGTGTAGTGTTTACAGCAGGGGTCCTCAAACTATGGCCCGACAGCCGGATACGGCCCTCCAAGGTCATTTACCTGGCCCTCGCTCAGGGTCAACCTAAGTATGAAACAACTTGAAAGCACACAACAACAACAACAACGTATTGTCGAAGGCTTTCATGGCCAAAATCACTGGGTTGTAAGTTTCTTCAGGCTATATGGCCATGTTCTAGAGGCATAAGAGATAAGATTGTTGAGATAAGATTGTTGTTGTTGAATTGTTGTAGGTTTTTTCGGGCTATATGGCCATGTTCTAGAGGCATTCTCTCCTGACCTTTTGCCTGCATCTATGGCAAGCATCCTCAGAGGTAGTGAGGTCACTACCTCTGAGGATGCTTGCCATAGATGCAGGCGAAACGTCAGGAGAGAATGCCTCTAGAACATGGCCATATAGCCCGAAAAAACCTACAACAATTCAACAACAACAATCTTATCTCATCAGCCAAAAGTAGGCCCACACTTCCCATTGAAATACTAATAAGTTTATATTTGTTAAAATTGTTCTTCACTTTAATTATTGTATTGTTTTAAAGTGCTGTTTGCACAAATAATATATGTGCAATGTGCATTCATTCAATTTTTTTTCAAATTATAATCCGGCCCTCCAACAGTTTGAGGGACTGTTACCTGGCCCTCTGTTTATAAAGTTTGAGGATCCCTGGTTTACACCTTATTTTATTTTTCTGGTTATTTAATATTTAATGTTTATTTTACTTAAGTGATATTTTTCTTTACTGTTCTAATGTAGCACAAATACTATGTAAAGTCATACTACATATTTTTGACATTAATATTGAAATCTGAAATATATACTTGTGGAAAGTCCAGGGTGGGAAAAGGAACTCTTGTCTGTTGGAGCTAGGTGTGAATGTTTCAATTGGCCACCTTGATAAGCATATGATGGCTTGACAGTTTTTAGGTGTGGCTTCTTACCGCCTGGGGGGAATCCTTTGTTGAGAGGTGATTAGCTGTCCCCTAATGTTTCTTGTCTGGAGTTCCCTTGTTTTTGAGTGGCCAATTGTAACATAAACAGCAGAGATGGGAAACTTAGTAAGGTTAGGAAACTGGGAGTTTCAGCTTAGCCTGGGGAATCCTTTGTTGAGAGGTGATTAGCTGTCCCCTATTGTTTCTTGTCTGGAGTTCCCCTGTTTTTGAGTGGCCAATTGAAACATAAGCAGCAGAGATGGGAAACATAGGAAGGCTAGGAAATTGGGAGTTTCAGCTTAGCTCACAGCTCACTTCGTTCCATGTTTAATCCAGACTTGATGTTGAAAAACCAGCGTCTGAACTATGCAAAAACCCAGACTCATGGACCACTTCCTAGTGAGGAGGGCTGTCTTTCTCCTCTGTTCCCTTCTCAACCCTTTCTTTGGGTCTCCCAGCCATGTGAACCGCTGCAAGAGAATACTAGGATCTGCCTCTATCATTTTTAGGTGTGGCTTCTTACTGCCTGGGGGAATCTTTTGTTGAGAGGTGATTAGCTGTCCCCTATTGTTTCTTGTCTGGAGTTCCCCTGTTTTTGAGTGGCCAATTGAAACATTCACACCTAGCTCCAACGGGGGAACTCCAGGGGACAGCTAATCACCTCTCAACAAAGGATTCCCCCAGGCAGTAAGAAGCCACACCTAAAACTGTCAGGCCATCATATGCTAATCAAGGTGGCCAATTGAAACATTCACACCTAGCTCCAACAGGGGAACTCCGGGGGACAGCTAATCACCTCTCAACAAAGGATTCCCCCAGGCAGTAAGAAGCCACACCTAAAAACTGTCAGGCCATCATGTGCTAATCAAGGTGGCCAATTGAAACATTCACACCTAGCTCCAACGGGGGAACTCCAGGGTTCAGCTAATCACCTTTCAACAAAGGATTCCCCCAGGAAGTAAGAAGCCACACCTAAAAACTGTCAAGCCATCATATGCTAATCAAAGTGGCCAATTGAAACATTCACACCTAGCTCCAACGGGGGAACTCCGTTCAGCTAATCACCTCTCAACAAAGGATTCCCCCAGACAGTAAGAAGCCACACCTAAAAACTGTCAGGCCACCATGTGCTAATCAAGGTGGCCAATTGAAACATTCACACCTAACTCCAACAGACAAGAGTTCCTTTTCCCACCCTGGACATTCCACAGATATATAAACCCAATTTTCCTCATTTCCAACAGACCTCACAACCTCTGAGGATGCTTGTTGTAAATGCAGGCGAAACGTCAGGAGAGAATGCTTCTGGAACATATCCATATATCCCGAAAGACCTACAACAATCTCCTTTAGCTTTTCACCACTGTCCAGCTGAGTGGACATCTAAAATAGAGGCCTCTACCTTGCTTTAGCAGGGATTTTTCAGGGTGGGGAAGGAGGTCCCGTTCTAACCATCGGTCCTCGGCAAGCTGCTCTCCCGCACTCGTTCCTTCCTCTGTTTACCTTTCTGCAAAATCGCCCTCTCACCACGTCCCCATATGGAACAGGCAGCGCCCTATACCCAAAACCGTTTCTTAATTTTATACTGGAGTCTCAGCGCCGATTTGTACGGACTTGTCTCTCTTTTCCCCTTGTTTTTATTTGGACTTCCATCCCTTCCCGAGTGTCCTTTTCTGTGACGTAGGAGAACGGCTTTCCCCTTTTGCTGGCGGGCGAGAGGGAAGCCGTCTCCGGTGCGTGTTCTGTTTCTGTCTTTTCGTGGTTCGTGTGCTCAAATTGTTCCTCGTTTTTAATTTTGTAAGAATCTTCACAGATCAAATCTGTCTTATTTAATTTTTTTTCCTGGTCTTAAAAAATATTGCCGATAGGAAAGAACCTGCTTTTGTAAATTAACCCCCCTCCCGTTACCCATTTCCCAGTGTAATTCTCTGGAATCTTCAAAAATAATTTTTTTTGGCACGCCTCGAAATGGGGAAGGGACATTGAAAATAAATGTTTCATAGAAAAGACTCTGGTGTGTTTCTTTGGATCGGGCAGAAGTATTGGGGAGGGGGTCTCTGTCAAGCCAAATCCATCTCTCTTTCTCTCCCCCTCCCCAAGCCAGACTCCATCCAGGAAGGCGGAGGGGAGATGTCTGTGGTACCCAGACATCTCTCATTCCTTTCCCCATCCTGTCGTCATGGCAACAGCTCCCTGCGAGAAGATGTTGCGTCTATCTACAGGTGGAAAGTCTGGGTGCAGGTGTCGGGAAGGGAGGGGGGGTGCTTTTTTCATTTCATTCCTTCAGCAGTCTTCATTTCATTTCATTTCTGCAGCAGTCCCAAACATTTTAAGCAGAGGACCGGTTAAAATTGGGGAAGTGGGGGGTCGCTATAGTTGAACGAATTCCTATACACATTGCATAGGAATTTGTAGTGCAAAAATATGATAGAACAATAAAGGTAAAGGTTTCCCTTTGACATTAAGTCTAGTCGTATCCAATTCTGGGGGGGGGGGTGCTCATCTCCATTTGCAAACCGAAGAGCTGGTATTATTTTTATTTTATTTTTTATTTACGACATTTATATGCTGTCCTTCTCACCCCGAAGGGGACTCAGAGCAGCTTACACAATCTATATGTATTAAAATGCTCTGTGCGTAATGAGTACCTTAAAAACAAAAGAACCACTGGGCGAATTGACACCAAATTTGGACATCAAAATTGACACCAAATTTGGACCTAACAACCCAATGTATGTCCTTCACTCAAAAACATTGCTTTTGTCATTTGGAAGTTGTAGTTTCTGGGATTTATAGTTCACCTACAATCAGAGAGCATTCTGAACCCATTCTGAGCCCAAAGACAGTTCACTAGGGAAGCAAGGTCAAGAACAGATCTGAGCTCAGAGTATGAAAATGAAAGTCCAGGTGGACAGAGTAATGAACAGTTAGATAGGAGATTTACATTCCGTCAACATAGAGCTTCTCAGGAGGGTTTATGAAGGTCAACATGCCTATTAGCTAAAAACCTGATCAGTTTCCCATTAGAAAAGGCATGGCTTTCTCTCCATATTAGCTAATGAGCAGTTAGATAGGAGATTTATGTTCTGTCAACATAGAGCTTCATGGCTTCTTTAATTTCCTCTGTGGATTATTCTTGATATTTGGACTTTGGTTTTTTTGTCCTATTTTGCTGAATTGCTTTTCATATACATTCTTCCATAAAAATGGAAGGGGTCTGAGGCTGTTAGGAATGGTGGGAGTTGAAGTCCAAAACACCTGGAGGAAGGGCCCAAGTTGGCCCATGCCTGATCGAGACTATCCCAATAATACGACCCATCATCTCACCCATGCAGCAGGAAAAGGCTGGCCATGTTTGAAAGAAGGAGGAGGAGGAGGAGAGGTGTAATTCAGACCACATTTAATGCACAGAACAATCCAAGCACATTAAAAGATGCAGGCAACAAAACAACACCATGTACACAAGGTAAGGGCTTGGCGGGAGTGCTTTCCAGCTAGCCTTCGGTAGCATTTCTCCCCTTGGCCCCAAAACCCAACACACTCTCCCTCTGGGGTGGGGAGGTCGCTTTCTACCGTTGACCACCTTTTCTTGTTTTTTTTCCCATGTTTTCCTTTCCCCCCTTTTACATTTTTTTTAAAAACCAGCAACATTTAGAAAGAAAAAGCTCCTGCCTTGTCTAATAGCTGAGAGGACCCCAATTCTGGCCTCCGTCGTCGTCTCTCAAGCGGCCATTGTCACATCCCCAAACCCATCACCTAGCACTCCCGTCCTGGACTCGATTAAGGTGGACGTTGGAGCTCCACACCCAAAGTCTCTCCATTTGACGGAGAGGAACCTAAAAGGAAAGATATAGAAGCGGGCGGGAAGCCCCGCGCATCGCATTGTAGAGCAAAAACAACCAAAAATATTTCTAAAAACCCATGAGAGACAAGGTTGCGTGTGGGGTGCCAGACTCCCAGCCGGACCCCGTCTCCCCCAAAAAAGCCAGGAAGAAAAAAATAATAGTCTTGCATGCAACATCATTCTGGTATGGTCGAAGGAGAGAGAAAAACCCGTCCCTTCCCAACCAGATGGAGGGAAGAGGCAAGGAAGCAAGAGAGAGAGCTCGGCGCTTGCTTCCCTCTCTGGCTTTTATGGCTTTTGAGTTGAGTATTTGGCTCCTTGGGGTTGACCGGGTGGGTAGGAGCCAGGCAGGCAGTGGTGGGCAAAGGCAGGAAGGCTCCACCGTTATAGTTGGGTCGAAGGGAAGGAAAGAAAGAGGGATGTCCCACCAAAAGACCAGGATCTGGCCCCTTCCTTTGCCCTCTTAAGAGTAGGGGAAAACGGGGATTCCAGCCAACCTGAAGTGGCAGGTCAAAATATCACTGTTCCAAGGCTAGAGCTCAAACAAACACACATCCGACAGCCCCGTCCCACCATGGCTAAGATCTTGCAGCCGTCTGAGCAGGATCCAGAGGAAGGTGGGGGGCAGCGGGCACCAGCCTAGGTCAAAGTGATGTAGGCAGAAGCCTTCTCCTTCAGCTGCCGTAGGCACAAGTGGCAGCTCCAGCTTCCTGCAAGGAAGGAAAACAGGAGAAACATCAGCACGTTGTAATGTTGTTGGGTTTCATCCCTGACTGCACAAGTCTCCAGCTCTCAATGGGTAGTTAGCCTAGATATACTGAGGGACTCCTCCCCAATTTCCTTTAGCTAGTTTGTTTTAAGAAGGGGTTAAGAAGGAGGATTGTCTTACTCATCTTTGCATGGCACTATCTCCTCCCCTTTTGAATACCTAGGAATGTGATCTCTTTAGGGAAATGTAACTTCTTCTTTTAAAGGTATTTTTATTGTCCTGGGCTGGCCATGTGGCCTGACTCCATTTACTGGCCTCCTCTCCTTTTGTCTTCTCTAGAATGAGGGAGCATCTTGCCATTGTCTAAGGCAAGATGTAGTAAATATAGTTACTTTTATTATTTTTCCTTTTCCCTAGAAGATAGCTCAGTGAAGCTAGTTAGCTCCTAGAACCTTTCCTATCTAGAATGGATGTCTTTTATCTTTAATAAACATATTATTTTTGTATTGTTGAAGGCTTTCATGGCCGGAATCACTGGGTTGTTGTAGGTTTTTTCGGGCTATATGCCATGTTCTAGAGGCATTCTCTCCTGACATTTCGCCTGCATCTATGGCAAGCATCCTCAGAGGTAGTGAGGTCTGTTGGAACTAGGAAAGGGGTTTATATATCTGTGGAATGACCAGGGTGAGACAAAGGACTCTTGTCTGCTGGAGCTAGGTGTGAATGTTTCAACTGACCACCTTGATTAGCATATAATGGCCTGACAGTGCCTAGAGCAAACCTTTGTTGAGAGGTGATTCGATGTCCTTGTTTGTTTCCTCTCTGTTGTTGTGTTGTTGTAATTTTAGAGTTTTTTAATACTGGTAGCCAGATTTTGTTCATTTTCATGGTTTCTTCCTTTCTGTTGAAATTGTCCACATGCTTGTGGATTTCAATGGCTTCTCTGTGTAGTCTGACATGGTGGTTGTTGAGAGTGGTCCAGCATTTCTGTGTTCTCAAATAAAATGCTGTGTCCAGGTTGGTTCATCAGGTGCTCTGCTCATGGCTGACTTCTCTGGTTGAAGTAGTCTGCAGTGCCTTTCATGTTTCCTGATTCGTGTTTGGGCAACTGCGTTTGGTGGTCCCTATGTAGACTTGTCCACAGCTGCATGGTATGCGGTAGACTCTTGCAGAGGTGAGAGGATCCCTCTTGTCCTTTGCTGAACGAAGCATTTGTTGGATTTTCTTGGTGGGTCTGTAGATAGTTTGTATGTTGTGTTTTCTTGTCAGCTTCCCTATGCGGTCAGTGGTTCCCTTGATGTATGGCAAGAACACTTTCCCCAGTGTTGCGAGGGACTTCAGTTCCCAGAATCCCTGGCCATTGGCCCAGGCAGATGAGGTTTCTGGGAACTCAATTCAGACTGGAGTTTGGGAATCAATGAAAATTTGGGTTGCTGTGAGTTTTTCAGGCTGTATGGCCACATTCCAGAAGCATTCTCTCCTGCATCTATGGCAGGCATCCTCAGAGGTTGTGAGGTCTGTTGGAAAGTGGGAATATGGGGTGCAGCTATGAACAAGTCTACATAGGGACCACCAAACGCAGCATTGCGCAGACACAAATTAAGACTACTTCGGTCAGAGAAGTCAGCCATAGCAGAGCACTCAATGAACCACCCTGGACAGAACATGTTATTTGAGAACATAGAAATGCTGGACCACTCAAACAATTTATTGCTTGGAGGCAACTCGAGGCGGTTTACATTTAGTAATCAATGCCCCACAAGATAAAATACAGTCAAAAACAATTACATATAATATAACCATATAAAAACAATTAACAATTAAAACCATAAAAAACAACCACCATGTCGGACTACACAGAGAAGCCATTGAAAACCACAGAAAGGAGGAAACCATGAAAATCAACCAAATTTGGCTACCGGTATTTAAAAAAAACTCTAAAATCAGGACAGTAAATAAAGAACAACACTCAAAAACAGGAGTTCCAGACAAGAAACAACCAGGGCCAGCTAATCACCTCCCAACAAAGGATTCCCCCTGGCAGTAAGAAGCCAGACCTTGAAACTGCTTGGCCATTAAATGCTAATCAAGGTGGCCAATTGAAACATTCACACCTACCTCAAACAGACAAGAGTTCTGGGTCGTTGTAAGTTTTTCGGGCCATATGGCCATGTGCTAGAACAGTGGTTCTCAGGTTCTCAACCTGGGGTTCCCAGATGTTTTTGGACTTCAACTCCCAGAAATCCTAACAGCTGGTAAACTGACTGGGAGTTGTAGGCCAAAACACCTGGGGACCCACAGGTTGAGAATCACTGTTCTAGAAGCATTCTCTCCTGACATTTCGTCTGCATCTATGGCAAGCATCCTCAGAAGTTGTGAAGTCTTCTAGAACATGGCCATGTGGCCCGAAAAACCTACAACAACCCAGTGATTCCAGCCATGAAAGCCTTCAACAATATAGGCAAGAGTTCTTTCTCCCACCCTGGACATTACACAGATATATAAACCCCACTTTCCAAGTTTCCAACAGACCTCACAACCTCTGAGGATGCCTGCCATAGATGCAGGCGAAATGTCAGAAGAGAATGCTTCTAGAGCATGACCATACAGCCCGAAAAACTCACAACAAACCACTGGTCCCAGTCAGCACATTTTGCTGCAATGTCAGATAGAGATCCTTTGCCATCGCTTGCCATTTGGCTCACCTTCCGGGGGTTCGGCCATCGGGGGACTCAGGCAGTACATGTGGTAGCCCCGGTCGCAGTCATCACAGAACAGTAGCTGGTCCTGAAGAGAGACGAGAGAGATTGAGAGAAGGTAGAAAGACCCCTGGGCGGGACAGCAATGGCTTTGAAATGAGGCAGTAGCATGGATCAATGGGAAGAGTGCAGGATAGGCACCCCTTGGGATGGGAAGCATCCTGTTTTGAAATGATAAATTTGGCACTGAAAAGCTGTCCTTGGCTATCTAATCCAGTAGCATCGTCTTTAAAGGGCCAGCGAGATCTTTCTTCCCAAACTCATGCAAGAGTTCTCTTGTCCTTAGGGATCATGTTGGGCATCCATAGGCTGCAAGATTCTACCACAGTGTTTCTCAGCCTTCCTAATGCCACAACCCCTTAATACAGTTCCTCAAGTTGTGGTGACCCCCAACCATAACATTATTTTCGTTGCTACTTCATAACTGTAATTTTGCTACTGTTATGAATCATAATGTAAATATCAGATATGCAGGATATATTTTCATTCACTGGACCCAGTTTGGCACAAACACCCGATACATCCAAATTTGAATATTGGTGGAGTTGGGGGGGGGGGGATTGATTTTTGTCATTTAGGAGTTGGAGTTGCTGGGATTTATAGTTCACCAACAATCAAAGAGCATTCTGAACTCCACCAATGATGGAATTGAACCATGCATATTTTCATTCACTGGACCCAGTTTGGCACAACACCCGATACGCCCAAATTTGAATAATGGTGGGGGTTGTGGAGTATTGATTTTGTCATTTGGGAGTTGTAGTTGCTGGGATATATAGTTCACCTACAGTCAAAGAGCATACTGAACTCCACCAACTCTACCAATGATGGAATTGAACCAAACTTGGCACACACAACTCCCATGACCAACAGAAAACACTGGAAGAGTTTGATGGGCATTGACCTTGAGTTTTGGAGTTGTAGTTCACCTACATCCAGAGAGCACTGTGGACTCAAACAATGATGGATCTAGACCAAACTTGGCATGAATACTCAATATGTCCAAATGTAAACAGTGGTGGAGTTTGGGGGAAATAGACCTTGACATTTGGGAGTTGTAGTTGCTGGGATTGATAGTTCACCTCCTGGAGCCCCCGGTGGCACAGTGGGTTAAACCCCTGTGCTGTCAGGACTGAAGACCAACAGGTCGCAGGTTCAAATCCGGGGAGAGGCAGATGAGCTGCCTATATCAGTTCCAGTTCCTCATACGGGGACATGAGAGAAGCCTCCCACAAGGATGATAAGAACATCAAATCATCCAGGCGTCCCCTGGGCAACGTCCTTGCAGACAGCCAATTCTCTCACACCAGAAGCGACTTGCAGTCGCTCCTGACACGACAAAAAAACAAACAACCCGGGTGCTCCTAAGATGGAGGCGAAAAGGCATAATTGCCATGCAGGAATTGTCACAGATCTTGGTCACACAGAGTATGGGGAAGGAGGGAAGAAACCAGCACTGAACGGACTGAAGCCCATTCATGTTATGTGCTTGCGTGCACACTCATGCATGCCCACCCTAGCACACAGCAGGGGTTAAGGGCCTCCGTTTGGAGCAAGCTGGCTCACGTACATCGTTCTCTGAGGTGCCACAAAGGCTGCAGCTCTTGCACTCGATGCATTGCCACCGGTAAGTCCGGACGGCTGCTGTCATGTTCACGGTGAACTGCAGGCAGGACGGATGGCCTGGAGGGAAAGAAAGAGCAAGCAATCAGCAACGGGTATCGGGTGGAGAGATGGAGTGAGACTTATGGTGCCCTCCTGCCTCTCCTGAAAGCCTTTCTTGAAAAGGCCAGTTTGGGAAGTGGCTTTGTCTTGACTTGGGCCTGAATCTAATTGACTGACCATTGGTTAGTGGCACACCCAAGTTGCACTACGCATGCAGAAATGTTTTTGTTCTTGTTTTGGACACTATACAACAATTGCATTTAATGGACAGCAGCATAAGTGTTGTTTGGGACAGTGGCGCATGATCAAGTCTTTCTTCTACCCATTGCAATAGTGCAAGTTATAAACCATGCACCTTCACCATTGATCCACATATGTTGCATTATATTGTCGAAGGCTTTCATTACAGGAATCACTGGGTTGTTGTAGGTTTTTCAGGCTATATGGCCATGTTCTAGAGGCATTCTCTCTTGATGTTTCGCCTGGATCTATGGCAAGCATCCTCAGAGGTAGTGAGGAAACTTTTCAAATATTACTTTGAAAAATAACATTATATTTAATGTATTGTCGAAGGTTTTCATGCCTGGAAACATTGGGTTGTTGTAGGTTTTTTGGGCTCACTTCCTCTGAGGATGCTTGCTATAGATGCAGGCGAAACGTCAGGAGAGAATGCCTCTAGAACATGGCCATATAGCCCAAAAAAACCTACAACAACCCATGTTGCATTATGTTAACATTCTGTGTAGAAGGTATTGTCGAAAGGTTGTTGTAGGTTTTTCAGGCTGTATGGCCATGTTCTAGAAGCATTCTCTCCTGATGTTTCACCTGCATCTATGGCAGGCATCCTCACAGGTTATGAGGGCACAACTTTGGATTTATCAGGCAGGTGAGGAACCTATAACAACCCAGTGATTCCAACTATGAAAGCCTTCAACAATATATTCATGGCCTTTGACAATAGACTGGGTTGCTTTGAGTTTTCCAGAGCTGTATGGTCATGTTCCAGAAGCATTCTCTCCTGATGTTTCACCTGCATCTATGGCAGGCATCCTCACAGGTTGTGAGGGCACAACTTTGGATTTATCAGGCATGTGAGGAACCTACGACAACCCAGTGATTGCAGCCATGAAAGTCTTCAACAATATATTCATGGCCTTCGACAATATACTGGGTTGCTGTGAGTTTTCCAGGGCTGTATGGTCATGCTCCAGAAGCATTCTCTCCTGATGTTTCGCCTGCATCTATGGCAGGCATCCTCAGAGGTTGTGAGGTCGATTGGAAACTAGGAAAGTGGGGTTTATATATCTGTAGAATAATGTCCAGGGTGGGAGAAAGAACTCTTGTCTGTTTGAGACGAGTGCGAATGTTGCAATTCGCCACCTTGATTAGCACTGAATGGTCTTGCAGTTTCAAAGCCTGGCTGCTCCCTGCCAGGTGGGATCCTTTGTTGGGAGGTGTTAGCTGGCCCTGATTGTTTCATGTCAGGAAGTCAGCAACTGTCTTGAATGCAGAAACATACTGCCTGCTTCTTTCAATTGTAGAGCCCAATGTTTCCCATACTCTGGTCTTCCGGGTGTTTTGGACTACAGTTCCCAGAACGCTTAACCATTGTCCAAGGCAGCTGTGGCTTGTGGGATGTGAAGTCCAAAATCCCTAGAGTTTGGCAATCTGGTTATATTATATTATATTATATTATATTATATTATATTATATTATATTATATTATATTATATTGCAATTTGGTTATATTATGGTTCAACTTTAATTAAGTAACTAACATTAGAATCATAGAATCATAGAACTGGAAGAGACCTTGTGGGCTATCCACTCCAACCCCCGGCCAAGAAGCAGGAAAATATCTTGTTTGCGGCAAGTATGAATGTTGCAATTGGCCACCTCAATTAGTATTTAATGGCCTTGCAGCTTCAAAGCCTGGCTGCTTCCTGTCTGGGGGGGGTACTTTGTTGGGAGGTGTTAGCTGGCCCTGATAGTTTCCTGTCTGGAATTCCCCGGGTTTTTTGTTTTTTTATAGTGTTCCTCTTTATTTACTGTCTTGATTTTAGAGTTTTTTAAATACTGGGAGCCAGATAAATGGCCTTGCAGATTCAAGGTCTGGCTTCTTACTGCCTGGGAGATCCTTTATTGGGAGGTGATTAGCTAGCCCTAATTGTTTCTTGTCTGTTATTCCCCAATTCAGTGTAGAGTTGCATAACAAAAACCGATAGACTGAAATATCAATTATGCTATTGTCGAAGGCTTTCATGGCTGGAATCACTAGGTTCTTATGGGTTTTTTTGGGCTATAGGGCCATGTTCTAGAGGCATTTCTCCTGACGTTTCGCCTGCATCTATGACAAGCATCCTCAGAGGTAGTGAGGTGAGGATGCTTGCCATAGATGCAGGATGAGGATGCTTGCCATAGATGCAGGCGAAACGTCAGGAGAAATGCCTCTAGAACATGGCCCTATAGCCCAAAAAAACCCACAAGAACCTATCAATTATGCTGTTCTCTGCACTTGAGTCAAGAGAGGCCACAGTGCATCACACACAGTGCAAGGATTATATGCGTAAAGTCCCAACAAATTCACAATCCTCCCATCTGAATCCCCGGAGAGCCCCTGCAAGTCAGTACTGGTGGTCAATTGCATCCTGCTAGTTTCGTATGCATATGATTGTGGGATAAATTATTTCCAATAGCAGGACAGAGATATTCTGCTGACGGCAAAGTTGTGCATTCAGCAATATTGCGGTTTCACACTCCAGCTGCGCATTATGCATTGTGGTAGCATATTGCATCTTGCTCATGTACAGGACACAACAGGAGCCAATCAATGATATGTGTGGCACCAAGTTACTACTCTACGCAACAGGTGCAGAGCCTCCCTGAATACAGACGCTTAAGCCACACTGAGAGGATGCTGAATGGCAGCCAGAGATTGGCCACGTAGGTGAATAGTTGCCCAACTTCCTATGTGGGAAAGACCCAGCATTGTTTTGCTCACAGAGTCTCACCTGAACGGCCGCAGTCTGCGCAGGAAATGAGATCTTCGGGGCAGCCGGTCTTCTTGGAGCCGCCTAGACAGAAATCACAATAACCGTTTGGTATGACTGTGCCGTCCGGAGCTTTCTTAGCTGCAAAACAGCAAGGAGAGGCCAAAATCAAGGGTGGGGACACAGAGACTTTCTGTGCACCCCACAAACACCTCCAACTTCCTACGCAGTGGGAAGAATCCCAACCCCATCCTCCTTCCACCAACCCACACATTCACCCAGTACAGTTTCACAAATTTTCCATTTTTCTCTTGTCTTGGCAACATGCAAAGGTTCATCACAGCTGGCGTGTGCCAGGGCAGGACTTCCCCATAAGGCAGTGGTTCTCAACCTTCCTAATGCCGCGACCCCTTAATACAGTTCCCCATGTTGTGGTGACCCCCAACCATCACATTATTTTCGTTGCTACTTCACAACTGTAATTTTGCTACTAAATCATAATGTAAATATTGGGTATGCACAATGTATTTTCCTTCACTGGACCAAATTTGGCACAAATAACCGATACGCCCAAATTTGAATGCTGGTGCAGTTGGGATTGATTTTGTCATTTGGGAGTTGTAGTTGCTGGGATTTATAGTACGCCTACAATCAAAGAGCATTGTGAACTCCAGCAACTATGGGATTGAACCAAACTTGTCACACAGAACTCCCATGATCAAGAGAAAATACTAGAAGGGTTTGGTGGGCATTGACCTTGAGTTTTGGAGTTGCAGTTCACCTACATCCAGAGAGCACAATGATAGATCTGGACCAAACTTGGCACAAATACTCAATATGGCCAAATGTGAACACTAGTTGGGGGAAAACAGACCTTGACATTTGGGAGTTGTAGTTGCTGGGATTTATAGTTCACCTACAATCAAAGAGCATTCTGAACCGCACTAATGATAGATTTGGGCCAAACTTCCCACACAGAACTCCCATGACTAACAGAAATACTGCATTTTCTGATGGTCTTTGGTGACCCCTCTGACACCCACCCTTGTGACCTTCCCAGGGGTCCAGACCGCAAGGTTGAGAAATGCTGCCATAAGGGAACACACAAACTATACCCACTTTATCTTGGCATCTTATCCTGTTCCATGTCCATGCAGCTATAACACTCTGCACACCCTATGTACACATGCATGACATTCAAACAGTCTGACATGTTTCTAGCTGTTAAAGTCAGGAAGAAAGTGGTCTCAAAGGTCTCCACATTCTTCCTCCCCTCTTTCCATTCCTTGCCCTTCTGTCACTTCAAATCCTTCGAAATCAGGATCCCACAAATCATGCAGCACAGTGGCTTTGTTGGCAAAGCTTTGGTCAGAGGATTGAGCCTTTCAGGGCACAAAAGGTGGAAGAGTTTGTTTGGATACAGAGACCTCGCTAAGGAAAAAACGCCGGGACATCTTCCTCTCTATCCGCACTAACAACTCTGGAGAAGTCCTTTATAGCAGTGTTTCTCAACCTTTCTAATGCCGCAACCCCTCAATACAGTTCCTCATGTTGTGGTGACCCCACACCATAACATTATTTTGTTGCTACTTCATGTAATTTTGCTACTGTTAGGAATCGTAATATAAATATCAGATATGCAGGATGTATTTTCATTCACTGGACCAAATTTGGCACAAATGCCCAAATTTGAATACTGGTGGGATTGTGGGGGGGATTCGTTTTGTCAATGAGGAGTTGTAGTTGCTGGAATTTATAGTTCACCTACAATCAAAGAGCATTCTGAACTCCACCAATGATGGAATAGAATCAATATATTGTATATATATTGTATATACATATAATATTGATAATATTATAATGTAATACAATATACTACTACTAATTATATATTTTATATTAAATGTAATATTACTAATAATATTACAATATGATATTATAGTACAATGTAATATATAATATTAATATTGTGCTATGATAATAATATAATATATTGTATTTACTTTTTACTTGTAAGCCGCTCTGAGTCCCCTTCAGGGTGAGAAGGGCGGCATATAAATGTCATAAATAAAATAATAATAAATAAAATAAACTTAGCGCACTGGACTCCCATGGCCAACAGAAAATACTGGAAGGGTTTGGTGGGTATTGCCCTTGAATTTTGGAGTTGCAGTTCGCTTACATCCAGTTAGAGCGCTGTGGACTCAAACGATGATAGATCTGGACCAAACTTGGCATGAATACTCAATATACCCAAATGTTTGGTTTGGGGAAAATAGACCTTGACATTTGGGAGTTGTGGTGCTGGGATTTATAGTTCACCTACAATCAAGAAACCCTTAAACCCTACCAATGATAGAATTGGGCCAAGCACAGAACTTCCATGCCTTGAAGGGACTTGATGGCGCAAGCCTCCCTCCAGCCTCACACACTCTCCCTCGCCCATACATGTGCACCACGCTGCCATGCGCTGAGCACGCCTGCTCTCCCCTCCCCACTTAGAGTCTCAGAAACAGCCAATCATAGCAAAGGATGGCTTTTGGTGGGAGGATTCACCATCTATTTCCAAAAAGGAAAAGAAGGACAGGCAGAGAGATCTTCAGACTTCTCTACCAAAGGAGTTCTGAAGACCATCAGAAATATATGTTTTCTGATGGTCTTTGGCGACCCCTCTGAAACTCTCTCACGACCCCCACAGGTTGAGAAACGCTGCTTTATAGGAATGGGAAAGGGAGGGCACTGAAGCAAGAAAATGGTTTCATGGGATAGAATTGAACCGGGCAGCCCTTTCTCTCCATTCTTCCAGAGAGAAAAAGGCCCTAAGCAATCCTGCCTTGGAGCCCTTTTTCTGCACCTTGTGCCTCATAGAGCTGCCCTGGGATTTACCTGTGTGCCTGCGCTGGTTCTCAGGGACCCAGTTCAGCGCTTTGTAAAACTCTGGAGAAAGCCAGAAATGCAAAAAAAGAAAAATAATGGAAATAAGCACGGCGGATGGGGAGGGAATGGAAGACGTCTAGGGGAATGGTTCTCAACCTGCCTAATGCCGCGACCGCTTAATACAGTTCATGTTGTGGTGGCCYCCAACCACAACATGATTTTTGTTGCTACTTCATAATTGTAATTTTGCTACTGTTATGAATCRTCATGTAAATATCTGATATGCAGGATGTATTCACTGGACYAAATTTGACACAAATACCCGATACACCTAATTTGAGTACTGGTGGGTTTTGGGGAGATTGATTTGGTCATTTGGAAAGTGGATTTATCGTTCACTTACAATCAAAGAGCATTCAGAACTCCACCAACAATGGAATTGAACYAAACTCGACACAAAAGTCTCATGACCAACAGAAAATACTGGAAGGGTTTGGTGGGTATTGACMTTGAGTTTTGAAGTTGTAGTTCACCTACATCCAGAGAACTCTGTGGACTCAAACAACGACAGATCTGGACCAAACTTTGCAAGAATACTCAGTATGCTCAAATGTGAATACTGGTAGAGTTTGGGGGAAATAGACCTTGGCATTTGGGAGTTGTAGTTGCTGGGATTCATAGCCCACCTACAGTCAAAGAGCATTCTGAACTCCACCAACGATGGAATTAAACCAAACTTGTCACACAGAACTCTCATGACTAACACAAAATACTGGAAAGGTTTGGTGGGCATTGACCGTGGTTTTTGGGGTTGTACTTCACCTACATCCAGCGTGCTCTGTGGACTCAAACTATTTATTTATTTATTTATTTATTTATTTATTTATTTACTTACTTACTTACTTACTTACTTACTTCCTATATTTGTACCCCACCCTTCTCCCTCCGAAAGGGGACTCAGGGTGGCCTTAAGGGACCAAACTTGGCATGAATACTCAATGTGCCCAAATGTGAACACTGGTGAAGTTTGGGGAAAATATACCTTGACATTTGGGAGTTGTAGTTGCTGGGATTTATAGTTCACCTACAATCAAAAGCATTCAGAACCCCACCAACAATAGAATTGGGCCAAACTTCCCTCCCTCCAGCATTGCACGCTCTTCCTCACTTAGGCATGCGCACTACACTGCCATGTGCCAAGCACACCTGCTCTCCCCTCCCCACTTTGAGTCTCAGAAACAGCTCTCCCCATTGGCGGAGAGGCCGGCTAAACAGTGGAGGAGGGCTTTCGGTTGGAGGATTTGTATCTGTTTCCAAAAAGGAAGTCAAGGACAGGTGGAGAGATCTTCAGCCTTCTCTGCCAAAGGGGTTCCTAAGACCATCAGAAATATACAGTGTTCCCTCGCTACTTTGCCGTTTACTTTTAGTGGACTCGCTATTTTGCGATTTTCAAAAAATATTAATTAAAAATATATATTGTAGTATTTTCGCTGTTTTGTGGGTTTTTTCCGCTGCCGCTCTCCAAGGCACTTTCCCTCCTCAGTCCTCCCTCCAGCCTTGAAGGGCCTTTCCTTCCTTTCCCTTCATTTATTTTAAGTTTATAAAGACTTAAAATAGTGTATAACTAGTAAAATAATATATAAATATTAAAATAAATATAGCATCCCTACATCTCAGTTTTTTACTTATTGCGGAAGGTCCTGGAAGGTAATCCCAGCAATAAGTGAGCGAACATTGTATGGGTTGTTGTAGGTTTTTTCAGTCTATGTGGCCATGTTCTAGAGGCATTCTCTCCTGACGTTTCGCCTGCATCTATAGCAAGCAACCTCAGAGGATGCTTGCCTAGATGCAGGCAGAAACGTCAGGAGAGAATGCCTCTAGAACAGTGGTTCCCAACCTTGCTAATGTCGTGACCCCTTAATGCAGTTCCTTATGTTGTGGTGACCCCCAACCATAATATTGTTATCATTGCTACTTGATACTTGTCATTTTACTACTGTCATAAATCATAATGTAAATATCCGATATGCAGGATGGATTTTCATTAACTGGATTAAACTGAGCACAAATACCCAATATGCCCAAATGTGAATGCTAGAGGGGTTAGGGGGAGGACTGATTTTGTAATTTGGGAGTTGTAGTTGCTGGGATTTATAGTTCACCTATAATCAAAGAGCATTCTGAACTCCATCAGCGATGGATTTAAACCGAACTTGGCACACAGAACTCCCATGACCAACAGAAAACACTGGAAGGGTTTTGTGGGCATTGACCTTGAGTTTGGGGGTTGTAGTTCACCTATATCCAGAGGAGTGCTGTGGATTCATGCAATGATGGATCTGGACCAAACTTGGCACGAATACTCAATATGCCCAAATGTGAACACTGGTGGAGTCTGGGGAAATAGACCTTGACATTTGGGAGTTGTAGTTGTTGGGATTTATAGTTCACCTACAATCAAAGAGCATTCTGAACTCGACCAACAATAGAATTGGGTCAAACTTCCCACAGAATCCCAATGACCAACAGAAAATACTATGTTTTCTGATGTTCTTTGGCGACCCCTTTGACACCCCCTCACGACCCCCTCAAGGGTCCCGACCCCCAGAACATGGCCACACAGCCTGAAAAAACCTACAACAACCCAGTGATTCTGGCTATGAAAGCCTTCGACAATACATGGAACAGTGTATGTTTTCTGGTAGTTTTTGGCGACCCCTCTGACACCCCCTTGTGACCTCCCCCCCACCCCCAGAGGTCCCCAGGTTGAGAAACACTGGTCTAGACTCTTGGGAAGCAAGTCACGTTCTCCTATGGCAAAAAAATGGGATTGGGGGTTATCAATCTCTCTGCATTTCTGAATAAACAGATAAACAAGCCAAGAAAAAGGGCATAAAGTACAAGCTGCTTAGCAAGGGAATGCAAGGCTTTGCGGTGAGGGAATGCAAAGCACAGAGGTGGTTATCAAATGCCACCATTATGTAGGGCATGTGTGCAAGAGGCGAGGCATCTTGACACAAAATGGGCAGCATTCCTGCTCAGGTTGCGGGTACAATTCAAGGAAAGGAGGTCATCTGTGCCAAAAAGCAAGAGAGCTGGAAGCACCGACGAAGCAGCATCTCTGGGTCAGCAAATGGCCACGGCCCATCCATCAGGCCGGATCCATCCAAGGGGATCCCAGGAGCCCTGCCCCCTTTCTCCGGGGAGAGCCCCTCCTTGCATCTTGCTCCTTTGTGCAGATTCTACTACATCAGCATGCGCTGGTCTCCATGGTAACCCGATGAGGAAAAGGGATGGGGATGCGTTGGTTGGGGAGGAGGGGTGGAGACGGAAGACTCTTCCCTTCCCTCTTTCTTTCCCCCCATTGTGATGTTGTAGGGCAGGATAATCCCAGCTAGACATGGCCCAACCACACCCTGATTGAGATCCTTGTATTCTTCCTAGCTTGGCCTCATGGGTATCTTCCTCAACTCCCCTCCAAAAATGAGACATGGGGGGTTTGCCATCCATTCGTCTTCCCTCCAACATGCACAGGCGCCCTTCCCCTCTCCCAGCAATGCTGCCATGCGCAACCACAGACAGAACGTAATCCAATATGGAAGAGTATAGTTGCAAATACCTATAGCAGCTCTACACAACACAAGTGTCCAAGCGGACAATGAGGCTCCCTTCAGAAGACTCAGTATCACAAACATATATGCACAAAAAATCCATGCCACAACCCCATACCACATTTCCACCCAAACAGAGAGATGGCTCAGCCAGACAGGTATGCACACAAGGTGCACAAAGATGCATAGATGACCTGTGTGTACCTACAGAGGTGGGTTTTGCCTATTTCTTGGTGCTTCCCTGAGTTGCGCTGTCGGTCAAATTTGTCCCATATCACATTTATTACTTTACTATATTATTACTGTCATTATTGTTGTTCATTCGTTTAGTCGTCTTCGTATTATTATTATTATTATTATTATTATTATTATTATTATTATTATATGACACAAAAAACAGTATGTCACAGCAAACGAGATCTCTATGCTGAATTTCGTATCACAAAATCACAAGTCGAACACTTCCCAAGCATCTAGGACTGTGTAATGTATTTTCAAATGATGCTTGCAGATCCAAGTAAGGTGGCCTTTTGCAGCAGACCGATCGTGAATTTGTCAATGTTTATTGTTATGCTGGCTGTTGTACTGGATAACACATCGGACAATAATGTATCGGCAAATAATGCATGCAGGTCTGAGTAGGGTGGTCTTTTGCAGCTGACAGATGGTAATTTTGTCAGTGCTAATTGTGTTTAAGTGCAGGCCAAGATCTTTAGGCACTGCACCGAGTGTGCCAATCACCACTGGGACCACCTTAACTGGCTTGTGCCAGAGTCTTTGCAGTTCGATCTTTAAATCCTTTATTGTGTCAGCTTTTCCAGTTGCTTCTTGTCAATCCTGTTGTCACCTGGGATTGCAACATTGATGATCCATACTTGTTTTTCCCCCAAGATCATGATTGTGTTTAAGTGCAGGCCAAGGTCTTTAGGCACTGCACCCAGTGTGCCGATCACCACTGGGACCACTTTACTGGCTTGTGCCAGAGTCTTTGCAGTTCATCTTTAAATCCTAGTGTCAGCTTTTCCAGTTGCTTCTTGCCAATCCTGTTGTCGCCTGGGATTGCAACATCGACAATCCACCCTTTGTTTTTTAACACGATCGTGAGGTCAGGAGTATTGTGCTCCAAAACTCTGTCTGCCTAAATCCCAGAGTAGCTTGACATGCTCATTTTCTGTAACTTTTTCCAGGCTTATGATCCCACCAGTTCTTTGTCGCAGGCAAATGGTATTTGTGGCACAAGTTCCAATGAATCATCTGAGCAACGGTGTTATGCCTCTGCTTGTAGTCTGTCTGCGATCTTCTTGCAGCAGCTGAGGATGTAATCTATTGTTTCATCTGCTTTCTTGCAGAGTGTACACTTGGGATCTGTCATTAACTTTTCAATTCTGGCTTTGATGGCATTGGTTCAAATGGCTTGTTCTTGGGCTGCCAGAATCAGGCCCTCCGTCTCCTTTTTCAAAGTTCCATTATTATTATTATTATTGCATTTATTATTTTACTCTATTATTATTGGAAGGATACATAAGCACATTTTCATATGGGCATATGGGACAAATGCAACCGACAGCACATCTCAGGGAGGCACCAAAGAATGATCAAAACCCACCTCTGACATTAAGGGGGATCAGCCCTGAGCATTACTTGAATGGTAGACCAACGAGGAATACCAAATGCTATATTTCAGGGGAAGGAACTGGCAAAATCGCCTCTGAAATGAAGCAAATAAATTGTCTCCAATATGGAAAGGGACTGGAAGGGATCTAGGACAAGAAACTACTACTACTACTACTACTACTACTACTACTAATAATAATAATAATAATAATAATAATAATAATAATAATAATAACAGAGTACATCACACAGTCCTAGACACTTGGGAAGTGTTCGACTTGTGATTTTGTGATACGAAATCCAGCATACAGATCTCGTTTGCTGTGACATACTGTGCTTTTGTGTCAATAATAATAACAACAGAGTAAAATAATAAATAACTTTGGCTCGAGTATAAGCCAAGGGGGGCTTTTTCAACCTAAAAAGGGGATGAAAACCCAGCTTATACTCAAGTATATACGGTATATAGGGTTAATCCTGGCTAGTACTAGAATGGGAGACTGGCGTGAATGCTAGGTGCCATAGGATATGTTGCAGAGGGACTAGCAAAACCGTCTCTGAGGTCTTCTTGCCTAGGAAAACCCTATGAAATTCAAGACATCGGCTTAGGTCAAGGGCCAACTTGAAGGCCCACCTGGGTGGATGCACAATCCTGACTTCCTCGGTATCTGAATCAAATGCCTGAATCTTGAATCTTGACAGGTAAGGAAGAAAAGGAGGTAGAGGTGCGCTTTCAACTCCCCCGGGCTCTTTCTTTGCAACCTCCAAAGATCTGGCGGGGAGAAGGAAGGACCGGCTTAACCCTCTCCAGCTTTCGGCTTGCTTCCGCCGCCCCGCCGCCAGGACTCCTCGGGGGTCCCATTTAATTGAAAGGATAAATCAGAGCAGGAAATATTATACCTGCCAACTTCACCCACCAACGTTGCTGGGGCAACCATCCTCATCAGCAAGAGCACAGTGGCTGGGTTGGTGGGGGGGGGGGATATTAAAAGTGGAGACCCTCACTCGGCAACGGGGAGCGGGGAAGCAGGAGATAATGGGATGAGGAAGAGGAGGGAATCAGGCACACGCACACACACACATCCGCCGTATTATTAAAATATTATTTTTCAGGGGTTGATTCATGTTCCACGCATGCCAACTTTTGAAATGCAATAGCCTTGCAGAGAGAGAGAGAGAAAGAGTGAGAAGCCGGTTGCAAATTAGAATGCAGCTGAAAGGCAAAAAAAGAAGAAAGGAAAGGAAAGGAAAAGTAGCCCAAACTGAAGACATGGAGGAAATGGGTTTTTTTAAGCCTTGACCTATTTGGGGAAGGATATTGGAGGCTGCTTTCTGCCAAATCAGACTGGATTGCTCACTCTTGGATAGACCAGTAAGGGCTTTCCAATCTCTACTGCATTTGGGGGAAGGAAATAGTTTTCGCACCCTTATCCGGAAATGCACCATTTACTCAAATCCAAACTTTCGAGGGGCAAATGAAGTCCTCCAATGCTGAGTGATGGGTCCTACTGCTCTCACTATTGCGATTCTTGGCATTTAGACTGTGCTTCTACATCAGGAGGAAAGAGAAGGAAGGAAGGAAGGAAGGAAGGAAGGAAGGAAGGAAGGAAGGAAGGAAGGAAGGAAGGAAGGAGAAAGAGAGGGAAGGAGGGAGGAAAGAGGAAAGGAAGGAAGGATGAAAGGGTGGAAGGAAAGGATGGAAGGAGAAAGGGGTGAGGGAAGGAGGGAGGAAAGAGGGAAGAAAAAAAAGGAAAGGGAGAAAGGGTGGAAGGGAAAGAGAGGAAGGAAGGAGGAAGGGAGGGAGAATGAAGGAAGGAAGGAAGGAAGGAAGGACAAAAGGGTTGAAGGGAATGTAGGGAGGAAGAGTGAAGGGAGGGAGGAAGAGAGAAGGAAGTCAAAGGGAAGGAAGGAAGGAAGGAAGGAAGGAAGGAAGGAAGGAAGGAAGGAAGGAAGGAAGGAAGGAAGGAAGGAAGGAGAAAGGGAGGGAAGGAAGGAAAGAAGAAAGGAAGGAGAAAGACAGAGAGGGAAGGAGGAGGAAAGAGAGAAGGAAGGAAGGACAAAAGGGTGGAAGGGAAGGATGAAAGAAAAAAGAAGGAGTGAGAGAAGGAGGGAGGAAAGAAGGAAGGAAAGACAAAAGGGAAGGAAGTGGGGAGAACGTGGAAGGAAAAGAGAAGGGAAGAAGAAAGAGGAGGAAGAGAAGGAAGGAAGGCGGAAAGGGAAGGAAAGAAAAAGGAACTAAAGGAAGACAGAATGGAGAAAAGAGAAAGGAGAAAGGAAAGAAGGAGGAAGGAAGGAAGGAAGGAAGGAAGGAAGGAAGGAAGGAAGGAAGGAAGGAAGGAAGGAAGGAGAAAGAGGGAGGAAAGAGGAAAGAGGATGAAAAGGGGGAAGGGAAGGGGAAACAGAGAGGGAAGGAGGGAGGAAAGAGAGAAGGAAGGAAGGACAAAAGGGTGGAAGGGAAGGATGGAAGGAGAAAGGAGTGAGGGAAGGAGGGAGGAAAGGGGGAAGGAAAGACAAAAGGCAAGGAAGGGAAATGAAAGGGTGGAAAGGAAAAGAGAAGGGAGAAAGGGAGGAAGAGAAGGAATAAGGAAGGAAGGAAGGAAGGAAGGAAGGAAGGAAGGAAGGAAGGAAGGAAGGAAGGAAGAGAGAAGGAAGGAAAGGCAAAAGGAAGGAAGGAAGGATAAAGAGGGAGTGAGGGAGGAAAGAGGATGAAAAGGAGAAAGACGAAGGGAAGGGAGGGAGTTAAGGAGGAAGGAAAGAGAAAAGGAAGTATAGGATGGTGAGAGAGAGGAGGGTCTAAGAAAAGAGTCCAAGGGGCCACATCTGACCCCTGGGCCTGGGTTTGCCCATACCTGTTCTACCTGTTCAAAATGGCTTTGTGTATCTTATTTGGTCTGCACCCAACAATGCACTTGTGAGGTAGGTCAGGATTAGAACATGTAAAACCTTCAAGGCCTGCGAGGCTGAGCTTTCCAAAGAGAAGATGCCCAACAATCCCATAAAGTCAAAGGAGACAGATGACCCTACCGGCGTTGCCCAAGGGCCAGGGTTGGGAGACACTCCTCCTTCGGTAGAAAACAGCAGGGTGAGGCACTCACGTTTGTGGTTGTTCTTACGATGGAAGGGCAAGGTGTGGCGCTCGGGGCCCTCCTCGCCCTCCTCCTCAGCCAGGTGTGTGTGCGTGTAGTGGTAGCTCAGTCCCGGGCGGTTCTTGTAGCGCTTCCCGCAGACTGAAAGCAGAGGGAAGGAGGCACACAGAACATGGTAAGCATTTCCCCCAAAATAAGCCTGAGTGTCACAAACAGGATGCCAACCATAGATGGCACTAATTCATCTGCAGTGAAAAGGAACACCATCAATAAGTTGAATTGACATTTTTGTTGAGTTCTTTATAGAACTGAATCATGATCTCCTGGGGGAAGGTGCTGAGCAGGCAAGTCTGCTAACCAGAGCATTCACACCTCTCCAAAATAATATAGTTCAAGTCAGAGGACCATTCCACCTTAAACATACGAGGGTTGAATGAAAAATAATGCCTCCGCTTTCATTACTTGGGTTTGGCTGGGAATATTTTAATAAATCAAACACAGAAATAATCCTTAGAATGTGCTATTTAACTCCCACTATTCACTTTTCCACATAATCACCAGACAATTGGATACATTTCTGCCAACGATGAACAAGTTTTCTGAAGCTGTCACGGAAGAAGTCAACAATCCCCAGACAATTGGATACATTTCTGCCAACGACGAACAAGTTTTCTGAAGCCGTTACGGAAGAAGTCGACACTGTTTCCACAACCAATTGTGCACAGATCTTCCGATAGCCAAGCAAAGCAATAATGTAACCCACATGTTCTTGTGAAATGCCAATTATGCTTGAAATTTCTCTCTGAGTGATACGATGATCGTCCTGAATCAATCTGTCAACCTTTTGCTTGTGAAACTTGGTGGTTGCTGTCACAGGACGTCCAACTCTTTGTTTGTCATGCAAGTCAGATGTTCGCACCTCAACATCTTTAAACTTACTCTTTTTTTCCTTTCTTTTTTCTTTTTTTTCTTTTTTTCCTTTCCTTTCCTTTTTTCTTCTTACGCTTTCTTTTCTTTTTTCTATCTATTCTATATTTTCTTATTGCATTTAATTGTATTTTAAAAGAAGAAAAATTCTCAATAAAGATTATTAAAAAATCAAGTTTAAACTTACTCACCCAATGACACACAGTACTCACATCAACACAATCAACATAAACAGTTTGCATTCTCTGATAGGGTGACAACTTCTGCTGTCAAGAATTCAATGACTACACGTTACTTAAGTCGCATTGACCGACCGTCTGCGCAGGGTTCCATACTTCGCACTTTAACAACACAACCATTCAATGCTAAGGCTTCCTGCCAAAATGGAACTGTAGAGGAGAGTCTACTGAACAAGTCAGTATCTGCCGCATACCAGTACTGCCATCTGTTGAGGAGTTACGAAGGTGGAGGCATTACTTTTCATTCAACCCTCGTAGCACTATGAGTCCACTTTCATCCTACAGAGTCCTGGGATTTTCAGTTTAGGGAGAAGTGTTGAGAGTTCTCAGGCGGAGAGTTCCTCCGGTGCTGCAAACTACAAATCCCAGGATCCATTGGGACATAGCTATGGTAGCTGAAGTAGATTCCCATCTAGCCCGTCTTCTCTTTGTCAGGGTTTTCCAAAGCTGGGCAAAGCCAATTTTTATCATTGTATGTGTGAATGTTCGTTCCATTTTTAGTGGTAATTAAAGCCAACGGAGCTCATTGGAGAGAAGACAAAAGCCATGGGATATTCACCAGCAAGGATGCAAAGGAGGTTGGGTTGTGGGGAGGTTTGAAGACTTCCCAAGCCGTTTCCACCCAACACCCACTGATCCCAAAGACACACACTCACTGTCACAAACATAGGGTTTGTCTCGGTCCTCCAGCATTGCAGCATCCTGCCTCTTCCGCAGCCCTCCGATCCCATACGCCTAGGAAGAAGGAGAAAGGCTTTGAAGGACTCTACGGGTTTGGACATAAAACTGTGATTTAAGATAAGACTGTCCAACTCTGATTAAACCATTATTCTAACCTTCTTTAATGTAAATGTGCTTATATATCCTACAAATCATAATAAAGAGAGGAAAATAATAAATGTAATAAAAATAAAAATAATAGAGTGAAGAAATGGAAATGCAATAATAACAGTAATTATAGAGTAAAACAATAAATGTAATAATAATAGAGTAAAATGATAAATGTAATAATAACAGTAATAATAAAATAAAATAATAAATGTAATAAAAATAAAAATAATAGAGTAAAGTAACGGAAATGTAATAATAACAGTAATTATAGAGTAAAACAATAAATGTAATAATAATAGAGTAAAAGAATAAATGTAATAATAACAGTAATCATAAAATAATAAATGTAACAATAATACATTGAGTAAAAGAATAAATGTAATAAAAATAAAAATAATAGAGTGAAGTAATGGAAATGTAATAATAACAGTAATAATAGAGTAAAATAATAAATGTAATAATAATAGAGTAAAATAATAAATGTAATAATAACAGTAATGATAAAATAATAAATGTAATAATATTAATAAATAGAGTAAAATAATATCTACATTTATTATTTTTCTCTATTATTACATTTATTATAATAATAGAGTAAACTAATAAATGTAATAATAGCAGTAATAATAAAATAAAATAATAAATGTAGCAATAATTATATATTGAGTAAAACAATAAATGTAACAAAAATAAAAATAATAGAGTGAAGTAAAGGAAATGTAATAATAACAGTAATAATAAAATAAAATAATAAATGTAACAATAATTATATATCAAGTAAAATAATAAATGTAATAACAGTAATAATAAAATAATGAATGTAATAATAATACATCGAGTAAAATAATAAATGTAATACAAATAAAAATAATAGAGTGAAGTAATGGAAATGTAATAATAACAGTAATAATGGAGTAAAATAATATATGTAATAATAACAGTAATAATAAAATAAATTAATAAATGTAGCAATAATTATATATCGAGTAAAATAATAAATATGATAATAACAGTAATAATAAAATAATAAATGTAACAATAATACATCGAGTAAAATAATAAATGTAATAAAAAATAAAAATAATAGAGAAAAGTAACGGAAATGTAATAATAACAGTAATTATAGAGTTAAACAATAAATGTAATAATGATAGAGTAAAATAATAAATGTAATAATAACAGTAATAATAAAATAAAATAATAAATGTAACAATAATTATATATCAAGTAAAATAATAAATGTAATAATAATAAATAGAGTAAAATAATATTTACATTTATTATGTTACTCTATTATTACATTTATAATAATGTAATAATAATAGTGAAATAATAATAGAGAAAAATAGTGTAAATGTACATTTATTTTACTTTATTTATTATTATATTTATAATAATGTAATATAATAGAGAATTATAATAATAGAGTAAAATAATGGAAATGTAATAATAATGATAGAGTAAAATGATAAATGTAATAATAATAATAATTAGAATAAAATAATAATAGTAATAATAATAATAACAACAACAGAATAAATTAATAAATTACCTTGATTTGAATATAAGCCAAGGGGGACTTTTTCAGCCTCAAAAAAGGCTGAAAAACTAGGCTTATACTTGAATATATACAGTACTTTAAATCACTTTCCCAACGCTAGGTTCATTAACGCCTATCACAGAATTGGGTTTTTCGGCTGCTATTTTTGTTCCAGGAGCTATTAATGGATGTTTTGGTGGAGCATGGACGGAGATTATTATAGTCTCCAAGAAACAATAAGAAGCCTGTAAGAAGCCCTTAGTGAGGAGCAGTTTACCAAAGTTTCTTTTGGGCCAATCAAATCATTAGTCCCATTGAGAGAAGGCCCAACAAATCAATTGGACTTATTATTACTGTGTTGTCGAAGGTTTTCATGGCCGGAGTCACCTGGTTGCTATGAGTTTTCTGGACTGTATGGCCATGTTCCAGAAGCATTCTCTCCTGAGGTTTCACCCACAACTATGGCAGGCATCCTCAGAGGTTGTGAGGTCTATTGGAAACTTGGCAAGTTTTCTACCTCTTTCCTTCCTTCACTTTTTGCTTCCATCCTTCCGTCTGTCTTTTCTTTCCCTCCATCTTTCTCTCCTTTCCCTCCTTCCTTCACTCCCTCTTTCCTTCTTTTCCTTCTTTTCCTTTCCTTCTCTCCTTCCCTACCTCTTTCTTTCCTTCCCCCCTCCTCTCCTTTCTTCCTTCTTCCTCTTTGCTTCCATCTTCTTCTCTCTTTCTTCTTTCTTCCCTCTCTCTTTCTCTCCTTCTTCTCCTCTTTCCTTCCTTCCTTTTTTCTTTCCCTCTCTCCTTTCTTCCTTCTCTACCTCTTCTTTTTTCCTTCCTTTTCTCCCTTTTCTCTCTTCTCTCCTTTCCTTTCTTCCTCTCTCTTTCCTTCCCTTTTCTCTCCTTTCTTCCTTCTCTACCTCTCTTTCCTCCTTCTTTCTCTCCTTTTTCCTCCTTCCTTCACTTCCTTTTCCTTTTTCTTTTTTTCTTTCCTTCTCTCCTTCCTCCTACCTCTTCTTTCCTTCCCCCCTCCTGTTTTCTTTTCTTTCTTCTCTACCTCTTTCCTTCTTTCCTTCTTTCTTTCCCTCCCTCATTCTCTCCTTTCTTTCTTTCTTTCTTTCTCCCCTTTCTTCCCTCCCTCTTCCTTTTTTCTGTATTGTCATTTAGCTTTCCGTAATTTAGCTTTTTTGGGGTTTTTAAGTCCTTTCCCCTGTTTTTTTTGGGGGGGGAGTGATTTATTAGTGATGGTCACTCGTTGGTCTGTTAGGGGTATAGTGTCCAAATTTCGTGTTAATTCGTCCAGTGGTTTTTGAGTTATGTTAATCCCACAAACGAACATTACATTTTTATTTATATAGATTTTATATTATTATTATTACTATTATTGTGCTGTTGAAGGCTTTCATGGCCAGAATCACTGGATTGCTGTGAGTTTTCCAGGCCGTATGGCTATGTTTACACATGGCCTTTATCATGTCTCCCTTCAACCTTCTTTTCTGCGGGCTAAACATGCCCAGCTCCTTAAGCCGCTCCTCATAGGGCTTGTTCTCCAGACCCTTGATCATTTTAGTCACCCTCCTCTGGACACATTCCAACATGTCGACGTCTCCCTTAAATTGTGGTGCCCAGAATTGGACACAGTGTGATTCCATGTGTGGAATAGATTTCCCTGGATCTAGACACTAGTCTCCTATTTATGCAAGCAAAAATCCCATTGTCTTTTTTTTGCCACAGCATGACATTACTCTCCTATCAATCAGAGATTTTGAGACTGAACTACATAAACTCAGCAAAAGCCAGGTTGCCAAATTCCTACCAGATCTGAGCGCCTCTGCACGGTCCCAAGAACCAACCCACCCAGAGTTTTGCAAGATGTTTTGCAAATTCGTTGAGCAGTTAAAACTCACAAATAAAACACACACAAAAAATAAAATCCATCCTAAATACACAGAAATCTCAAAAACGCGTTCGGCTTTTAACGTGGATTAAAAGAAAGTGATTTGAACGGGTGCCAAACCCTTAAAAAAAGAGTTGACCTACTTTGAGTGCTTTTGCTTTTCAGACTCAACAAGGACCGGGATTAGGGGCAGAAGGTGGGGAGGGAGGCGAGGTGGGGGCAGCAGGAAAGGAGACCGGAAAAAGGGGGCAGCGGTGCCAGGCCAGAGAGAATAGGAGTAAATAAAGAGACAGGGCCTCCTTTTCCAGTTGGCAAATGCAAGGAAGATAAGAGTCAAGTGGTGCTAATGTTTTGCACCTGTCGTTCAAACCAAACCAGGCCCTTCTTGACATAAGAGGCCAGCTCTCCAAATAAGAGGTCAGCTCTCCATAAGAGGTCAGCTCTCCAGCTCTCTGGAGCATTGCAGTGCACCCAAATACCTCGGAGTCACTCTGGACCATGCTCTGACCTACAAGAAGCATTGCCTGAACATCAAGCAAAAAGTGGGTGCTAGAAACAATATCATACGAAAGCTGACTGGCACAACCTGGGGATCACAACCAGATACAGTAAAGACATCTGCCCTTGCGCTGTGCTACTCTGCTGCTGAGTATGCATGCCCAGTGTGGAACACATCTCACCACACTAAAACAGTGGATGTGGCTCTTAATGAGACATGCCGCATTATCACGGGGTCTGTGCCCTACACCACTGGAGAAATTACACTGCTTAGCCGGTATTGCACCACCTGACATCTGCCGGGAAGTAGCAGCAATAGTGAAAGGACCAAGGCAGTGACATCTCCAGCCCATCCCTTGTTTGCACATTACAACACCAGTTGTAATCCAGACATAGTTTTCTAAGATCTACAGAGACACTCGCTGGAACACCTCAGCAAGCGAGAGTCCAAAAGTGGCAGGCTCAAACCCAGAACCTCAACCAATGGCTGATACCAAATGAGAGACTCCCCCTGGGCACACAGAGGACTGGGCGACTTGGAAGGCGCTGAACAGACTGCGCTCTGGCACCACAAGATGCAGAGCCAACCTTCAGAAATGGGGCTACAAAGTGGAATCCTCGACATGCGAGTGTGGAGAGGAGCAAACCACTGACCACCTGCTGCAATGCAACCTGAGCCCTGCCACATGCACAATGGAGGACCTTCTTGCAGCAACACCAGAAGCACTCCAAGTGGCCAGATACTGGTCAAAGGACATTTAATCAACTACCAAACTCACACATTTTGTATTTTGTCTGTTTGTTTGCTTTGTTCTGTTAGAAATGTAATATTTGACTGGCTGCCCTGACACGAGAAATAAAGCTCTCCAAATCCAGGTGGAGCCTACAGTACATCTACACCAGGCATGGGCAAAGCTGGCCCCTCCAGGTGCTTTGGACTCCAACTCCCACAATTCCTAACAGCCTCAGGCACTTTCCTTTCCCCCCTCAGCCACTTAAGCCTAAGGCTGTTAGGAATTGTGGGAGTTGGAGTCCAAAATTCAAGTGGCTGAGTGGGGGGAAAGGAAGGGGCCTGAGGCTATTAGGGATTGTGGGACTAGGAGTCCCAAACTCAAATGACTGAGGGGGAAAAAGAAGGGGCCTGAGGCTGTTAGGAATTGTGGGAGTTGGAGTCCAAAACTCAAGTGGCCGAGGGGGGAAAGGAAGGGGCCTGAGGAATTGTGGGACTTGGAGTCCAAAACTCAAGTGGCTGAAGGGGAAAACGAAGGGGCCTGAGGCTGTTAGGAATTGTAGGAGTTGGAGTCCAAAACTTAAGAGACTGAGGGGGAAAAAGAAGGGGCCTGAGGCTGTTAGGAATTGTGGGAGTTGGAGTCCAAAACTCAAGTGGCCGAGGGGGGAAAGGAAGGGGCCTGAGGAATTGTGGGACTTGGAGTCCAAAACTCAAGTGGCTGAAGGGGAAAAGGAAGAGGCCTGAGGCTGTTAGGAATCGTGGGAGTTGGACTCCAAAACTCAAGTGGCTGAGGGGGAAAAGGAAGGGGCCTGAGGCTGTTAGTAATTGTAGGAGTTGGAGTCCAAAACTTAAGAGGCTGAGGAGGAAAAAGAAGGGGCCTGAGGCTGTTAGGAATTGTGGGACTTGGAGTCCAAAACTTAAGTGGCTGAGGGGGGAAAGGAAGGGGGTCTGAGGCTGTTAGGAATTGTGGGAATAGGAGTCCAAAACACCTGGAGGGCCCAACTTTGCCCATGCCTGCTCTAACACATAATATCCATTGATGGTCTCCCATCCAAGTACTAACCAAGGCTGACCCTGCTTAGCGCACACGATTAATCAAGATCTGATGCCAGCATTGCAAGGGGTGGAATCACAGCAGTTAATGTGAAGCCTCCCTCCCGTAATGCGAAATGACCTCCTGGCTCTTTGCTTCCCTTTCTTTTCTTGCCCCCTCTCCACGATTCAAGCAAGCCAGCTGCTTCCCAGCTTCTGCCTTTTTTAATACTATTTAGCACACACGCACAGACACTCCGGCGGGGAGCGGAGAGGCAAAGGGGCAGCACGCAAATATATGCAAAGACGGGGCCATTTACATAATCTTTATGCCGGGCGCCCATCTGTAGCTTGACTGTCATCGGCTCTGTCGCCTCCCCTTCGGCACCTGCTTGGAGTGGGACAGGGAAGCATAAATGATTTTTAATGGGAATCCAATGAGAAGGAAGGGGTTCCTTTGTCCACCTCCCTTGCACCCTTTTCCGTTCTTCTTCCACGTCGATCCACAAAATCTTTGCTGTGTTGACCCACCTTTTCCATCATCCATCAGTCTCATAACAAAACAACCAAACTCTGGCCTTCCAGAGCCTGAATCCAACACTAAAACCACTTTAGTATCCTAGATTAATTATGGTAGTATATTATTAGGTTGCTGTTAGGTTATTATGTCTATATCATTATTGTTGTTGTTTGATGCACAAGATTAGTACACAGCAAACAAGATCATTATGCTAGCTTTTGTATTGGATCACACACCGGATTTTCCCAAGTGTCTAGGACTAGGTGATTTATTATTATTATTATTATTATTATTATTATTATTATTATTTCAAAACATAACAAGATTAATACACTGCAAACAAGATCGCTATGCTGGCTTTTGTATTTGATCACACACCGGACATTTCCCAAGTGTCTAGGACTAGGTGATTTATTATTATTATTATTATTATTATTATTATTATTATTATTATTATTATTATTATTATTTCAAAACATAACAAGATTAGTACACAGCAAACAAGATCACTATGTTGGTTTTTGTATTTGATCACACGCCGGACATTTCCAAGTGTCCAGGACTAGGTGATGTATTATTATTATTATTATTATTATTATTATTATTATTATTATTCAAAACATAACAAGATTAGTACACAGCAAACAAGATCACTATGTTGGCTTTTGTATTTGATCATACGCCGGACATTTCCAAGTGTCTAGGACTAGGTGATGTATTATTATTATTATTATTATTATTATTTGAAGCACAACAAGATTAGTACACAGCAAACAAGATAATTATGCTGGCTTTTGCATTGGATCACACGTTGGACCCTTCCCAAATGTCTAGGACTGTGTGATGTATCAGTGAATGATGTGTGCAGATCCGAGTAGGGTGGCTTTCTGCAGCTGACAGATGATAATTTTGTAATTTTGTCAGTGCCGATAGTTTTTAAGTGCAGCCCAAAGGCACTGCACCCACCATGCTACCTTTTGTATTGGATTACATGCCGGACACTTCCCAACTATCTAGAACTGTTGTATTATTATTATTATTATTATTATTATTATTATTATTATTATTATTATTATTATTATACAAAACACAGTATGTCACAGCAAACGAGATCTATATGCTGGATTTTGTATCACAAAATCCCAAACGTCTAGGACTGCGTTATGTATTTTCGAATGATGTGCGCAGATCCAAGTAAGGTGGTCTTTTGCAGTTGGCAGTTAATAATGCAGATTATTATTATTATTATTATTATTATTATTATTATTATTATATAATGTTATAATATTATTTATATTATTTTATATTATTATTATTATTATTATTATTATTATTATTATTATTACTATTGTGTTGTTGAAGGCTTTCATGGCCAGAATCACTGGGTTGTTGTGTGTTTTCCAGGCTGGATGGCCATGTTCCAGAAGCATTCCCTCCTGACGTTTCACCCACATCTATGGCAGGCATCCTCAAAGATTGGGAGGTATATTGGAAACTAGTCAAGTGAGGTTTATATATCTGTGGAATATTGTCCAGGGTGGGAGAAAGAACTCTTGACTGCTTGAGGCAAGTGTGAATGTTGCAACTGGCCGCCCTGATTAGCATTGAATGGCCTTGCAGCTTCAAACTTGCAACATTCGCAGACGAAGAGATCTTTCTCCCACCCTGCACATTCCACAGACGCATAATATTAGTATAATTAATTATTATTAGTATTCATTAATGCTATATCTGATTATGGTTGTATTGATCTATGTACTGACGATCCGATTCCTGTTCTTATGAGCCGCTTTGAGCATGCTTTGTGGAAGTCGCCGAAAAATCGACGTAGAGGAAAGGTTGCCCTAGCAAACTCCGCAGCCCTTCTCTTGGGCATCGAACACTGTCAATTCCATGGGCATACCTTGCTTTTGGCTTTGTTCTTACGGCGGGGGACGTCGTCTTCCAAGTCGTCCCCGTCCAAGTCATGCAGGAACTCACCGATAGGTGCCTTCTGCAACAGAGAGAAAGGGAATAGTAGAGCTACAGTGATGGGGAAAAGAGACAGATACTGCCCAGGAATAGCTAAGGCTTTTTGTTATGTGTCATTCTTGATTCACAACGACTCGAAGGTGAACACATAATGTAGTTTTCCTAGTAAGATTTCTTCAGAGGGGGGTTGCCTTTGTTTTATACTTGATGCTGAGAGATTGTGACGTGGCCGAGGTCACCCACGTTGTTTCCATGGATAAGTGAATGAATTTTATTGTAACGGTCACAGACCAGCAGTACAAAGCATAAAAACATTAAAATCAGAGTTTTAAAAAGACGCATTCACATTAAGATCAATGATTCGAATCCTTGTCTCCAAAGTCATAGTCCAACGCTCAAGTCAGGATAGCATACCAGGGATCGAAATCCTTCAAGAATAATAGAATCATAAAACAACATAGCTGGAAGAGACCACGTGGGCCAACTAGTCCAACCCGCTGCCATGCAGATATTTTGGACTACAATACCTAGCAGCTCCATCCTCAGCTTACAGTGTGCCATGCTGGGAATTCTAGTCCAACATCAACATTAATTACCCAGTCCTACCACAAACAATCTTGGTGTGTGCTGGGCCCATTACCCTTTTTGTTAGGGAAAACTACTCTAAATATATCAGAGCATCCAAAAACAAACAGGATACCAAACCTGAGCATCAGCTCCACCCTCAACCTACAATGAGGCATGCTGGGCATTCTAGTCCAACATCAACATTAATTACCCAGTCCTACCACAAACAACCTTGATATGTGCTGGCCCATAACCCTTTTTTGTTAGGGAAAACTACCCTAAATATAGCAGAGCATCCAAAATCAAACAGGATAACAAACTGAGCATCAACCCCACCTCAACCTACAATGAGGCATGCTGGGAATTCTAGTCCAATATTAGCATTAATTACCCAGTCCTACAACAAACAACTTTGGTATGTGCTGGGCCCATAACCCTTTTTGTTAGGGGAAACTACTCTAAATATATCAGAGCATCCAAAAAAAACAGGATACCAAACTTGAGCATCAGCCCATACCTCAGCGTACAATGAGGCATGCTGGGAATTCTAGTCCAACATCAGCATTAATTACCCAGTCCTACCACAAACAACCTTGGTGCGTGCTGGGCCCATAACCCTTTATGTTAGGGGAAACTATCCTGAATATAGAAGAGCATCCAAAAATAAACAGGATACCAAACTTGAGCATCAGCCCCAACCTCAGCCTACAACGAGCCATGCTGGGAATTCTAGTCCAACATTAGCATTAATAACCCAGCCCTACCACAGACAACCTTCATATGTGCTGGGCCCATAACCCTTTTCGTTAGGGAAAACTACCCTAAATATAGCAGAGCATCCAAAAACAAACAGGATACCAAACTGAACATCAGCCCCAACCTCAACCTACAATAAGGCATGCTGGGAAATCTAGTCCAACATCAGCATTAATTACCCAGTCCTACCACAAACAACTTTGATATGTGCTAGGCCCATAACCCTTTTTGTTAAGGAAAACTACCCTGAATATAGCAGAGCATCCAAAAACAAACAGGATACTAAAGTTGAGCATCAGCTCACTAACAAGCAGAGCTTGAAGTGCCATGTGAAGTGGCTGTAAATAATTCACAACGTTCATCAAATAGGCTTCTGACCATCCTCAAGTTACAGGGCAGGAGAGTCATAGGGGGAAGTAAAGGAGACCTTTGAAGGAAATGATCTGAGATCAGGAATAAGGGAGATGTTTGTCGATAGATCAGGGTCAGACACAGCCAAGGCCCCTTCTTTCTCTCACCTGACAGTCCAAGCTCAAGTCCTCCTCCTTCAGCTCCGGCTTCTTGTCCCCTGTTTCGGCACACAGCAAGGCTTCTAACACTGGACCTTCAGGGAGACCTCCTTCTTTCTTCAGAGGGGGTTCGCAATCTGGGGAGAAAGGAGGGAGTGCTGGAGTTGGTGTTTGTAGACAAGGAACGGGCAAACTTTGGCCCTCCAGGTGTTTAGGATTTCAACTCCCACCATTCCTAACAACCCCAAGCCCTTTCCTTTTCCCTTAAGTGGCTTAGGAGGAAAAGTAAGGGCCTAAAGCTGTTAGGAATTGTGGGAGTTGAAGTCCAAAACACCTGGAGGTGTTGTAGTTCAGCCTTTGATTGTGCCTACACCTGATCTCTTTGGGGATTCTGGGCCTGTTAGTCATTCTGATGACACTGGGGATTCTGAGTCTGCAAATCAGCAGGAGAGCCAGCAAGAGATGTTAAGCCCTGAAAATGAGCAGTCTGTGTCTGAAGGCCACATTCCTGAAAGGCAGTTCCCTAGGGAAGCAAGATCAAGAACAGATTTGAGCTCAGAGGATGAAAATGAAAGTCCAGATGGACAGACTAATGAGCAGTTAGATAGGAGATTTATGTTGCATCAACATAGAGCTTCCCAGGAGTGTTTAAGAAGGTCAAGACGTCTATTAGCTAAGAAGTCCTGATCAGTTTCGCAGAGGAGAAGGCATGACTTTCTCTCTATATTAGCTAGCCAAGTAGATAGGTCTGTCAGTCCAGGTGACGCTGGTCTTTGAGTATAGATCTATTGTTAAGTCAAGGGATTTCTAGTTCCATGTTTCCTTTTGTTCCTGTCTCATGATTCCAAGTTTTAAGAACTATTCCCAATCTCATATTTTGGATTTATTCTGCTTTTGTATTCCTGGTTTTTGATGCTACTCCTGTACTCCGATTTCTGTGGATTATTCTTGATATTTGGACTTTGGTTTTTATACTATTTTGCTGAATTGCTTTTTATATACTGTATATACTCAAGTATAAGCCTAGTTTTTCAGCCCTTTTTTAGGCTGAAAAAGCTCCCCTCGGCTTATACTCGAGTCAAGGTTATTTATTATTTTACTCTATTATTAGCAATATTTTTATTTCATGTATTATTTTACTCTCTTTATTATTATTACATTTACAGTATTTTATCCTATTATTATTATTACATTTATCATTTTACACTATTTATGATTATTATTACCTTTATTATTTTACTTTATTATTATTGCATTTATTATTTTACTCAATTATTACATTTATTGTTCTACTGTATTATTACTGTTATTGCATTTCCATTATTTTACTTTATTATTATTATTATATTTATTATTTTACTCTCTTTATTATTGTTGGAAGGATACGTAAGTACATTTACATTGAAGATATGTAATGATTTAATCAGAGTTGGGCAGTCTTATCTCAAATTACAGTTTTATGTAAATATTAAAAAACATTTCACCTCCTGATGCCTCAATTAATGTAATTTTATTGGTATCTATTTTTATTTTGAAATTTACCTGTAGTGGCTGCATTTCCCACCCTCGGCTTATACTTGAGTAAATATGTTTTCCTAGTTTTTTGTGGTAAAATTAAGTGCCTCGGCTTATACTCGAGTATATACGGTATATTCTTCAATAAACGGCTTTGCTATTTTACCCTGAACTGGAGTATGTGTTAAGTAGTTCAACAGAAAGTTTGTCCATGTCTGGTGTAGATGCTCTGTAGGCTGGTGATTGAACCCATGGATACAGAATCTGTGGATACGGAAGGCTGGCTGTAACAGCAAAACTATACATATTGCTCCAGTCAATGACAGTCAATTTGTAACACAAATGTATATAAAATAACAAGCTATACATATTGACTGAGGTTGACCCCTTCATCTAAGGATACATTATTTTTCACCATTTATTTGTTTAGTAGCAGTAGGAACAGTGTTACTTTCTGCCAAATTAATGGTCTACCTTGTCTGGCGGCAGTTTCAAGGAAAGACAAGCTTTCCTAACCATTTATATACTTTCTCAATCTTCCTGAAAACCCAGATCATCTGCTTGATCCAACATTTACAGTTGAAATGCACTCCTGCTTGTCATTTGTCAGCTTAAACTGACTTACAGCTGAACTTTAGCAAAAGCTTATGTTGTTATCTTAAGGATTTGATTTAAAAAATATGAACGATAGGAATTGTCATCTAGGGAAGCTCCTGCCAAACCTCCTCTGCACCTTGCCCCAGCCACACAAGGCTTGAATTTGGTCTAAAACAGTGGCTCTCAACCATCCTAAAGCCGACCCCTTAATACAGTTCCTCATGTTGTGGTGACCCCCAACCATAAAATTATTTTGTTGCTACTTCACAACTCTAATTTTGCTTCTGTTATGAATCGCAATGTAAATATCTGATATGCAGGATGTACTTTCATTCACTGGACCAAATTTGGCACAAATACATATGCCCAAATTGGAATACTGGTGGGGTTGGGCGGGTTATTGATTTTCTCATTTGGGAGTTGTAGTTGATGGGATTTATGATTAACCTACAATCAAAGACCATTTTGAACTGTAATTTTGCTACTGTTATGAATCGTAAATATCTGATATGCAGAATGTATTCCAAATTTGGCACAAATACCCAATAACCCAAAACACTAGTGGGGCTTGGGGAAAATAGACCTTGACATTTGGGAGTTGTAGTTGCTGGGCTTTATAGTTCACCTACAATCAAAGAGCATTCTGAATCTCCACCAACGATGGAATTGAACCAAACTTGGCACACAGAACTCCCATGACCAACAGAAAATACTGGAAGGGTTTGGTGGGCATTGACCTTGAGTTTTGGAGTTGTAATTCACCTACCTCCAGAGAGCACTGTGGACTCAAACAATGATGGATCTGGACCAAACTTGGCACAAATACTCAATATACCCAAGTGTGAACGCTGGTGCAATTCGGGGAAAACAGACCTTGACATTGGGAGTTGTGGTTGCTGGGATTTATAGTCAACCTACAATCTAAGAGCATTCTGGACTCCACCAACAATGGAACTGAACCAAACTTGGCACACAGAAATCCCATGACCAACAGAAAATACTGGAAGGGTTCGGTGGGCATTGGAGTTGTAGTTCACCTACATCCAGAGAGCACTGTGGACTCAAACAATGATGGAACTGGACCAAACTTGGCACAAATACTCAATATGCCCAGATGTGTGAGCACTGGTGGAGTTTGGAGAAAAATAGACCTTGGCATTTGGGAGTTGTAGTTGATGGAATGTATAGTTCACCTATAATCAATGAGCATTCTGAGCTCCACCAACAATGGAATTGAACTAAATTTGGCACACAGAACTTCCGTGACTAACAGAAAATACTGGAAAGGTTTGGTGGGCATTGACCTTGACTTTGGAGTTGTAGTTCGCTTACATTCAGAGAGCACTGTGGACTTAAACAATGATGGATCTGGACCAAACTTGGCATGAATACTTAAATAGACTTGATATTTGGGAGTTGTAGTTGCTGGGATTTATAGTTCACCTACAATCAAAGAGCATTCTGAAACCTACCAACAATAGAATTGAGCCAAACTTCCCACACAGTCCCCATGACCAACAGAAAACACTGTGTTTCCTGGGGGGTCTTTGGCAATCCCTTTGACACCTCCAGGGGTCCCAACCCCCAGGTTGAGAAACCGTAATGTGGATGCATCCTGAATCTGTATCCTGGACAACCTTGTTGTTGTCTGCCTTCAATACCTTTTTGACCTATGTGATCCTAAGACAAATATTGCAGGGATTTTTCTTTTGGCAAGATTTTGAGATTGTTTTCCTCTTAGGCTGAGAGAGTGTGACTTGCCCAAAGTCAACCAGTTGAGCAGGGATTTGGACCTTGGTCTCCGGAGTTGTAGCCAAAGGTTCAAACCGCTCTACTGCTGCTGGCTCATTTTCCAGAACTACCTAACATGTAGTATTTACCCTTTTGGTAAAGGCTTCTCCCATTTCCCCTGCCCTCTGTCCAATTGTCCTGGAAAGCCTCCTTACCAATCTTGAATTCGCAAGGCCGGAGTCTTGGATCCTCCAGGATGTTCAGCCGCCGCTTCTTGCGCCAACAACGAGCCGGATAGGTGTAGATCTGACCCGGCGCCAGCCCTGGAGGAGAGGCAGAATAAGTGAGCAACAAGAAATCCTTCCCTAAAAATATGGGGTTGCCATTTAAACCACCCCTTTGTTTTGCAGGATGCTGGAGAAAACAGGCAATGACCATTGCCATTTGCCCCGTCTTTATTATCCCTGCAGTGGAGATATGATGCCTTTCAGAGTTCCCATCTACACTGACATATTACGTAAAGGTTTCCCATGACATTAAGTCTAGTCGTGTCCAACTCTGGGTTGGTGCTCATCTCCATTTCTATGCCGATGAGCCGGCATTGTCCATAGACACCTCCAAGGTCATGTGGCCAGCATGACTGCATGGAGCGCTTACCTTCCCGCCAGAGTAGTACCTATTGATCTACTCACATTGGTATGTTTCAAACTGCTAGGTTGGCAGAAGCTGGGGTTAACTGTGTGAGGTCAGCACCCTGCTCCCTGGATTCGAACTACCAACCTTTCAATCAGCAAGTTCAGCAGCTCAGCGGTTTAGCCTGCTGCACCACCAAGGGGCCATGTTATGCAACTTGAAACTGCATGACCAGGTATAGGCCAACTTTGGCCATCCAGGTGTTTTGGACTTCAACTCCCACAATTCCTAACAACCTACCGGCTGTTAGGAATTGTGGGAGCTGAAGTCCAAAACACCTGGATGGCCAAAGTTGCCCATACCTGGCGTAGACTCATATAATGCAGTCAAACGGCATCAAACAGTATTATATGAGTCAACTGGCCATTTAATGTTGTTCCAAACTGCATTGTATGGCTATGTATATGGGATAATAATAATAAATAAATAATGATAAAAACTTTATTTATACCCCACTACCATCTTCCCAAGGGACTCAGTACGGCTTACATGAGGCTGAGCCCACAATACATCAATACAAGCAATAACAACAACAATAAAACAGTTAAATAAAACTCATAAACAACAAAAAAGAAAAAAAACAATATACAATGACAATAATACAGATACTCTTGAACTGGAACACCCAGCATCCTTAGTAAGGACTTCTGGGAGTTATAATCCAATGCCATTTTAGAAGCTCATATCATTTCCATCTTCAATTGACCCATTTCAACCCAAGGTTCAGATTCTGCCTATATTTTTCCTTTTACTATGCTCATTGATACCACATTGGGGCCTCGGAGAGATTACAATCATCCCTCTATATTTGCGGTTTGGTGGTTTTGATTAAAAATTACTCACTCCGGGGATCTCTAAGGCCTTGAGTGTGCCTCCAGGGTCAATTTCCTCAATTACGTTGGAGGACCCAAAGATTTCTATAAAGAACCTCTTTTCTTGGAATTGCTAAGTCCTCCAAAGAGTCGTTCTGGAAGACCTAGAAATTCTAAAGAGGTTTAAAGAAATAGCAATATATGCAATATAGAGGTCCTCTGGGCCTGATACCAGCTAATATGAAAGATTAGTAGCACATTCAGAGTAGTTTTTCACTTTCATAGGGGTCCTCCTGGCCTGATACCAGCAGATGTGAAAGGTTAGTGGCACATTCAGAGGTATTTTAGGGCTGGGAGGCTATCCAGAGCTCATCAGATCTCTCTCCACATCAACGCGCAAAGCGACTAAGTCTGGCTTTTTGGCTTCTCGGCTCCTGGCTGAATGCACTGTTTCTCATCCACACAATACTTCTCCAACTCCCTCCCTTCTGGGCATGATGCCCTTCAGGTGCCAAGTGCCAAAGGATCCGTTCTACATCCAAATCCCAGCAACCAGGAAAATTGTATGTACGCCGTGCAGAGCATCAGCCGCAACATTCGCACCTGGGCCCCGGTGGGTCTTCTCCATCCAGATGTAGCAATTGTTCTGGGCGACCCCCGTTTGCGAGTCCAGGAAGGGCAGGCGCATGCTGCGTTCGGCGCACAGCCGGGCATTGTAGCTGCGGCAGTGCTCAATGGCTTCCCGGTAGAAGTCCTCGCCCAGGCTGCAAAGGAGAAAGGCACAGTGCTCAGTTCCAATCCCAAAGCATTCCTAATGCCGGCTTCCACTTCGCCAAAAGTTTCCAAACATTTCATTGTTTTGGGTTGCTGTGAGTTTTCCAGACTGTATGGCCATGTTCCAGAAGCGTTCTCTTCTGACATTTTGCCCACATCTATGGCAGGCATCCTCAGAGGTTGTGAGGCTTGTTGGAAACTAGGACAAGAGAGGTTTGTATATCTGTGGAATAATTTCCAGGGTGGGAGAAAGAACTCTTGTCTGTTTGAGGCAAGTGTGAATGTTTCACTTGGCAACCTTGATTAGCACAGAATGGCCTTGCAGCTTCAAAGCCTGGCTGCTTCCTGCCTGGAGGAATCCTTTGTTGGGAGGTGTTAGCTGGCCGTGATTGTTTCATGTCTGGAATTCCCCTGTGTTTTTTGTTTTGTTTTGCTTAATTTTGGAGTATTGTTCTTTATTTACTATCCTAATTTTAGAGCTTTTTAATGCCAATAGCCAGATTTTCTTCATTTCCATGGTTTCCTCCTTTCTATTGAAATTGTCCACATGCTTGTGGATTTCAGTGGCTTCTCTGTGTCCTCTGACATAGTGGTTCTTAGAGTGGTCTAGCATTTCTGTGTTCTCCAATAATATGCTGTGTCCAGGTTGGTTCATCAGGTGCTCTGCTATGACTTATCTGATTGAATTAGTCTGCAGTGCCTTTCATGTTCCTTGATTCATGTTTGGGCATTTCTGCATTTGGTGGTCCCTATGTAGACTTGTCCTCCTAACAAAGGATTCCTCCAGACAGCAGTCAGCCAGATTTTGAAGCTGCAAAGTCATTCGATCCTAGTCAAGGTGGCCAACTGCAACATCCACACTGGCTTCAAACAGACAAGAGTTCTTTCTCCCACCCTGGACATTAATCCACAGATATATAAACCTCAATTGCCTAGTTTCCAACAGACCTCACAACCTCTGAGGATGCCCAACAAAGATGTGGGCAAAATGTCAGAAGAGAATGCTTCTGGAACATGGCCAGACAGTCTGGAAAACTCACAGCAGCCCAGTGATTCTAGCCATGAAAGCCTTTGACAACACATTTCATTGTTTTTACACCGTTTTTTATGCATGCATCACTTCGCAACACAGTAATTCAGTTTGACTAGCAAGCTGGGAGTTAAATGAACCCCTTATGAGAGATACAGACACAGGCATAAATTGGGATACCAAAATATATGGGACAGCACATGTCTCACGATTTTTTCCCATCTATATATGTTTGTAAAATATATGATTGATTACTTATTTCACATTGACTCAGAAGTTTCGCCTTAGGTCATGCAACATCCCTACACACTGTGTTGAAGTAACGTGTCGAGACACAACATTTGGAAAACTCTGATCTGTACTGTAGAATGAATGCCTTTTGGCACCACTTTAACTGCCACAGAATCCTGGGATTTGTAGTTTGGTGAGGCACCAGCATTTCTTAGCAGAGAAGGCTATAGGCAATGGGCCTCAACTTTCTTAATGCCGCAACCCCTTAATACAGTTCCTAATATTGTGGTGACCCCCAAACATAACATTATTTTCATTGCTACTTCATAACTGCAATTTTACTACTGTTATGAATAGTAATGTCAATATCTGATATGCAGGATGTATTTTCATTCACTGGACCAAATTTGGCACAAATACCCGACAAACCCAAATTTGAATACTGGTGGGGTTGGGGGGAGAGAGAATGATTATGTAATTTGGGAGTTATAGTTGCTGGGATTTATAGCACTGTGGACTCAAACAACGATGGATCTGGACCAAACTTGGCACAAATACTCAATATGCTAAACTGTGAACACTGGTGGAATTTGGGGAAAATAGGCCTTGACATTTGGGAGTTGCAGTTACTGGGATTTATAGTTCACCTACAATCAAGGAGCATTCTGAACTCCACCAACGATGGAATTGAACCAAACTTGCCACACAGAACTCCCATGACCAACAGATAATACTGGAAGGGTTTGGTGGGCATTGACCTTGAGTTTTGGAGTTGTAGTTCACCTACATCCAGAGAGCACTGTGGACTCAAACAATGATGGATCTGGACCCAACTTGGCACGAATATACCCATATGTAAACACTGGTGGAGTTTGGGGAAAACAGACCTTGACATTTGGAGTTGCAGTTGCTGGGATTTATAGTTCACCTAAAATCAAAGAGCATTCTGACCCCACTAATGATAGAATTGGGCCAAACTTCTCACACAAAACTGTGTTTTCTGATGGTCTTTGATGGCCCCTCTGACATCCTCTCACGACCTCTCCAGGGGTCCCGACTCCCAGGTTGAGAAATACTGCCTGCTATAAGCCTTGTAAAACTACAACTCCCAAAACCAATCCAGATATGACTTCCTTTTGCTCTTCAAACGTCCAGCTGCATTGCTCCACAATGCTGCACACATTCAAACCCCAGCCTGGAAGGCATTTACTTTGAGGTGAGTCATATCAATGCCAATGCAATCTATTTCCCACTAAATGTTTTATGGTAACTGATTGCATTTGAGGCTTCTAGGAGAGAGATAAAAGAGAGCTAATATTATGAGTTATGTAAGGATCTTCATTCAAATCCCTGTTGCAATTCAGTGACCTGCTAGCCATATCAGCCATATTCTGACATCTGGAATTGGAGGTACACCTCAGTTAACAAAGTCAGTGTGTTCCTGAGTATTGCCTCTTTCATAGAAACTTGATGCAGGAAAAAAAAACATGCATCACAAAGAAAAAAGAAAAACACTTCAATAAGTTTCAGCAAACTTTGTAACTGGTGATAAACACACATGTGAAAGGAAACAACCAGGTCATGTTGTTCTTGCGTAAATAAATAAAAACATTGCCCTCCTTCTAAAGACAACTTGAAAGCTTCTTCCGAAATGCTTTCCATTTGAGCGGAAAAACCTGTCAATCTACATGTTGTCGAAGCTTTCATAGCCAGAATCACTGGGTTGCTGCGGGTTTTCTGGGCTGCATGGCCATGTTCCAGAAGCATTCTCTCCTGACATTTCGCCCACATCTATGGCAGGCATCCTCAGAGGTTGTGAGGTCTGTTGGAAACTAGGCAAGTGAGATTTATATATATCTGTGGAATATCCAGAGTTAGAGAAAAAACTCTTGTCTGCTTGAGGCAAGTGTGAATGTTGCAAATGGCCACCTTGATTAGCATTCAATGGCCTTGCAGCTTCAAAGCCTGGCTGGTTGCTGCCTGGTGGGCAGCAATCAGCCATCTCCTTCGTTGGGAGATGTTAGCTGGCCCTGATTGTTTCCTGTCTGGAATTCCCCTGATTTTTGAGCGTTGCTCTTTATTTACTGTACTGATTTTTGAGTTTTTAATATTATTAGCCAGATTTTGTTCATTTTCATGGTTTTGTCTTTTCTGTTGATATTAGAATCATAGAATCAAAGAGTTGGAAGAGACCTCGTGGGCCATCCAGTCCAATCCCCTGCCAAGAAGCAGGAATATTGCATTCAAATCACCCCTGACAGATGGCCATCCAGCCTCTGTTGATGGCCATCCAGCCTCAGTATTGTTCACATACTTGTGGGTTTCAATGAAAATGAACAAAATGCAGCTACCGGTCAGGGGCGGCTCAACCCATTACGCAAAGTAAGCATTTGCAGTATAGTTGATTTTGCCCAGGGGCGCTCTTGAGGCGCTCTTGGGGGAAAATAGACCTTGACATATGCGAGTTATACTTACTGGGATGTATAATTCACCTACAATTAAAGAGCATTCTGAACTCCACCAATGATGGAATTGAACCAAATATGGCACACAGAACTCCCACAACAAACAGAAAATATATATCAATGATTGGTTTGGGGGGGGGGGGCAAAATACTGTTTGCTTACCGTTGAAAATTACCTAGGGCCTCCTCTGCTACCAATATTTAAAAAACTCTAAAATCAGGAAAGTAAATAAAGAGGGAATTCCAGACAAGAATCAATCAGGGCCAGCTAACACCTCCCAACGAAGGATTCTCCCAGGCAGCAACCAGCCAGGCATTGAAGATGCAAGGCCATTATATGCTCATCAAGGTGGTCAATTGCAACATTCACACTTGCCTCAAGCAAACAAGAGTTCTTTCTCCCTCCACGGAGATTCCACAGATATATAAACACCATTTGCCTAGTTTCCAACAAATGTCACAACCTCTGAGGATGCCTGCCATAGATGTGGGTGAAACGTCAGAAGAGAATGCTTCTGGAAGATGACCATACAACCTAGAAAACTCACAGCAATCCAGTGATTCTGGTCATGAATGCAGATAATGTGGATTATCTGTTTTGATAATCTGGATTATATGGCAGTGTAAAAAGGGACCCGAGCCTTTGTTAACTGAAGTCTGCCAAAGAGCAGACTTGAAAGAAAAAAGAAGCTGGTTGCATATTGCCAAAGCTTCCCCTCCACAGTGGGATGTTCACTGCCAAGACAGAATCTACCCAGATGAAGAATTGTCAACAGAGATAGATATGAATGCAGGGGAGTGGCAGATGGGCACAAGATCATTTGGGTTCAAGCACTGAAAAGAAGAAAAAAGGGGGAAAAGATATGGGAACCATCTGGTGTGGTTGTCTAGTGATAAGTTATGGGAGGTGGAAAAGGGGAAAAAACCCCACAAGGCAAGATGTGGGAGGAAAAAAGAGATGTCCCATGGAACAGGTTGCCACAAGGTCAAGACCAAGGCAGAATAGAAAGTAAATCTCCAGCACACTGTTTCTCATCCTTCCTAATGCCGCGACCCCTTATACAGGGGCACACAGAACTCCTATGACCAACAGAAAATACTGGAAGGGTTTCGAGGGCATCGACGAGTTTGGGAATTGTAGTTCACCTACATCCAGAGAGCACTGTGGACTCAAAAAAGTGATGGATCTGGACCAAACTTGGCACAAATACTCAATATGCTCAAATGTGAACACTGGTGGGGTTTGGGAAAAATACACCTTGACA